TTTTACACACGAGGATCCAGGGCCCAAGGTTGAAGGAACAGAGCTAGTATGGGACAGAGCCTCAATTTAGACCCAGGCATCATACTCCAAAGCCTTTGAGCACAACCATCACAGATTCTTCCTCTGCTGCCCATTCATTGTCAAAGGCTGCACACAGAGCAACCTCAGGGTCAGCTAAGCTCAGAAGTCCTAGAAGGATCCTTCCTTCTTTTCTTTATACTCATTGTTTGTATCATTACAAAAAAAAAATCTGTTCCCCATTTAGAAAGAATAAAAGTAAATATAGAATACTAATGTAGCAAAAACAGACAAAAACACCAATTTATTATTTTTTATTTTTTTTAAGATTTTATTTATTTATTCATAGAGACACAGAGAGAGAGAGAAGCAGAGACACAGGCAGAGGGAGAAGCAGGCTCCATGCAGAGAGCCTGACGTGGGACTCCATCCAGGGTCTCCAGGATCACACCCTGGTTGCAGGCGGCGCTAAACCGCTGGGCCACCAGGGCTGCCCAACACCAGAGAATTTAAAACAAAAGGTGTCAGGGCACCTGGGTGGCTTAGTATGTTAAGCATCTGCCTTCGGATCAGGTCATGATTTCGGGGTCTTGGGATTGAGCCCCAGATCAGGGTGCCTGCTGGGCAGGGAGCCTGCTTTGCCCTCTCCCTCTGCAGCTCCCCCTGGTCGTGCCCTCTCTTTGTCAAATAAATTTTTTTAAATCTCAAAAAAAAAAAAAAAAAAAAACCCAACCCCAAAACAAAAAAAACAAAAGATGTCTAATAGGGTAGGGAAGTGACAACCATATTCATTGAGTGCTGCACACCTGTGGAACAGAAGTATCAAATGAGGTGCCCACAATTCTTTCCTCTGATTCCGTCATCTTAAGATAGGGAAGTTAGGTAAATATGCATGAAAAACAAACACAAAGGGACTCAGAGACAAGCCAAAGCTAATTATAGCTTTATGTATCTAAATGGAGAAGTGGTGATTCAGTTGAATTTAGTAGAGTGACTGGTGGGGTGAGTTTGGAGGAAAAAAAACAAGAGGAAGTGAGTTCTGTTGTGGAGTTTTGAAGAGTGAGCAGTATGGCCTGATACTTTGAGAAGGTGTATCACAATTATATGGTAAGAAGTAGCTCAAGTTAGGGAAGGCATTAATACGGGGCACAAGTAAGCTTTTATATTATTGCTTATTTTTTAAGTTTTTAAAAAATTTATTTATTTATTTATTTGAGAGAGAGAGAGGGAGCATAAGCAGGGTGAGGGGCAGAAGCAGAAGCAGGCTCTTCACTGAGCAGGGAGCCCAATGCAAGGCTCCATCCTGAGACTCCAGGATCATGACCTGAGCTGAAGGCAGACGCTTAACCAACTCAGCCACCCAGGTGCCCCAGCTTTTCTATTTTTATTCAGACTAATGTTTATAGACTAATTTCCCTAACATAATAATAAAAATAGCTGCCATCTTAAAGTTCTTACTCTATGCCAGGCTTATACATATATATGTATACATGGCTTACACACATATTCTTCTATATATATATATATATAATATACATATTATTTCTTTAATCCTCATAGTGATCCTATGAGGTGCTTACTTTTATGACCCTTATTTTACAAAGTGGTTAATTGAATTGCCTGAGGTCACCCAGCTAGTAAAGTGATGAACTTGGTCTGTCTGATTCAGTGCTTGAATTCTCATCCACTGTGCTACCTTTCTAATTTCATTTATCTAGAAAGGCTATTCCATATGGCATAGCAAAGAATTGTCAATTCTCAATTACAAAGCCATATTACTAAGATGCAATAAATTTCACTCTCTAAATATCTCTTGAATCTCTTTATCTTTCTTTACATTGACTGCCATCACCATAATCTAAACCGTCCTCACCTCTTACCTGGACAATTGCAATAACCTTCTTCTTCCACTTTTGCTTTCTTTCAATCCTTCTTCAGGATGAATTTTCTATTACACAAATTGGACCATGTCTCTTCCTTGCTTAAAACGCTTCCACAGGTTTCTGTCTCTCCATTTGCTTCAATGTTTGCCTCTTCCACTACACTGCAAGCTCTATGTAGGTGGTGACTGCACCAGTCTTGTTCAAATGTTGTATCTCCAGGAGCGCCTGGCTGGCTCAGTTGGAGGAGCAAGCAACTCTTGATCTCAGGGTAGTGGGTTGAAGCCCCATGTTGGATATAGAGATTACTTAAAATAGTATTGCTTCTCCAGCACGTAGCATAGTGCCTTGTATGTAGTAGAAGCTAACTTAATTTTTGTTGAATGAATGGAATCCAAATGATCCTTTATTTTATTTTATTTTATTTTTTATTATTTATGATAGTTACACACAGAGAGAGAGAGAGAGAGAGAGAGAGAGAGAGGCAGAGACATAGGCAGAGGGAGAAGCAGGCTCCATGCACCGGGAGCCCGACGTGGGACTCGATCCCGGGTCTCCAGGATCGCGCCCTGGGACAAAGGCAGGCGCTAAACAGCTGCACCACCCAGGGTTCCCCCAAAATGATCCTTTAAAAAAAAGAATATTACTCGGGCAGCCTGGGTGGCTCAGTGGTTTAGCGCTGCCTTTGGCCCAGGGTGTGATCCTGGAGATCCGGGATCAAGTCCCACATTGGGCTCCCTGCATGGAGCCTGCTTCTTCTCCCTCTGCCTGTGTCTCTGCCTCTCTCTCTCTCTCTCTCTCTCTCTCTGTGTGTGTGTCTCTCATGAATAAATAAATAAAATATTTAAAAAAAGAATATCACTTACTTATAGGAAATAGGTTAGTAGGGGATAGGGGATGGGGACATTTAAATAGGGGATAGGTTTTTCACAATTTGTAATCACGTAGTAACTTGTTTATTTTCTTTGATGTCTCATGCCCTTTAGCTTGTAGGCTCCATAAGGGCAGGAACCACCTCTGTCTTGTTCCTTACTATATCCTAGCTCTATGTTAAGTTCACAGGAGGTAACTGAGGAATATCTGTTGCATGAATAATTTCAATTACCAATGTGAATTGGAAGCTGATGAATCAAAGGTGACAAATAGCACTGATAAGGGCAGAATTGGAACAGGAAACTATAATCATAGTTATGGGAGCTGTGGAGGATGAGGATTCTTTTATTCATTCAATAAATGTTTATAAGGCCCCTTTATGTGACAGACTCTGCTAGGCAACCTCTCCGCTATCATGTAGCTTCCAGTCTAGTGATAAATAAACAGGCAACTAAAATTCAATGAGGGGTGTCTGGGTGGCTTGGTGGCCTGAGTGTCTGACTCTTGATTTTGCCTCAGGTCAAGAATTCAGGATGTTGAGACCAAGCCCCACCTCAGCCCCAAACTCAGCAGGGTGCTCGAGATTCTTTCTCTCCCCCTATGGGTGCAGGTGCTGTCTTTCTGTCTCTCAGATAGATAAATGAATCAATCAATCAATCTTTAAAAAAGTTCAGAGAGAGAAATTTCCCAAGGGAAGGCAGTAAGGGTGTGCTTCAACTCAGGAGGGGACATTTAACCCAGACGTGGGCTGTCAGGAAGTATATGTCTAAACTGTTTGTAGCTAACGTAAGAAGGCATGGAAAGTGATGGAGAGTATTTGCATGTGTAATGAGCCCAGAGGCAGGAGAGTCCCTGGTAGGTTCTCCATAGCCCAAGTTTCCTTGTTCACATCTTTCATGCAACACATTTTATTGAGTCTATACCATGTGCTAGGCATCATTTGGATATTATTTTTATTATTATTTTTAAAGATTTTATTCATGAGAGACACGAGAGAGAGAGAGGCAGAGACACAGGCAGAGGGAGAAGCAGGCTCCATGTAGGGAGCCCGACGTGGGACTCGATCCCGGGACTCCAGGATCACGCCCCGGGTCCAAGGCAGGGGCCTAATCACGGAGCCACCCAGGGATCCCCTCATTGGGACATTATTAAATTTTTATCTCAAAACTAGTTGTTGAAAATGTATACATACACATATATGATTTTAAATTCATTAAATTTATTAAACTTTTTATTTAAAAATTATTTTTTCGGGATCCCTGGGTGGCGCAGCGGTTTGGCGCCTGCCTTTGGCCCGGGGCGCGATCCTGGAGACCCGGGATCGAGTCCCGCGTCGGGTTCCCGGTGCATGGAGCCTGCTTCTCCCTCTGCCTGTGTCTCTGCCTCTCTCTGTGTGTGTGTGACTATCATAAATAAATAAAAATTTAAAAAAACCCTAAAAAAAAAAAATTATTTTTTCTCCCCTCAGTCCTTTAGGAAGACACATTTCTGGGCTGGGTACCCCACCCCGAAAATGCTTTGTCGATGCTTTATAAATATTCACTGAATTAATAAACAAATGCAGGTGAGAGCACCTAATCTGACCTCAGAAAGTAAAAGCCCGGATCGTTGCTTGTCAATACGTCTTTCTTCCTATGACGGAAATGTCCTCCACGTGCACTGTCCGATGATACCGTAACCACCGCGCACACGGACTACCGAGCACTTGGAAGGTGGCTAGTGCAACTGAAGAACTCAATTTTAAATTTTACTGAAATTTTAATTTAAACGTAAATAGCCACACGTGATTCGTGACTTCCTATGGGAGAGGTCAGCCTAGGGTGCTGGTACAGTTGAAACAGGGTGAGCGTGGCACTGCAACCCCGTAGGTTTCCTTAAAAACAGATTGTTAATAAAAATGGCTATAAAATGTCTGGAGTCTGGGCTGTTGAATGCCACCGACAGCACTAAAAATCTGTGCACAGTCGCAAGCCGTAATTAGCACCTCGGTCACTGAAGGCTAATAAACCTCGCATCCCGGCACGCCGACCGACACCCAACCCAGCGCCGCGGGGTGAAAAGGTTGAAGGTCCGGGAACTCCACCTCGGCAGGGGCGCGCACGCGGCAGCCGGATATCCCGAACAGCCTCACGGACTTTGTAGTTCAACCCTCCCGTGACATCACTACCTGTGTGTCACCACAGCGTGACCCATTGGGTCAGCTTCCGGTGGCCTGTTGCTCTCTGGGAATTGTAGTCAATGGGTGCCTGCTGGCCTTGGGCTCTAGCAGTCTGGAAACTACAATTCCCGGCGGGCTACGAGATGCACAAGCAGGGAGTGGGCGATTGCCTCATCAGGTGTCGAGTGTGTGCCCTAGTGTCGTGGGAGGCCTGTCTGCCCCCCGGACGGAAGGGAGAGGTGGTGACCACTACTTTGAGAGGATAGCCGAGGTCACTGTCGTGGTTTGCAGACGCGGTGCCATGGCGGTGAGTTCTGGCGGGAGGAGAGTCCGCTCAGCCCGGCCCTAGAACCCGGCTGAACTGTCGGCTTTTGCCAGAATCCAGGGGCTCCATGTGGTAGTCGTTGTCCTGAAGGGGAAAACCCTATTTCAAAGGAAGGGAATGCCTTGACTCCCACGCTAAAGGTGTGGGTGTTGTGAGGATGTGCTCTTTCTCGCCAGCTGTTGAGCTAGGAACGGGTATCTTTAACTGTACACCCTACTTAATGTAACGTGTGTTAGTTTCACGCAAGTGTCCAAAACCTATTTGGAGAGAAGGGAGTGGGTAAACCTTGTTCCCCCTCTTATGAGCACTTCCCGGTAAAACACTCACAAATCTCTACACTCATGGTGTTTACATGTGTGTGTGAGAGAGTTACAGACTAAAATATCTGGTAAATATGTCAGTTGCCAGTAAGTGCTACGGGAAAAAAAAATAGAGCAGGAACGGGAGACTGCTGATAAGGTTGCAGTTTTAAAAGGGCGATCAAGAAAGGCTTTGCTCGGGATGGGATGAGCCTTGGGTGTTATATGCAACTGATGAATTCTTAAACTCTGCATCCATCCGAAACTAATGATGTTGGCTAAGTGACTCTAAAAAAAAAAAAAAAAAAAAAAAAAAGGAAAAAGATAGGCTTTGCTAAGAAGTTGGCATTGTGGTAAAGAGAAGCAAGCCAGGCAGCCAAATGGACCAAAAGACTTGCAGGCAGAAGCAACAATGTGAGCTTACCAGACTGAGCCTCCAGGATGGACAATTCTTGAGGGATTTTATAAAGGAGAGCAAAGGAATGGGGTGATGGGAAGGTCAAAAGAGACTTTTTTCTTTTTTGAAAGGTAGAAATTACACAATGCTTGTATGCCTACGGGAATTACCCCATAGAGAGGAAAAATTGATGTCCTGTTACTGAAGAGAGTAGAGGAGATAAGACCAAGTGCATCAATGGAGGGTCAAGCAGAACCACACTCGTCCAAGTAACAGGAAACTGAAGACAGACTATGGGTACACATGCATGTGGGTAGGCAGACATGATGAGGGAGGTTGTAAACATTTTCTGTTCACTTCTGTTTTCTCATTGAATTAAGAGCCAAGATTGTCAGCTAAGAATAAGGATGGGAGAGGAAATGTTGGAGGCTTGAGGAGAGAGGCTTGTTTAGGACATTGCTGTCAGTAGAACTTCCTGTGATGAAGATGTTCTGTATTTGCACCAATTTGGTGCCACTGGCCACTTGGCGGCTATTGGGCACTTGAAATGTGGCTGGTGCAATGAAAGGACTGGATTTTACAATAACTTTAAAATTTAGAAAGTCACATGTGGCTAGCTCGTGGCTACTGTACTGGGCAGTATACACATTAAAGTTTGAGAAGCACTAGTCTAGAAGGAGTAAGTTAACTGAGTGGATTTCAGAAATTAGTATTGCTAGGCATCTCTTGACCTTAGTGGACGTGAATTTAAATTGAGGCCAGTCAACGTGAATGGTTATCACCCGCCACTTTCAGCTGCCTGGTGGAGGGAACAGAGCAGGTGCATAGGAGGGTTGGAGTTTTGGCAGGCAGGGATGGTGAAGAGAAAAGTGAAGGAGGATGGATTTAAGGAATGGAAATAAGGACTTGGGGTAGGAGGGGCTTAAGGATTAGCGAGAATAGGTCCTGATCAGTAGGTCCTGCTGGGTTTGAAGAATTACTGGAGCTGGAATTCTAGTAAAGACCAATAATACCAATAACTAACATTTCTTGTGTGTCATGCTTTGTGTTTAGCATTTTATTTGAATTGTCTCATTGAGTCTTCACACTAATCTATTTGAGTTAGGCAGAGTGCTTAACTAACAGGTCCGACTTCTCATAACTAGGACAGGATGAAAGTGGATTAGAACTCAAAGAGATTGACTCATTTCTCAGTCACTGTGCCATCCTACTTTCCAGGAAAACACTTGCCTTCTGCGTCCTGGTCCAGGGCTTTTTCTTCTGTTCCCAGTTGCTCAGTGCCTCCCCATCAACCCCACTCTCTCATGGTGATAACCTTATCTGATGTAGCATTTGCAGATCTCCCTCCCTCCCTCCCTCCCTCCCCCTCCTTCTCCCCCTCCCTCCCTCCTTTCCTCCTTCTCTCCCCACCCCCTTTTGGTGTTCATGGGAATGGGCTTTTCAGTTTGGAAGATTTTAATTCTCTCTCTCTCTCTCTTTTTTTTTTTTAATTTTATTTATTTATGAGAGACACACAGAAAGAGAGAGGCAGAGACACAGGCAGAGGGAGAAGCAGGCTCCATGCAAGGAGACCAACGTGGGACTCGATCCTGATCCCAGGTCCCCAGGATCACGCCCTGGGCTGAAGGCAGTGCTAAACCGCTGAGCCACCCAGGCTGCCCTGTTTGGAAGATTTTAATACATTTTTTCCATCTTTTTAAGTTTTATATAAGGAAAGTGGCAACATTTCTGGTAGATACAATTGTTTTTACTTTATTTGCTTCTTGGCTTCTGAAAATGTTCGTGTTTTACACTGTTGTGATACTGGACTGACATTAAAGTTAGTTTTATTGGAAGAATCCAATAAGAGCTCTCTTTAGAAAGAACAAGTAACAATACAAATAAAATGTACTGATTATCTGTGCCATGCATTAATGTTTTATATAATTTTTCATCAAAATAACCCTATAAAAGTAGGTGCTATTATTATCCCCATTTTACTGATGTGGAAAATAAGGCATCACATCTAGCCAGAGGAGGAATTAGAATTCATTTGGTCCAATTCTGGAGCCCATTCTCTTAATCATCGTGCTATCTATCCCCAGGTGTAAGCTAATTAGGAAATTTCTTTTGCAAACACCTCCCATAAGGAAACTTTTCTCTTTCCAAAGGAAATCTTAACAATACTGAAGTGTGTAAGACAATGAACATATGATAGCTTGAATATAATATTAGTTTTATTTTATAATTAGATTTATAAACACCAAACTATTTTTTTTCATATCAAAGTAGTATTTATTTTTTAGAGCTTTTGAAAGTTTTAATCTCTTCTAGTTATATATCAGACTTTTAGAGGGGATCTGGTGATGTGATATAATATAAACATAATAGCCAACTTAGAAAATTATTGTTTTTAAACTTTCATTTGGAAAATTTAAATAGTGAACAAAACAGAGATAGTAATAGTATTAGGTACTTCCATCACTCAACTTCAGTAATTGATAGTTCAGGGCCATCTTTTTTGTTTCATGTATCCCTGCCTTGTACCTTGTCCCTCCGCTCCTCAGGATTCATTTTAGGCAAGTTCCAGGTACAGTACATGTTTGATATATTTTAATATAAAGTTTTTACATCAATACATAGTAAGTTTTTTTTTTAGTATAATGATAATTTCTCTTAAAACAGCCCCAATGCCATTTTCACACTTAATAAAAATCACGTGATGTCAGGATGTCTGTTTGTGGTATTGGTTGACGTTGTGCATTTACCATGGGTCTAGCACTATGCTAAGTCCTTCATGTGTATTAACTTTTTAAATCCTCATGTGAATACTACAAGGTAGGCATAATTTTTATCCTCATTTTATAGATAGGTAGAAAAATGGAGGCTTAGACAGTTTAAGGAATTTGTCCAGGGTTTTACAGCTAGTAAGTGATAGAGCTAGGAGATGGCCAGAATCCCAAGAGAAAGCAGAAAAAGAAGTCAGAAGATGAGGGTTTTGTCCAATTCGACCCTTTGGTGGCACAACAATCTCTGAGTTTCAGATTTATTGTCTTTGAAATGATAGCTGTTGGTCTGCCCACTTCTTAGGGTTGTTGTTAAGATCAAAAAAGTTATTGATCGTAAAAGTTTTTAGCTGCAGGATACTACGAGTATATGAAAGAGTTTGTGATCTAGTTTAATGGTTCTTGACTCATGATGATTTTGTCCCCCTGAGACCATTTGATGTGGAGAGTGTTGGGATTGTCATAGCTAGAGGATGTGCTGCTGGCATCTAGTGGCTAGGAGTCAGAGATGCTTCTAAGCCTCTTACAATGGGCAAGATGAAACACAAAAAATTATTTAGCCTAAACCATCAATAACTGCCAAAGTTTAGAAACTCTGATTTTGGCTAATAATAGCCATTTAACTAATTTTTATGACCAATTGTCTAGTTAAATAGCCAGTACAAAAATTAAGGCTTACATTGATCAGGTTATTTCCCAACTTGTTATATAACAAGTTGATGCTGGGGCCAAAATCAGATTTCATTTTTTTTTTTAAGATTTTATTTATGTATTCATAGAGAGAGAGGCAGAGGGAGAAGCAGGTTCCATGCAGGGAGCTCGACGTGGGACTCGATCCTGGGGCTTCAGGATCACACCCCGGGCTTCAGGCAGTGCCAAACCACTGCGCCACCGGGGCTTCCCTCAGATTTCATTATAATTGACCTTTGATGGGGGCACCTGGGTGGCTCAGTGGTTGAGCATCTGCCTTAGGCTCAGATCCCCGGGTCCTGGGATCGAGTCCCACATTGGGTTCCCCACAGGGAGCCTGCTTCTCCCTCAGCCAATGTCTTTGCCTCTCTCTCTCTGTGTCTCTCATGAATAAATAAATAGTCTTTTTAAAAAAGAAAAACAAAAACAATTGATCTTTGATGTTTTGAGGAGTGAGTTTTTTGAGAAACAGAAACCTCAAAGAAGAGTTTTTGTGTCTTTAGTGTGCTCAAAAACAATGAAAAGAAACATATAGTTCTAAGTAATTTGTGAAGACTTTGCTTTCATGTTCTTTGAAGTGGGTGACATGGTCATTTTTAAGCCAAAAATATTTTTACTGTAACTTCTGTGTCTATGGCATTGGTATTTGGTGGTGAGATGACTATGAGAGATGTAAAATCTGCTGTCTGCCAGGAGTTCACAGCTCAACTGGGTAAATGTCTTAGGGATCATTTGGTTGTATGCAATGGAAGCCAACTCAAGTTGATTAATGAGGAATTTAATAACGATACAGTGTGATTTCATATCACTCATGAACCGAGGGTAGGAGGTACAACTAGGCTTCATGAGCTAGGCTGTGTTGGTATGAAGACAAGTAAATTAATATCACACTTTATTAGATGTACTTACAATATATTAAACTTTTTTCTTCAGCCTTCAAATTTGTTTTTTATTTCTGATTTTAGAATACATTAAAATTATTTTTGTGAGCTCCAATAAGTATTGTGGGTCCAGGCACCGTGCCTACTCTATTTACCGATTAAGTCATCTGTTAGGCATTGTACAGGCTGGGTTTTTTAATTTTTTAATTTTAAGATTTTATTTTTAAGTAATCTCTTTACCCAATGTAGGACTTTAATTCCCAACCCTGAGATCAAAAGTAGCATGCTCTGCTGGCTGAGCCAGCCAGGCGCCCTGGCGTGGTGCAGGCTGTTTCAAGGGCTGGGTAGGATCTTCTGCCCCAAACTCCTTTGCTAGAACACAGCTCCAATCTAACTGGGACTTCATCTAGAAGCATGGAAGAGTACATTTAACCAGCTCCGAACACTACTTTAAATAAGACTGGGCTTTTGTTGTTGAGAAAGAAAAAGAAGGAACAGGTATTGCGTAGGCAACCCGCTGTCTGCCATAGCTTGTCTTCAGATGGTAGTGTTTGTGTATTAGTATTGAAAACTGGTTCACGTGTATAGAAATAGACTTGTAACTTACAGGTTACCTGTTAAGAGGAGGGTTTGGTAGTAAGAAGGAGCACAGGAGCTAAGGGACTGAATGAAGGTGGTTAGCAGCAAAAATGGAAAGGAGTGAATAGATGAAGGCCCTTATTCTTCTCTGGAAAAGGAACTACCTTATGTAACCATACTTTTATGAAAATTCTTGGGAAAGAGTCCAAATTGCTTAGTACCTTGATTCAGATATGAATGTAGTTCTGCATTTTTCCAAATGTGCTAAGCTCCCTGTCTCACCTGAGCCTCTGTTCAATGTAGTTTCTCTGTCCTCATGCCTCCCCAATCTCTGCCTTGCTCTCTCATCTTTCAGGTCTCAGTTAATCACCTGCATTGGTCATCAACAGGTTATGCTATGCCATCTTTAATATGTTCCTACCCACCAATATTACCTCTATGCCAGCACTAAACACAGAGTGGTGTCAATATCTGCCTGTCTTTCTCACAGGACTACTGAAGTTTGTTCATGGTAGGGACTGGTAACTTGCTTTTCATTATATTCTCAAGATATAGCTTATAGCAGGTTCTCAAAAAATGCCTGTTGAATATTTAAAGATTTTAAAAGAGAAGTGAATAATACATTGCCCACTTTTGCATATTGTGGCCACAAAAGAAATAACAGATTAGAAACTTAACCACTGAGCCAACAAGGCACTAAATCTTAATCTTAATACTGATGGTTATTTTTATTGCATAAGACATAAAGTATATTTAGGATAGTTATTGGAGCAATAGAGTTAAGGTTGGGATATTTTTGACTGCACAGAATTCCTCCTTGCAAAGTGCTCAAATTTGTGTAACCATTTAAAAAACAGCAAAGAATCCAACATATCTGTGATATGAATAGAAAGCTTTTTAAAATTTTTATTTTATTTTTTTAGTAAACCCTATGCCCATTATAGGGCTTGAACTCATGACGCTGAGATGAAGAGTCTCAGGGTCGTGAGTTTGTTCTACTAAGTCAGCCAGATGCCCCAATTTTTAAAAAAAGTAATATAAAATATGTGTAAATATATATTTAAGCTCTGTCCAATGTGGGACTTGAACTCACGACCCCATGATCAAGAGTGTATGCTCTACCAATTGAGCCAGCCAGGTACTCCGTTGAAAAGCATTTTTTGACGTATTGGGTGAAAAGAGAGGAGGAGGCATGAATAAAGGAGACTGAATTGCAGGTGTTAGGGTACTTAGCAGGGGCTCCTGGCTAGCCCAGTGAGTGGAGTATGCAACTCTTCATCTCAGGGTTGTAAGTCTGAGCCCCATGTTGGGTGCAGAGATTTCTTTTAAAAAAATCTTAAAAAAAAAAAAAAAAGTATGAGTAGAACCCAGCTATTTTCTCATTTGAAAATGCTGCCGAAGAAGAATGAAACTAGACCACTCTCTTGCACCATACACAAAGATAAACTCAAAATGGATGAAAGATCTAAATGTGAGACAAGATTCCATCAAAATCCTAGAGAAGAACACAGGCAACACCCTTTTTGAACTTGGCCACAGTAACTTCTTGCAAGATACATCCACGAAAGCAAAAGAAACAAAAGCAAAAATGAACTATTGGGACTTCATCAAGATAAGAAGCTTTTGCACAGCAAAGGATACAGTCAACAAAACTCAAAGACAACCTACAGAATGGGAGAAGATATTTGCAAATGACGTATCAGATAAAGGGCTAGTTTCCAAGATCTATAAAGAACTCATTAAACTCAACACCAAAGAAACAAACAATCCAATCATGAAATGGGCAAAAGACATGGAGAGAAATCTCACAGAGGAAGACATAGACATGGCCAACATGCACATGAGAAAATGCTCTGCATCACTTGCCATCAGGGAAATACAAATCAAAACCACAATGAGATACCACCTCACACCAGTGAGAATGGGGAAAATTAACAAGGCAGGAAACCACAAATGTTGGAGAGGATGCGGAGAAAAGGGAACCCTCTTACACTGTTGGTGGGAATGTGAACTGGTGCAGCCACTCTGGAAAACTGTGTGGAGGTTCCTCAAAGAATTAAAAATAGACCTGCCCTACGACCCAGCAATTGCACTGTTAGGCATTTACCCCAAAGATTCAGATGCAATGAAACGCCAGGACACCTGCACCCCGATGTTTCTAGCAGCCATGTCCACAATAGCCAAACTGTGGAAGGAGCCTCGGTGTCCATCGAAAGATGAATGGATAAAGAAGATGTGGTTTATGTATACAATGGAATGTTACTCAGCCATTAGAAACGACAAATACCCACCATTTGCTTCAACGTGGATGGAACTGGAGGGTATTATGCTGAGTGAAGTAAGTCAATCGGAGAAGGACAAACAGTGTATGTTCTCATTCATTTGGGGAATATGAATAATAGTGAAAGGGAATATAAGGGAAGGGAGAAGAAATATCAGAAAGGGAGACAGAACATAAAGACTTCTAACTCTGGGAAATGAACTAGGGGTGGTGGAGGGGGAGGAGGGCGGGGGGTGGGGGTGAGTGGGTGACGGGCACTGAGGGGGACACTTGACGGGATGAGCACTGGGTGTTATTCTGTATGTTGGTAAATTGAACACCAATAAAAATTAATTTATAAAAAAGAAAAGAAAGAAAATGCTGCAGAATCTGGAAATGTTAGCATGTAGGAAGAGGAAGAAAATCTAATTTCAGTTCAAATAACTTTATACCAGAAAATAAAGTTTTAGAAACTAAAAGTAAATTTTTTTTTAATTTTTATTTATTTATGATAGTCAGAGAGAGAGAGAGAGGCAGAGACACAGGCAGAGGGAGAAGCAGGCCCCATGCACCGGGAGCCCGGCGTGGGATTCGATCCCGGGTCTCCAGGATCACGCCCTGGGCCAAAGGCAGGCGCCAAACCGCTGCGCCACCCAGGGATCCCCTAAAAGTAAATTTAAAAACAGAATTGGATTTGTATATTATTTGGTATCTAGCTTTCACAGTTGTCTTTTCTATTAGCATTCCATTCCACTCTAGCTTTGGTACACTTGCTCTTATAAGCTAATTTTTCTTTTTTTTTTGTTTTCTTTTTCACAGAGCCACAAACTGAGAAAGAAGTGCTAATTCTTTTTTTCTCAAAGATAGAATGATCATGGGTATTCTTTGCTTTCACTTTCAGTCATGAGTAGCTTACAGGATGATGGCAATGTTGCCATGTAGATCGGATATTACTAGAGACATGCTTGCTATTCTGTGTTTCATTTTAATTTCATATTAATAGTCTATTAATTATTTTGGAGAGAAGTTCATCAGTTTCCTTGAAAAAAAAAATAGATGACTAATCCTCCTTCAGCATCTTCCAACTAGGTGTTAACATCCATCTTTGGTGGGGATAATTGCAGCCTGGCCAGCAGGTTACTGCTCCATCCTGTACTTTTCTAAGAATTAATACATTTTAACTAAATGAGAACAGTATCTGTTTGACAGAAGTATCTGTTTTAGTCTGACTTTAAAAAGTATTTATATATTTAAATAATTCATTAACCATCCTTTTAGGTATAAAGTGGACAGATCATGATAGCCCTGATTTTTAATCATGTTTGTTTAAAATTTGAGATAACCACGGAAAAATTGCCTATCAGTAAACAGCTCGGTTTTGTTTGAACCCAGTTTAAAAAAAATTTTTTTTAAAACAAGCCTGTAGGGATCCCTGGGTGGCGCAGCGGTTTGGCACCTGCCTTTGGCCCAGGACGCGATCCTGGAGACCCGGGATCAAATCCCACGTCGGGCTCCTGGTGCATGGAGCCTGCTTCTCCCTCTGCCTGTGTCTCTGCCTCTCTCTCTCTCTCTCTCTCTCTCTCTCTCTCTGTGTGTGTGTGTGTGACTATCATAAATAAATAAAACTTTAAAAAAAAAATAAAACAAGCCTGTATAGATTATTCTCTTTTGTGTCTAATAGGAAAGAAAAGGAACAGCCAAAGTAGACTTTTTGAAGAAGATTGAGAAGGAAATCCAACAGAAATGGGCTACTGAGAAAGTATTTGAGGTTGATGCATCTAATTTAGAGAACCAGACTGGGTAAGTAATACTTTGTGAAGTTCAACACTTTGTGTTTCTGAAACTGTTGGCTACAGAAACCACTTTATGGAAAGGATAAGACAGATTGTATTTATAATGTCTGAAACCGGCTGAAGGAGTAACTTCTACTTTCTGCTTTTGAAATTAGGATCCTGTTTCCTTTTGGAATTCCTTTTTTTTTTTTTTTTTTTTTTTTTTTAGTAGGCACAGGGCACCTGAGTGGTTCACTTGATTGTCTAACTCTTGATTTTGGCTCAGGTCATGATTCAGGGTTGTAAATTGGTCTCTACACTCAGCATAGAGTTTGCCTACGGTTCTGTTTCTCCCTCTCCTCCTACCCCTCCCTCTGTGTTGTGTTTTCTCTCTCTCTCCCTCAAATAAATTAATAAATAAATGAAATCTTAGATTTCATTTATTTATTAATGAGAGACACACAGAGAGAGAGGCAGAGGCATGGGCAGAGGGAGAAGCAGGCTCCATACAGGGAGCCCAGTGTGGGAATTGATCCCGGGACTCCAGGATCAAGCCCTGGGCCAAAGGCAGGCACTAAACTGCTGAGCCACCCAGGGATCCCCAATAAATAAAATCTTTAAATAAATAAGGTGAGCTCTGCTGATTGTGGGGCTTGAACTCACAACTCTGGATTCAAGAGTGATGAGCTCTACTGCCTGAGCCAGCGGTGCCCCTTCTAGAGAATTTTTTTTTTCCCTCCTATAGAATTCTTTCTTTTCTTTTCTTTTCTTTCTTTCTTTCTTTCTTTCTTTCTTTATTTCTTTCTTTCTTCTTTTTATTTATGATAGTCACACAGAGAGAGAGAGAGAGAGAGGCAGAGACATAGGCAGAGGGAGAAGCCGGCTCCAAGCACCAGGAGCCTGACGTGGGATTCGATCCTGGGTCTCCAGGATCGCGCCCTGGGCCAAAGGCAGGCGCTAAACCGCTGCGCCACCCAGGGATCCCCCTCCTATAGAATTCTTAAAGGACTTTTTCTACATAAGGTTTTTTTCTTTTTTTTTTAACTAGTTTTTTTTTTTTTTTTGTATTTAGACAAAGGAGAATGTTTTGAAGTTTCGTCTTTGCTGACTGATGAAATCATTCTATTAGAGATTCATATTATAGTGACACAAAATATAAATTTTAAAGGGTTTCTGTATTTGAAGGTCTTATTTCATAAGTACTGTATTGTCTTGATGTTAAGCATCAGTTATAAGACAGTCTACAGATAATGATTATAATACTGGGAAAAACTAAAATAACTGCCCCCAAACAGTACTGTAATAAATATATGGGTTAATTATAAGATGCGTTTCGATTTCAGATACGTTGAAATGTAGAAAAATGTCTTCCTACAATGAAGAAATAGATTGACAACAATTATAGTAGTAGCTAATCTTGAAAAGTTTTTGTTCAGTATGCAAAGAAATTAGAAAATATGCCATTTTTAGCAAGCATATTATCATTTAATCTTCCTAATAACCCTTTAAGATTACCAACATTTTTAAATTTTTATTTTTTTTAAGATTTTACTTATTCATGAGAGACACAGAAAGAAAGTCAGAGACATTGGCAGAGAGAGAAGCAGGCTCCCTATAGGGAGCCTGATGCGGAACTCAATCCCAGGACCCCGATTTGATCCAAAGGCAGATCCTTAAACACTGAGCCACTCAGGTACCCCAAGATTAGCAATATTTTTTTCCCTGTGCTATAGATGAGGAGACTGAGGTACAGGGAGACTAACCAGTGCAGGGTTATATAGGTAGGAATCAACAGACTCTGGACTACTTGTCAGGACTTTCTGATTTCAAAAGTGTGTCCTCCTTTTCAGCAACATTCTAATGGTTTTTTTTCTTTCTCTTTTTCTTTTTTCAAAGAAAGTAAAAGTGTTGTTGTAATATAAAGTCTTTGATATTATACTTTGTAGTTTGAAGCTTTGTTGTTCTAGAATTTTAGCCAATTATAGGTAATTTAAAGTTATCAAGAATGAACTGAAAAAGCTTCTTTGTACAGTGAAAGAAAATGAACTGAAAAAAACTTAGAAATGTAACATAGAGTGCTAAGTAATCTCTGTACCTATTGTGGGGCTCGAAATTACAACCCTAGGATCAAGAGTCCCTTGTTTCACTGACTGTGCCATCCAGGTACCCCAGTATATAATTTTTTAATAAAGCTGACAAGTGAGCAGAACTAAATGATACACTGTTTAAGGACATAGTTACGTGTATAAGTGATTCAAAATCAAGAATATGACAAAAGTAAATTTTAAGATCCTTATCTCTGGTAGGAGAGGGTTGAGGAGCACATGAATAGCTTCAGTGGATTCATCAGTTGGATAGTGTGCCTACAGGTGTTCATTTTATTGTGCTTCATAACAGGTATGTATGTTACACATTTGATTCACAGGAAAAGAGGATATAATAAATTGAACAGCTTTAAAAAAGTGCTTTTAAACTTATTTTACCATGTATCTTATAATACTGAGGATATTTTATTTTACCTGACAGACTTGAATTGCTTTATGTGTATCTAATGAAGGCAGATCTCAGTTAATTACTAAAACATTAAATTAATCCAGTATCCTAAGAGTATTAAAATTATTTTTAGTAAATTATCTTTACTCAGCATTTTAGCTTGTTAAACCTCTAGTATTTGCTACAAGGATATTTATTTCTTTAATATCTACCTATAAATATCTTATTCTTTCTAAATCAAAAGTAAGTTTCAATTTCAGAAGGCTTTTAATTTCCAGATCTATAAATTCAATTTTAAATGTCATTTTTTTAAGTAATAAAATTTAAGCAAGTTGTTTGTAGTACACATTACATTCACTCCACCTCCCTACTCTAAAAGAAACTTAACATTTTCTTCTCTGTACTTTATTTTTTTACATGATTTTTTTTCAGCAAGGGCAAGTACTTTGTAACCTTCCCATATCCGTATATGAATGGGCGCCTTCATTTGGGACACACATTTTCTTTATCCAAATGTGAGGTAAAGTTTCCTGTGCTTAATATAATGGGATGGAGGGTCTTTGATAAATACTATTTTGAAGAAAATGGCATATATAGAATTTATTTCCTGTTAAGGGAACTTAGAATTCCTTAATTTTAAGCATAATTTTAATACTTCTCTTAAATTTTCTTATATTTAACTGGCATATGCTGTGTATATATTGTACAGCAATCTAAGTATGATGTGTAGTCATAAGTAATTTCTCGGTTGGTGAAAAGAGAAAAAAGGAACGGTGGGCAGAATTTTGGAATGACTTCTAAAGGAAGGGAGGTGGAGGAAAACTAAACTGTTGATCTTTGTGAAAAGTCAACATTTTGTATTTATCTAACATTTGAATTTGTAATTTAAATTTAGTTTGCTTTCTGTAGTTTGCAGTAGGATACCAGAGACTGAAAGGAAAAACTTGTCTGTTTCCCTTTGGTTTACACTGTACTGGAATGCCTATCAAGGTAAGATTGCTTTTGGGATTGGTTTCTACTTATTTTAGCTTAAAGCAAATGTAATATCCAATTTAGGAGTTTGGAATAGGGTTTTCAGATACTTATATTGCAGTGTTTTTTGAAATGAGTTGAATTTATTATAGTGAAAATTAATTTTTAGAAGACACTTTAAGAAGTGCATAAAGAAAAAAAAAGTACGTAAAGGGCACACATTAAAGTCTCAGTGACCTCTAAGTAATTTTGGTATCTTTATTGATGACCATACATATGGACATTTCTGCTTTCAAGTTAGGTAATAACTATTTTTTTTTTGGTAATAACTATTAACAAGTAAAATAACATGAAATTTTTTGCACTCATGACATGTAGGATATCGGCATCAAGAAATAAACAGTTTTTTTTTTAATGTATAATAGCTTTTTTTAGTTGTATCATATTTTGGTCATGCTTGCAAAAGTCTTCATCTGTCATAAATAGGTATTAGAAATAATTCTCAGAAAAGAAGGGGCCAGACAATTAGAGTTGAAAGGATTCCCTAAATATAAGAGAGTTGGGAAAATTAACTCCCATTTCTTTTGCTTATCCAACATTTTATCTTGAAAAATGTCAAACCTGTCGAAGAGGTAAAAAAAAAAAGGATAGTAGAATGAACACCCATAAGCCTTTCAGCGTAGTTACCAAGTATTAACATTTTCCATAATTGCTTTAGTTCACACACATGGAATATGTTCTATCTTTTTCTATGAACTCATTGAAAGTAAGTTGCACCCCTCATGTTGTACCACCTCTAACTACTTTAGCATGTATCTTTTGAGAACAAGGGCATTCCGCATCATCAGTCTCATTGTCACTTCCAAGAAATTTAACGTTGATATATTATTGTCATCTAATCTCTAGTCAGATGTCTCTAGTTGTCCCAAAATGTCCTTTTGATTAGATTTGGGTGAAATATTTTGACAAGAATATTACATTGGTGAGGTGTAAACCTGCTGTTGTATCATGGAAAGGCATATATTGTCAGTTTGTCCCAGTTTAGTGTAGTAAGTTAACAACTCAAGATTTCTTCGTTCTGAGGGTGACTTTTTTTTTTTTAAGGTTTTATTTATTTATTCATGAGAGACACACACAGAGAGAGAGGGGGTGGGCAGAGACACAGGCAGAGGGAGAAGCAGGCTCCACGCAGGGAGCCCACTGTGGGACTCGATCCTGGGACTCCAGGATCATGCCCTGGGCCGAAGTCAGACACTAAACCACTGAGCCACCCAGGAATCCCCTCTGAGGTGAAAGTAACCTGTGGGTGATACTTTGAGAGCCTCTGAATATCTGGTCACTCAATAACCCATGGGTTTTAAGATCCTTGTCTATTTCAGTTATTGGATAAGTGGTTATAAAATGGTGACTTTCTAGTTGTGTCATTCTTTCCTCATTAATTTACTGAAATTCTTCTGCATGAAAGAGTCCCCCTAGGGGATCCCTGGGTGGCTCAGTGGTTTGGCTCTGGGGGTGGAACATAGGGGGCAGAGAGAATCTTTAAGCAGGTTCCATGTCTGGCATGGAGCCCCAACGTGACTCAGTCTCATGACCCTGACATGGTTACCTGAGCTGAAATCAAGAGTTGGACGCTTAACCAGCTGAACCACCCAGGCATCCCTAAAATTCATAAATAATTCTGCATTTGTATTTTTCTCATAACGTTAGCACTACTTGGTATCTTATTTATTTATTTGGTATCATCTTTATTTTTGACAGTGGACTCATTATGATATAATTGAGGAGAGTTGGGGTGGAAAGCCCAAGTTCATGTGTTAGTTCTGCAGCTTACTAGCTTTATAACTGGGTAAACCTCTTCATCTCTCATGTGTGTTCTCTAACTAAATGCGTGTCTTCTCTGCCTGGCAGGCTTGAGGTGATGATAGAAGATATAAGACAGTAATCTTTATTTTTTATTTTTTATTTTTTGACAGTAATCTTTAAACTGAGAAATGCTGTTATTCATGTTGGTATTCAAAATGATAACACTGTATCTTATGTATCTTGCTACTTTTAATGTCTAACATATAGTATAATACATTGAGTACTTTGAATGTGGAATAAATACTTGTTGAATAAATGAAGTAAAATACTAATTGATAAATTAGTGAATTTTGATATACGTGAATTGTATCATATGAGTTTTCTGTAATGATCCACATGTGTATTGATGTATTATAGAAAATTTCAGAGTTTTAGTTTGCTCTAGAAATGCCAAAAAAATTCATATTGTTTCTACCTTGAATTTTGAATCTCACGCTAATGTTGTATTTGTTATAGGCATGTGCTGATAAGTTGAAAAGAGAAATAGAGCTTTATGGTTGCCCTCCTGATTTTCCAGATGAAGAAGAGGAAGAGGAAGAAATCACTGTTAAAACAGAAGAAGTAATAATTAAAGATAAAGCTAAAGGAAAAAAGGTTTGGTGGTTAATATTTATTTTGGTTAAAATTTTATATATATATATATATATATATATATATATATATATGTCTAATTTATATATGTCTTCCCAGTACTTGGCACGTAAAAAGTACTCTAATTTTAAAAAGTAACAAAGCCAAATATTATCCTCTTGATTTTTTTTAAAAAAGATTTTGTTTATTCATGAGAGACACACAGAGAGAGAGACAGAGACAGAAACACAGGCAGAGGGAAAAGCAGGCTCCATGCAGGGAGCCTGATGTGGGACTCGATCCCAAGACTCCAGGACCATGCCCCAGGCCTAAGGCAAGTGCTAAACCATTGAGCCACCCAGGGATCCCCTAGTCTCTTCCATTTCTGTCTTCTGTGACAGACACTTTTGGAAACTACTGGTCAGATAATTTATAGAATGTCCCTCAATTTGGGTTTGTCTAATACTTTCTCATGAGTAGATTTAGAGGTGATGTGTCCTCTTCAGTGTATCATATCAGTGAGTATACGGTGTTGATATCTTACTGTGGGTGATGTTAACTTGATCATTGGGTTTAGGTGTTGTCTGTCGGATTTTTCTGTTCTAAGGATTCCATTTTTCCCTTTGATTCATGTATATTTTGAGAGAGATACTTAGAGGCTATGGGAATAATATCTTTTTTTTAAAAAAAAGATTTTATTTATTTTAGAGAGGAAGTGAGTGAGAGTAGGAGAGGGGAGAGGGACAGAGGGAAGAGGAGAGAGAACCCCAAGCAGACTCCCTGCTGAGCACAGAGCCCACTGCTAGGTTCAGTCTTATGACCCTGAGACCATGACTGAGCCAAAATCAAGAGTCAGATGCTTAACCGACTGAGCCAGCCAGGTGCCCCTGGAAATAATATCTTCTTTTTAAATATTTTCTCATTAATTTAGCATTCCTCAGTGGATCTTGCCTGCAACAGTTATAACTGTATGCTCTAATGGTGATTTTCCATTTCCCTCATTCCTTCTATATTCTCTAGAATTCTTCTGAAAAGAATAGTTATCCTTTCTTCCCCCACTTACTTATTTATTCAGTCTTCTTTTTACTGTCTGCATGGAATCATGCATATTTATTTTATTCTTTGAGTTATACTCTAGTATTATCTGGTGTTTTGGGGGATTGTTATTGTTAGTGCTCAACTTGCTCTGGTTTTGGCCATTGAGAGTCTTTTAGGTAGGTTCTTATGTCCATCTGACATGCTCTCATCTTTTTTCTTTTCTTTCTTTTCTTTTTTAAGTACTTTATAATTTCCTGTACCCAACATACTCCATGTTTATCTTGTGTTTTCCTGGAATCAACCATTTATCCATGGAATCTGGTTTCCTCTTATTGAGAAATGATACTTAGAAATAAGTTCCAAATACTAAGTACACTCATTGTCTGTTGTCCCTCTCAATAGAAGGAGCAAGGAAATATCTATCTATATATCTATCTATATCTATATCTATATCTATATATCTATATCAAATAATGTAATAATCCTGATAACCCACATATGTGCACCTGCCTATATTTCTTTACCTATCTCTATGTACATTTAAAAAGTTGATACTACAAGGTGCCTGGCTGGCTCATTTGGTAGAACATGCGATTCTTGATGTTGGGGTGGTGAGTTTGAGCCCCTCAGTGGGAGTGAAGTTTACCTTAAAATTTTTTTTTATACTGATAAAACCCTGGCTCCATGTTAGCACCATGGGGCTCATTTTAGCTTTCTTTCTTTTTTTTTTTTTTAATTTTTATTTATTTATGATAGTCACACAGAGAGAGAGAGAGAGAGAGAGACAGAGAGAGAGAGACAGGCAGAGGGAGAAGCAGGCTCCATGCACCGGGAGCCCGATGTGGGACTCGATCCCGGGTCTCCAGGATCGCGCCCTGGGCCAAAGACAGGCGCTAAACCACTGCGCCACCCAGGGTTCCCCTCATTTTAGCTTTCAACCTTTGCTAATTTGTGACTTCTTTCTCCAACAGTGAGAAACCTGGCTGTCATTATTTATAGTATGTAATTTGTTCAATCCTAGTCTACTAGTAGTTTCCGAATTGCTAACCCATACTTCTGAGAGAAATAGTTTTACCAATGAAAGTAGTGTTCATATATACTTTTTGTCTACTTTTTGTCCTTAGAATCTAGTCAACACATTCTTTTCCAAAGTTACTTCTTTTTTTTTTTTTTTTTTTTTTTTTGAGTAAGCTTTCCATCCAGCATGGGGCTCAAAGTCATGGTCCTGAGATCAAGAGTTGCATGTTCTACCAACTAACCCAGCCAGACACCCCCCATAGTTATTTTTCAAGCTCCTTTCTTTTTTACCCATTTCAAAGTATAGTTGTAGCATATATTTATAATACTGTTAGACATTTGTCACAGTCTGCAATTTATCTTTGATTCCTCCAACATCCTGGCTGATTTTTTTAAACAAGTGTATATACAGTAAAATTCACTCTTTATAGTAGATAGCTGTGTTGGTTTGACACAGTCCTGTTTCTAGCACCGCAGTACCATACACAGCAGTTCTATCACCTCCAAAATTCCTTGCCCTGCTTTTTTATAGTTTTTTTTTTTTTAAAGATTTATTTATTTTAGAGAGAGAGAAAGAGAGAGAGTGTGCATGCAGGGGGGTAAGGGTGGGATGGACAGAGGGAGAGAAAAAAATCTTAAGCTGACTCCTTGCTGAACACAAAGCTGGGTATAGGGCCTGATCCTACAACTCTGAGACCATGACCTGAGCTGAAATCAAGAGTTGGATGCTTAACTGAGCCACTCAGGTGCCTTTTTTTTTTTTTTTTAAAGATTTTTGTCTATTTATTTTAGAGAGAGAGAGACTGAACATGAACAAGGGGAGGAGCAGAGGGAGAGGGACAGGAAGACTCTTCACACTGAGCTCAGAACCCAATGCAGGGCTCCATCCCACAACCCCAAGATCATGAACCTAGACAAAACCAAAGCCAAGAGTTGGTTGCTTAACCAGCTGAGCCAACCATTTTTGTAGTTTCATATTTTTTTTAATGGTTTTTATAGTTTTATAGTTCAACTCTTTTACCCACCTGCATCCCCTACATTTGGTTGCCTTTTTGATATTGGTAAATAGTTGAAAAGAACAATACTCTTGTTAGTAGCTTATTCATAACTAAAAAAGGTACATGTGGTGTTAGGAAAAAGAAAACGGAGATTGGTGCTGACATCTTATGTTTGATGATAATTCCTTATGGTTCCAATGGCTTAGTTATTTCTCATGTCAGAGTCTCAGTATCATATTATATGGTTTGGCAGAAAAAATAGTACATCTAAATCCTTTAGTATTCTGACATACCAACGGCATGTTTTAGAATTTAAAAATTACCAAATGGAATTATTCACTTAAAATTATTGTGGTCCTGGAATTTGCTAACTACTTGTTGATTGGTCCTTGATGGAAGTTTGTTTTTACTGGTTATTTTCAGAGTAAGGCTGCTGCTAAAGCTGGATCTTCTAAATATCAGTGGGGCATTATGAAATCCCTTGGTCTGTCTGATGAAGAGATAGTTAAATTTTCTGAAGCAGAACATTGGCTTGATTATTTCCCACCACTCGCTATTCAGGATTTGAAGAGAATGGGTTTGAAGGTATGTCCATCATCCCCATAGTTTAATAAAATATGAAGACACATTTGTGTTTATGATTATATTAGATTTGGACCACCTCTTAATTTAGAATAATGTGTTCCACCTCTGTTGCACTAATGAATTAGTATTGTTCTTGTTATGGGCCTTGATGTAAATAGTACTTTATTATTTGTTGCATTGGAATATGTTTTAATATATTAGCTATTGGTAGAGGGGAATTCTGTTCAAAGAATATGAAGTAGCCAAAGTTTAGCTTGTATATTAGGACTATATAAAGGTATTATTTAAGTGTTCTTTCTTAATTTATTATAATTCCTATATGCTTGTTATATGAATATATATGTTTAAAAACTGACAAATTAATCACAAGTTAATATAGTTGTAATCTATATTTAATAGGTGGAACCTGAAAATTGTTTTCCTTTTAATATCTGATATAAATGTAGGCTGGAAAAAAGAAGAGTCGAAAAGTAAATAATTGGGTCAGTGGGAATTCTTATTCATAGAGATATACACGTTTCTCAAAAATACTTTTTGTTTTCTCTCCTATAGGTAGACTGGCGTCGTTCCTTCATCACCACTGATGTTAATCCTTACTATGATTCATTTGTCAAGTGGCAGTTTTTAACGTTAAGAGAAAGAAACAAAATAAAATTTGGGAAGCGGTATGTTTGTTGTCCTTTGGTGTAATACAACAGAAATCATATAATTCTTGGATTGTAATTCAGTGCTTGTTAGATAGCTTTCTTTTTCCCATTATCCTGTCTCTTTTTATTTTTCCTTTTTGTTCTCTTGTCTTCTTTGTTTTCCCTTTTGTCTTACCAATGTTTTAATGTTTCTGAACTGCTTAGTATTTATAACAAATAAAGACAGGGATAATAGGAGTGTTGGTTTTTTTTTTTTAAGATTTTATTTATTTATTCATGAGAGACACAGAGAGAGAGGCAGAGACACAGGCAGAGGGAGAAGGAGACTCCATTCAGGGAGCCTAATGTGGGATTTGATCATGAGTCTCCAGGATCACACCCTGGGCTGAAGGCAGGCGCTAAACCGCTGAGCCTCCCAGCCTGCCCAGGAGTGTTGGTTTTATGATCTTCCTAAAGATTCTGTTCAGCATTTCCAGTCAAGCACAAAAATAATTTTATTTATGTGTTGGTTTACCTTTTTTTTCCTATAAATTAAGATTCTTCCTTGAGGGATCCCTGGGTGGCGCAGTGGTTTAGCGCCTGACTTTAGCCCAGGGCGTGATCCTGGAGACCTGGGATCGAATCCCACGTCCGGCTCCTGGTGCGTGGAGCCTGCTTTTCCCTCTGCCTGTGTCTCTGCCTCTCTCTCTCTGTGTGACTATCATAAATAAATAAAAAAATTAAAAAAAAAAAAAAAAGATTCTTCCTTGATTCTGTGGATTAATTAAAAGGGACTGGTATTTCATAACTGAAATTATATTTTATAATCTTTTGTTTCATACCACAACACCAAGATTGGTATATATTTTTCAGGGGTATGACCTTTGATGAAGGCAGGAAGCTTTCATTAAATATCTAGGCTGGCAACTACTCAAAAAGCATATATAATGGATGTAGACATTTGTTCAGTTAGAAGTTTTAGTTAGAAGAAATATTGCAAGATATTAGCAACAAAGGCAAATATGTTAGGATAAATAATATTTGTCACTTATTATTTATTTTTAGGTATACCATTTATTCTCCAAAAGACGGACAGCCTTGCATGGATCATGACAGGCAAACTGGAGAGGTAATTATTTGTGACATAGAGCAGCTGTGAATTATAATAATTCTTAATATGGCCATAGAGTTTATAGAATAGATCAGGAACCTAAAAATAATTTTATTCTAGTGCTGAAGTGTATTCCAGGGGCTGTGAAGAGGGAGGCAAAATGTCCCCTTAGGTGTCTGTGTCTTGTCTAGGACAAGACTCCAAGAGCCGTGCTAGGACCAGCTGTATATGCTTGTGATAGAAAAGTACATTCTTGAGCTTTACCCCCAGATTGCTAAATCAGTATCTTTGGGGTAGAGTCACAAATCTATCTCTTATAAGCTCTCAGTATGATTCACTTGCAGGCTAATGTTTGAGAAGCACTGCCTGAAGTATATACTGCTCTAAAATGAGAGCATGGGGAAGATAATGAAATGTGTGGCTAACTGATAGATGCAAACAAATTCCATTTATACTTGTTTGGATCATGTGCCTACTTGCTTATTTCCAAAGTACTTCTAGTCATGCATGACATCATTTCATTCTACGTTCCTGTAAGACACATTAGTAGCATTATTCCTTGTAATACTTCGTGATTTGCCTAAATCCGTGGCACAGTGAATCAGCAACAGTGCCAGAATCTGACCTTAGAATTCCCTATGAGTGCATCTTCCTTCATTACCATATCTGAATGTATTTGTAATCTAGTGACTACTTTTCAAAGTCAGCTTTCAATTATGATGTAACTTACCTAATAGAAGTGAGAGTTGATCAAAATTTTGAATTCAGAAGACCCATTTTATTGACTCTATTAAGTTTTAATGTAGTCAACACCACAGCAGTATCCGAAATATGACACAATAGTATGTCATAGTTTTTTTTTTTTAAAGATTTTTTAATTTATTTATTCATAGAGACAGAGAAAGAGAGAGAGAGAGAGAGGCAGAGACACAGGCAGAGGGAGAAGCAGGCACCATGTAGAGAGCCTGACGTGGGACTTGATCCAGGGTCTCCAGGATCATGCTCTGGGCTGCAGGCGGCGCTAAAGCGCTGCGCCACTGGGGCTGCCCTGTCATAGTTTTTCAAAGCATTTTCTTGTTCATTGTCTTATGTGCTCCTCAGGATATCCTGTGTGAGTCACAGTACAATTATTTTACAGATGAAGAAATGAAGGCTTAGAGAGATTGTAATTCTCTTGGGTCAAGCCATTAGTAATGGCCTAGAGTAGGTTTAAAAAAATTTTTTTTAAGATTTTATTTATTTATTTGACAGAGCACAAGCAGAGGGAGCAGCAGATAAATGGGGAGAAGCAGACTCCCCACTGAGTAGGGAGCTCAACACAGGGCTCGATCCCAGGAGCCTGGGCAGAGGCTGAAGTCATGACCTGAGGCAGAGGCTTAACCGACTGAGCCATCCAGGCACTCCTAGGCTAGGTTTTGAATGCACATCATCTGACCCTTAGTCCATTGTATTTCTTTGATGCCTGTTCTGTGGGATTGTTCGATTACATATTCTGACTCCCATTTTTGGTAAACACTGTTTTGGGTGATTACTCTAAGTCACTCCCCCCCCCCCCCTCTTAGCAATCTGTTTTTTCTTAAGTAGTGTCTGGGCCTCCTTTACCAGTTCTGATGTCATGTGAGGTGAGAGGGTGGTCTTTCAAGTCACTTCTTTTTTTTTTCTTAATTAATTAATTAATTTGAGAGAGCACAAGTGCATGGGGCAGGGGTAGGGGGGCAGAGTGAGAGGGAGAAGCAGAGGGATCATGACATGGCCTGAGCCGAAAGTACCCACTTAATCGACTGAGCTACCTAGGCACCTCTTTCAAGTCACTTCTTATACATTAGACTTTTATTTTTTTAAAAATATTTTATTTATTCATTAGAGAGAGGGAGAGAGGGATTCCCCATTGACCGGGAGCCTGAGTTGGGGCTTGATCCCAGGACTCCGAGATCATGACCTGAGCCAAAGGCACATGTTTAACCATCTGAGCCACCCACGTGCTTCCATATTTGACTTTTATGTGAATATAGTCAGCTCCCTACCAGCAATCTCCTCATTAGGAGAAAGAATTATTCTAATAATGCAAGAATCCATCTAAAAAATTTGAATCGGATCTCTCACATAGATTAGTGGGTTTAAAGATTTATTTATTTTTATTTATTTATGATAGACATAGAGAGAGAGAGAGGCAGAGACACAGGCAGAGGGAGAAGCAGGCTCCATGCAGGGAGCCCGACGTGGGACTCGATCCCAGGACTCCGGGATCGCGCCCTGGGCCAAAGGCAGGCGCCAAACCGCTGAGCCACCCAGGGATCCCCAGATTAGTGGGTTTAATCCAAGTCTTTTTTTCCTCTCAAAATTTTTTTTTGATTTGTTTAGGGTGTGGGACCTCAGGAATATACTTTAATCAAGTTGAAAGTGCTTGAGCCTTACCCATCCAAATTAAGGTAGGTTGCCAAAGAGTTAATGCTTTATCTTTTTGAAATAACAGATGTGATAGAATCCACAACTTTTTTTTTTTTTTTTTTTTTGCATAAACATATATTTTTTTCTTCTTAGTGGCCTGAAAGGGAAAAACATCTTCTTGGTAGCTGCTACTCTCAGACCCGAGACCATGTTTGGACAGACTAACTGTTGGGTTCGCCCTGATATGAAATACATTGGGTTTGAGACAGTGAATGGTGATATATTCATTTGCACCCAAAGAGCTGCCAGGAATATGTCATACCAGGGCTTTACCAAACACAATGGAGTGGTGCCTGTTGTTAAGGAATTAATGGGAGAGGTGAGTCGAGTAGCACATTTTTTATTTTAGTGCTTAAATTTAGAGGAAAATTTCAACTATGACTTAAGGAAAGAGTATTGAATAAATCTTTTTAATGGAGGTATACATATAATGCAATGTGTAAATCCTAAGTTTTGTATTTTGGTGCATTTTTATACATGTGTACACTCATTCAGGCACCACCCAAATCAAGATATAGAACAGTTCCAGTAGTCCAGAAAGTGCTTCCTTTTCTATCTTATTGTCAGTACTCACCCCTCTCCTGCAAAGGTAACCCCAGCTCTGATTTTAGTCACTAAAGATGAGTTGCTTTCTTGAACTTTTGGTAGTAGAATTATATAATCTGTACTCTTTTGTGTCTGGCTTCTTTTGCTCAGATTATATCTTTGAGATTCATGCATGTTGTGTGGTTTTGTTCTTTCTTTTTGCTGTGGAGTATTCATTGTGTAACTACATCACCATAGCATTTTTGAATCTTATGTTGTAGTTCAGTAACTTCTGGTTGAAAAATATAGACAGTCCTCCCTAAGAGATTTAATAGCTGCAGTAGAATATAATTACCTGCATTCCTGGTATAGAATTGCAACCATTTTTTTCTGAAGAATCTTGGTTGATGGTAACTAAATCTGGTTAATTACATAGCTTTTATCCTTACAGTTTATTTATTTATCAGTAATTCAGAGTTTATTTTATTCCCTTTAGTGAATGCTGACCTTAGGTATCTTAATAAATAACATTTTATTTATTTATCTTTAAAAAATATTTATTTATTTTTAAAAAATATTTATTTATTTGAGACAGAGAGCAAGCATGAGCACGAGAGGCAGAGGGAGAAGGGGAGAGGGAGAGTCTTGAGTAGGTTCTTTACTGAGCAAAGCCTGATGTGGACCTTGAGATCATGACCTGACCCAAAACCAAGAGTCAGAGTTTTTTAATTTATTTATTCATGAGAGACACAAGGAGAGAGAGAGGGAGAGACACAGGCAGAGGGAGAAGCAGGCTCCATGCAGGGAGCTGGACGTGGGACTTGATCCTGGGTCTCCAGGATCTCACCCTGGGCTGAAGGCAGCACTAAACCACTGAGCCACCCGGGCTGCCCAAGAGTCAGACTTCTTTAAGATTTTATTTATTTATTCATGAGACACACACACACACACACACACACACACACACACAGACAGACACAGGCAGAGGCACCTGGGCACAGGCAGAGGCACCTGGGCACAGGCAGAGACACAGGCACCGCTGAGCCACCCGGGCTGCCCAAGAGTCAGACTTCTTTAAGATTTTATTTATTTATTCATGAGACACACACACACACACACACACACACACACACATACACACACACACACACACACACCATCACAGGCAGAGGGAGAAGCAGGCTCCATGCAGGGAGCCTGACATGGGACTCGATCCCGGGTCTCCAGGATCACACCCCAGGCTGAAGGCAGCACTAAACCGCTGAGCCACCAGGGCTGCCCAAGAGTCAGACTTTTAACTGACTGAGCCACCCAATACATAACATTTCAAAAAAAAAAAGATGAGTAGAATATTATCTCAGTTCTTTTGAATTGAACTTTTATTTCTTGCTTATTTTGTAAACTTACTTTTGGACTAGATTGTTACACATTCGTAGGACTCAAAATTAGAAAGACAAAAATATACAAAATATATCCTAGTCACTCAGTTTCCCCTTCCATAGGCATTCACTAAAATTACTGTTTTATATATCCTTCCATTAATATTTCACATACCTACAAGGAAATGTCTGTGTATATATTATTTCTCCCTCTTTTTATTTTTATTTATTTTTAAAAGATTTATTTATTTGAGGGGAAGCAGGGTAAAGGCAGAGGGGGAGAGAGAATCTCAAGCAGACATACCACTGAGCACAGAGGCTGACTCAGGCTCAGCCCTACCACCCCGACATCATGATCTGAGTCAAAATCAAGAGTCAGATGCATAACTGAGCCGCCCAGGTGCCCCTCTCTCTTTTTAATATACAAATGACGTGTACATTATCACATTGTTCTGTATCTTGCTTTCTTTTTTACTTAGTTAATTCTTGGTATTTGCCTTATCAGCACAGAACTTCCTTGTGTCTTATGTTTTCTAGCCATGTAGTATTCTGTTGTTTGGCACTACCAGAGCTTATTTAACCATTCTCTATAATGAATATTTGAGTAGTTTCCTGTCTTTTTCTTTGATAAGCAGTGCTGCTACATCCCATTAGTTCCTGATGATGGAGTTGTGTCTGAGATGTTTTTAGGAATAGTGTGAATAACACAAACTTTTTCTGTTCCTAGTGCAGTTTTTTTCCATGTAAATGTAAGCAGATTTTGGAGTGGCTGGTATAAATTAAAAAATAGCTTTCAGCCCTTAAGATTGTTCTGATCATTAGCCTTCACCTGTGTGACTATAAGTTCCATAAAAGCTTCTTTATGAATAAAGCAGATGGGTGGGAACTGTGTGGAATTGAAAAGTACATTCCATGGACCAACAAGCACTGCAAGCTCTTTGTTGCCATTCTGAAAGTATGGCTTCAGTATTGTTGAATCTTTGAAAAAAATTTTTTTTTAAGAGAAAGTGGTTATATCCTTTTCATTCATTTCATCTTCCTAATCATTGTTTTAAACATACAGTATTTTATTTTGTTGATATCTCATATTTTGTTAAGTGATTTTTTTTATCATTTAAAGGTTTACCTATCATCAGGTTTTGCCATTGTAGTTAACACTGCACTTGGACAGACTTCTCAAAGAAAAAAAGTTATCTTTTCCTTTGAGATAAATTCCTAGGATTGGATTGCTGGCTCCAAGTGATGTAAACATTTTTGTATCTTTCGCTATCATTCCTATATTGTTTTCCTCAAGTTGTACAATGTCACAAGCAATGCATTTGTGTACTAATTTCCTCACAACCTCACTACATCACATTTGGGTATTGTAATTTTTTGCGACTATCTATAGTCTAGTATGTATAAAGGAAGGAGTTTTGTTTTGATTCCTGTATTTTTGAATACTAGCTTCTCAGGGGCTTAAAAGTATTAACACTTTTCGATTTTAATGGTTAAACCATTTCACCTTTTTTTCTGTTTTTTCACCTTTTTGCTGATCTTTTTGTTGCACAGGAAATTCTTGGTGCATCACTTTCTGCACCTTTAACATCTTATACGGTGGTCTATGTTCTTCCAATGCTCACCATTAAGGAGGATAAAGGTAAAGAGTTTCTTTCTTTCTAGAAATACTTTGGTAATTGCATTCTGGTTGTATTAATTCATTCCACACTTTCTTTTATAAGGTACTGGCGTGGTCACAAGTGTTCCTTCTGACTCCCCCGATGATTTTGCTGCCCTCAGAGATCTGAAGAAAAAGCAAGTGAGTATCTGAGTTTCATGTTCTTATTTCTTCTTCATCATCTAATTAGATACTGCTGAAGTAACTATGAAATTAGGCAAAGCTATCATGGATCTTTGAACTATTATCTCTGCTTTGTTTCTTGATGTTTATGTTTTCCTTTGTTTTGAATATTAAGTAGAGTATTTCACAGAACCTTTTTCTTTAAAGACTTCTAGAGCATTTTAAGTTTACAGTAAAATTGAGAGGAAGGTACAGAGATTCCCCGATTGCTCCCTGCCCCCACACATGCACTGCCTCCTCCATTATCAAAATCCCCAGTAGAAGGATACATTTGTTACCAAGATGAACCTGCATTGATATGTCATAATCCTCCAGAGTCCATAGTTTACCTTAAGTTCACTCTTGGTGGTCTAATGTTCTTTGGGTTTGGACAACTGTATAATGACACAGATTCATCATTGTAATATCATAGAGTATTTTCATTGCCCTAAATATCCAATAGTGCTCTTTCTGTTCATCTCTCTCCCTTGTGACCCTGGCCATCACTGATCGTTTTACTGTCTCCACAGTTTTACCTTTTCTGAAAAGTCATGTAGTTGGAGTCATACAGTGTGTAGACTTCTCAGATTGGCTTCTTTGAACTAGTCATATTCATTTAAGGTTTCTCTCTGTCTTTTTAATAGCTTGATTGCTCATTTCTTTTTAGCACTAAATAATATTCTGTTATCTGGATATACTACAGTTTATCCATTCATCTCCTGAAGGACCTCTTGGTTGCTAATAAGCACTGGTAATTTTGAGTAAAACTGCTATATACATCCATATGTGGGGTCTGTTTCTGGTCTGTGTTGTTTCATTCAACTATTTGTCTCTTCCTTTGCCAGTACTACACTGTGTTGATTATGTAACTGTATAAGTAAATCTTCAAGTCAGAAGCCAGCTTTCCTCTTCATTATTGAGTTGACTATTTTGGGTCTTTTGCCTCTCTGTATACACTTTGCAGTCAGTTTTTTAAAAATTTTTTTCTTAAATTTATTTATGATAGAGAGAGAGAGAGGCAGAGACACAGGCAGAGGGAGAAGCAGGCTCCATGCAGGGAGCCTGACATGGGACTCGATCCCGGGTCTCCAGGATTATACCCTGGGCTGAAGGCATGCGCTAAACCGCTGTGCCACCCGGGCTGCCCTGCAGTCAGTTTGTTGATATTCATAAAATAGTTTGATAGGACTTTGATTGAGATTACATTGAATCTGTAGGTAAGTCAAGAATTGATATCTTGACAATACTGAGTCTTCCAGTCCACGAACTGATGTCTCAGTCCATTTATTTAGTTCTTTGATTCTGTTTACAGAGTTGTGTGGTTTTTCTCATATGGATCTTTTGTATGTATTATTACTTTTGTACCTAAGTATTTGGTTTTGGGGGGTGCTAATATAAATGGTATTGTGCTTTTAATTTTGAATTCCACTTGTTCATTCCTAATACATAGAAATGCAACTAACTTTTGTATAATTAACTGTGTATCCTGCAATCTCGCTATAATTGTCTGTTAGTTCCAGGAGTTTTTTTCCCTTGATTCCTTTGGATTTTCTACATAGATGTTCAGTCCATCTTTGAACAAAGATAATTTTATGCCTTCCTTCCCATCTCTATATCTTTTATTTTATTTTCTTCCCTTATTGAGTTAGCAAGGACATTCAGAATGGTATTGAAAAGAAGTGATGAAAGGAGACATCCTTGTCTAATATCTGATCTTAGTGGAAAAGCTTCAAGTTTCTCATCATTAAGTATAATGTTAGCTGTAGATATTTTGTAGATAGTCTTTAACAAGTTTAGAAGGTCTGCATCTGTTCTTGTTTATTAGGAGTTTTTATCATGAATGGGTGTTGGGTTTTTTCAAATACTTTTCGTGTGTCTGTTGATAGGATCATGTGATTTTTCTGTTCTAATCTGTTTGATGGGTTTCATAAAATTAAAAAAAAAAGTTTTCTGATGTTCACATTTTCATTGCAACCCAGAATATGAACCTCATTTTCATTGGGTTGTGTGTGTGTGTGTGTAAATTTTGCTTTTGGCTTATTATTTCATCACTTAAGCCATTTACTCTAACTTAAAACTGTTGAGTTTTATTTTTATTTATTTTTTATTTATTTTTATTTTATTTTATTTTATTTTATTTTTTTAAAGATTTATTTATTTATTCATGAGAGACACAGACTGAGAGAGAGAGGCAGAGACACAGGCAGAGAGAGAAGCAGGCTCCTCGCAGGGAGCCAGATGTGGGACTTGATCCCAGATCCTGGGATCATGACCTGAGTTGATGGCAAGTGCCCAACCACTGAGCCACCAGGTGTCCCAACTATTGAGTTTTTAAAAGTCATAGATATGCTTGAGATATTTAGTAAAATTAAAAAAAATTCTCTGAAAAAAAATTTTCTGTATGGAGGGGAGAACAAATAATTTAAAGAAGTTTTGGAGTTGGCTCTCTCAATGATTATGCCAGTAAAGTACTGATCATTAGTGTTAATTTGCAAAATTGTTTTGTAGGCCTTACGAGCAAAGTATGGAATTAGAGATGACATGGTCTTGCCATTTGAGCCGGTGAGTACATAGATGACTCAGAATATTCATACCCATCTCTTTATCAGTGAAAAAAAGAGTTACATTTTCCTTGTAACAAAATCAATTGGTGAATATAAAAATAAGGGAGAGTTTTCATAAGAGTTGCTTCCTTTAATTTGGTACCTGTGATAGCAGTTAAGAGTGAGAGAAAGACCAATAATAAGCGTTTTCTTAGCACCTGGCACCTGTAATTCTGCAACAAACAACTTTCTTAGCATCAGCAATTCTATAGTTGCTTATTTTGCTAGTATGGCCAATTTCCAAACTTCTTTTTTTAGTTATTTATTTATTTGAGAGACAGAACACAGGAGCAGGGGCAGAGGGAGAGGCAGACTTCCTGCTGAGCAGGGAGCCTGACATGGAATTTGATTCCAGGACCCCAGTTAAGGTAGACATTTAACTAACTGAACCACCCAAGTGCCCAGTTTCCAAGCTTCTAAAGACAAAATTTTGCCATATTAGTTGTAAATGGTTATGCTTTCATATTAGTACCTGGAGAAGAAAAAAATTTGATCACTAACAAATAACTTTCATGAAGAATCTAGAAGACTTATCATAAACCAGAAATAAGACCATTCATAAATTTAGTTGTTTACATCATTTTCCTAGTTTCAAAATTTATTATTTAGTTAATTATATGCCAGTATAGGGCTGTGAGTTGGAGAAGGTGTGTTCTGTAGTGAAGGATGGACAATTTGGAGGTTGGTGCAGAGAATTTGGATAGTTCCTGTGTGGGGAGTAGGAAGACAAATTCACATCTGGATGTTAGTCACTGTGATTACTTGATGTGTGGTGCTTCTGTGATGATATATAAAATCTGAAATGACTTGACTGGACAGTAGAGGCAAAATGATTATGCCCCATAGGGCTGTTTTTATGTTCATTCAGTGTGAATAAGTTCCCAACATTGCTGTTCTTTGCAGGTGCCAATCATCGAAATCCCAGGTTTTGGAAATCTTTCTGCTGTAACCATTTGTGATGATTTGAAAGTTCAAAGCCAGAATGACCGAGAAAAACTTGCAGAAGCAAAGGAGAAGTTATATTTAAAAGGGTTTTATGATGGTGTAAGGATTTTTTAGTTTTGCTCTGTAATTTTTTCAATAATTTAGAAAAAAATATGAAAATCCAATATAGTTTCAGCTATATACTGATTTGAGAGAGATTAATATGAGACTGTGTTCTTCTGTTTCAAGATTTCTTTTTTAATCATTTTTTTGTCCAAGAGCATTTACAGAAATTATATTTTTATGCCCTCTAGGAATATCTAAGAAATGAGTTTCCTGAGAAGATTATTGAAAGTTAGTTCATATTATTTTGCAGTAAATTCCACAGGTTTATTGCATGTATAATTTCTTGTTCCTCCTTTTGCTCTTTTAATCGAGGAGTTCATATTTTAAATAAGCAATTTTATTCAGTTCATTAATTTACTCATTAATGCCTACTAAAAGCCAGGTGAGCACAAAAAACATGTTTAGAACCTCTCTTTTCTCCTTAACTGTGCATATGTTAATATGGCTTACTTTTCCATGGAAAGAAGACCAGGCTAGAGAAAGTAAAAATCCAACCAAGTTGCTTGTGACTTGAGGTTGAAATGAATATTTTTAAGGCCATGAATGAGAATTCGTTATTTTTACCTTTACTCTCATTTTTCTAGATAATCAACAAGTGGTTATATGTCTTTTTTGAAGTGACTTAAACATTTTGGGTGATAATAAAAGCCACCACTTAAATAGCACGTTAACTTTTTTAAATCTCAAAATAACCTTGTGGAATAGACACTATTCCATTTTACAGATAAGGAAATTGAGGCACTAAGGTATTAAGTAATTTACTCAAGATTAGCCAAGTAGGTAGCCAGTAGCAGAACTGGTACTCACATTGGGAAGTGTGGTTCTAAGATTTGTATCTGCCTGTTTGCTTGTTTGTTTATTTATTTGAGAGAGAGAGTGTGTGTGTGTGCATAGGTGTGGTGTGACTGTGTTAGAGGGAGGAGCAGAGGAAGGAGAGAGGGAATCTTAAGAAGGCTCCATGCCAGAGGCAGGGCTCAATCTTAGAACCCTGAGATCATGACCAGAGCTGAAATCAACAGTCAGACACTCAACTGACTTAGCCACCCAGATGCCCCTGGAGTTTGTGCTCTTAACAACTGTACCATAACGATCAATAAGTATAATTTCATAATGGTGAATTAAGCAGGTTATAAAGCATTTTGGCATGTTAAAGGATTGGGAGATCAAAAAAGATAGAAGCTATTCCAGAGAGAAACAGGAGCCACATAGCTGGAGATAAGAATGTCAGCTAGAAGGGGATTGTGTGGCTTAGATCTGTGACATCAACAAGCAAGCTAATACTTAGCCCTAGAATTAAATTTCCTCACTATGTAAAAGGCAGAGTTGAAAAACAGGCCTTCCGGTAAGGGCCAGGTTTATCATATGGCCAAGCAGAGGAAAATGCTCGCTGGCAACAGGCAGAGTCTAAATGGGGCTGAGCTGCATGGACTCAGTTCATTTTCCCAAAGCCTTCAGGAAAGGTGAGTGAGCATATTGAAATTCTCTCCACATGGAAATCTGAGAAGTGGGAAGGAAGTGAGAGTTCCTTCCTAATCATGTTCATGATAGCTATCCTCATTACACCAAAAGAAAAACAAGTGTGTTATGAAAATTAGTTGTCTAAGCTATGGCAAAATAAAAACTTAAGATTATAGACATGATAAATTTACACTAAAAATATCTCAGTTGTGGATGTATAAATAAATTTAGTTAGGAAAAAGTTTGGAGGGAACATCAAGTAAATTTTAATTGTTTTGTCTGTGTTTTTCCTCCCTGTTTCTCATCCTTTTAGATAATGTTGGTGGATGGATTTAAAGGACAGAAGGTCCAAGATGTAAAGAAGACTATTCAGAAAAAGATGATTGACACTGTAAGTGATAGGTTGTCCTCTGACGGCTGGTTTAGAAGAAAACCTCTTATTTAATAGACTTCACAGTGTTAATTAGTAGTGAGTTCTGTAATAGAACCTGGAGCTGTGTTAAAGATATATAATTTTGTGGCAGAAACTAGACTTATTTAGCAATTCATTTAACTTGAACATCCTACCTGTAATGTTGAAAGTAGTGCTGTAAAGTTGGCATATCAAAGCCAGAGAACTTTAATGATGTTTCCTGGCAGTGGCCATTTGAGATACTGGTAGTTACAGTTCTCTTTGTGTAGTGCTTTGCTTTTTCACTTTCATCCTTCCTTCTGTCTTGTGTCTTTCTTTCTAACCTCACTGCATTTGTGTATACTTCTCTACTTCCCATCTTCCTAGCAAAGGTATATAACTTTTCTGAGAGCAGTAGTCATTGTGTATATTTCTGAGATGTCACCTGTCTACAGTGAAGTGTACAATGAGAATTTTTCTTCCCCAGCTTTTGTTTACCCCTGGCGTTAGTAAAAATTTCTTTCCTTTAAAATGTAATTATTAATATTCCATCCCCAAACTCTACCCTAATTGTTTATTTCTTCTTCTCTTAATACTTTCACACATCAATATGCTATTGGTTCCATCTTGGAGAAAGTTCCCTCAGAACCTGCTGGCCTGTTTTAGTCTGGACTAGTTGCTTACTGTCCTGGTGCACAAATGCCACCTTGGATCTTCCTCCACTATTCCTAAGAATTTCCTTTGTTTCTCTTGAGTTGGAGCTCTTGCTTCCTTGATCCCATAGCTGCTGCTTTATTATTCACTCAACTTTTTCTTCCTATAAATTTTTGTTTGTTAACTGTGTGTTTTTATATCTGCTATTTGTGAGCATGTGGGAAAATTTTTTTTCTTGCTATGGAAAATCGCAGATTTATAAAAAGTGGAAAGTAATATGATGAATTCCTATGTATATATTATCCACCTTTGAAATTATCAACTCAGGGCCAGTTTTAAGAGCTTATTTTTGTTATCTGATTGATCCTTTTTTAGGATTCTATTCATTGTTTCATGGATGTGAAATCTTAATCTCTTATTTTTCTGAGGTTGCTGATATTTAAGAGTGAATACAAAGAGGTGATCAGAGTCTTTTTGCATGTGAGTAGGGCTTCGCTGTGGGAGATCTAAAAGGGCTGTTTGGAAAAAAAAAATTAGAAGGGCTATTTGGGCCTTGGGAAAGCCTTTATGTTAGCCTTGATGTTAGTTAGAGCTTCTTGGATTTGTTAGATTCCTCTCAAAAGATTCTTCTAGTTTCTGGCTTAAAAATTCTAAGCTAACTGAGCATTCTGGGAGTTGAAAAGATTGCTAAGGGAAATACTAATTCCCAGTGTGCTGACTTTCCAGTTAATTCATCTATTCTCAATGTGATACTCATACCCTCAACTTTGGTTTTGGTTGAGTAATTCTGTCATCCTTTCCAGAGAATAAACTTTCATTGTTCTGCTGGCATACGGAGGGGCAGTTGCGTGTCTGTGTAGTGTGGGATTAGGTATCTGGGGTTCTAACCTCTTCTTTAAAAACTTCAGTTAGTTCTTCTTTCTTCAGCCTCATGTTGCTTCCACTACCGGAACCATCTTGTACCACAAACTGTTGAGTTTTTTGGAGGTTCTGTAATGCAAATTTAATTACTTTTCACCTTTCTCTCCTGCTGGTTTATGATTCAGCTAGTTTTCTTCAGCTTGTTAATGCACTTGTTATTTATCCTGTTTTTTAGTTTCCAAAATTTGATTGATTGTATTTCTTCTTCTATTCTTTTGTATCCGTAAGTTCATGCCGTTGGAAAAAAGAAAAACTCTCTTTGTTGTCATTTCATTGGAATTTTGAGAGGCAGTAGAGTTAAATGTCTGTTTTTAATTTACCATTTTTAAACCAAAGTCCTGGCTATTTAACAGTGTGAAGAATTACATTAAAAACACAGAAAAAGAAATAATTTTATAAATAATAACGTTGGATTTATTTTTAAAAATAGCCTGATAAGTTTGGAACCATAATATGATAAGGGATAGTTATATTTGGTAGATGACTAAATTCATGGTTAGTTTTCTAGTGGGCATTTTTCATGACACTATAAATCTGTAGCAGTGACATTTTCTATGTTGAATTTTTGTGCTTTTTTTTTTTTTTTTTTAAGCAGTGGTTCCATGGTTTTAATTTCATCTTTTTTTTTTTTTTTTTTTTAAGATTTTATTTATTTATTCATGAGAGAGACAGGCAGACACAGGCAGAGGGAGAAGCAGGCTCCATGCACCGGGAGCCTGACGTGGGATTCGATCCCGGGTCTCCAGGATCGCGCCCTGGGCCAAAGGCAGGCACGAAACCGCTGTGCCACCCAGGGATCCCCTAAATATTTTTATTCTAACAAGGATAAAAGGCTTCCACAAGCAGTCTGACCTCAAACCATTGAATTAGAAACTATTGAACATCTTTCACATTCCACTGAAAAGGAATAATCTATATACTTAGGAAAGATGATCCATTGACAAAGATACTCACTTTTTCAAAAGTAAATGTTGTGTAGAAAGAAAGGCAGATAGATGTCTTCTATTGGAAAGATGGAAAACAATGAAAATGTGGAGTTAAAAAAAAATGTGGAGTTAAAGTTGTTTTTATTATCCCCGAGGAATAGAGACTGACTCAACATAATATCTGATATATATTTGTTTGCTTTTACGTAGGGAGATGCATTTACTTACATGGAACCAGAGAAACAAGTTATGTCCAGATCTTCAGATGAATGTGTTGTGGCGCTGTGCGACCAGTGGTTAGTCTCTATTACAACAAGAAATTTCCTTCAGTCGCTTTACTTATCCTTTGGACTTTTACTCACTATTATTTTTGTACATCAATCTGTCCACTCCCAAGGTACTTGGATTATGGAGAAGAAAATTGGAAAAAACAGACATCCCAGTGCTTGAAAGGCCTGGAAACGTAAGAAGGGAAAAAGGGATGAGGGGAGGGAGAGGAGATGAGAAACATGGGAGATAGTGAAGGCAAAGAAAGAAAGACTCTTTATCTTTTACTCTCTCTAGATTCTGTGAGGAGACCAGGAGGAATTTTGAAGCTACCTTAGGTTGGCTACAAGAGCATGCCTGCTCAAGAACTTACGGTTTAGGTAATACCTACTTCAAATTCTTCAGTTTGAATGACTTTGTCAATTACAGGGCAAATTAACACCTTTACCTTTTTTCCCCTCTTTTCTAGTATTTTTCTGAATTGGAAGTGAGAGGTTTCAGTTAGAGGGGGAGGGGAACTGGCATGTGGTGCTCTACTACCTACTAGGTGGTAGACGTATGCTTGAGTAATTAAACCCATAGCTTTTATGGATTTTTTTTTTAATAGAAAGTTTCTAGTACTTTAGCCATTTGATTTTTTTTATTACCGGTTTATCTTATTAATTATTCAAGCCAATTTGAGACTTTCTTAAATAAGTAGCTTTGTAAATACTATATATCTTGAAAATGTGGATTCTCTAGATGAACTGTCTCTTAAGTTTCTCATGCATTAAATTTCTTCATTTTATCTTGCAGGTACTCGTCTGCCGTGGGATGAGCAGTGGCTGATTGAATCGCTCTCTGATTCCACTATTTACATGGCATTTTACACAGTTGCACACCTCCTGCAGGGGGGTAACTTGCGTGGACAGACAGAGTCTCCACTTGGTATCAGGTTGGTAAATGGATAAGGCAAAAAAAGTGTAGTTGGTTAGCAAGAGATGTGCTCTTTTGATTTACACATTGAAAAAAATTTTTTTAATTGTTTAGTTTTCGTAAGAATTCATTTAGCAGAATTTTGTTAGGATGTTTTACTTTTTTGCTGCCGAACTGAGAAAAAGTAATAAATACCCCCTCTGTTATTGTTACCATCCCGTATTCTTATTGGAGTCTATTGTTATTTGTTACCGTAACTATGTTAAGAAAAAGATTCCCACTTCATGATTAGATGAAAATATTGACTCTTTCAAAGAAATTATCTCTATATTTTGTTGTTTGTTTTATTTTTAACACAGACCGCAACAGATGACCAGGGAGGTTTGGGATTATGTTTTCTTCAAGGAGGCTCCATTTCCTAAGACTCAGATCCCAAAGGAAAAATTAGATCAGTTAAAGCAGGAATTTGAGTTCTGGTATCCTGTGGATCTCCGAGTCTCTGGAAAGGATCTTGTTCCAAATCATCTCTCATATTACCTTTATAATCATGTGGCTATGTGGCCAGAACAAAGGTGAGTACCTAAAAAGATATAGACTAAATTTATGGCTTATGGCTTCAAATATTTGAAAAGTTATTGTGCAAGGTATAGTTAGGTTTCTCAGTTGCCTTCTTTTTCCTCTGTTAAATGTATATTGAAGCAGAAAGCACACCTTTTCCTATCTGTTATATCCAGAAATCCTCATACTTACCTTGGGCTTGCTGAAGCACATTTCAGGTACCTTGACAGCCTTTCAGTACTTTACTTGACCTATTTTGTGACTCATTTGACCTCTTAGGTGCAGAAATAAAGGTGATTTAAGACAGAGCCTAGAACATTAGAATTGGAAGGAAACATCCTTCTAGAGCTGAGAGCCCCAAGGTTACAGCATTACTTGGTACCTGTATTCCTTTTTTTTTTGAGAGAGTGAGCATAGGATGCAGGGACAGAGTGAGTAGTGAGAGAATGTTAAGCCAGCTCCAAACCCAGCACAGAGCCTGACACAGGGCTCCATCCCATGACTCTGAGATCATGGCCTGAGCCAAAACCAAGAGTCAGATGCTTAACTGATTGAGCCACCCAGGTGCCCCTGGTGGTGGTATTCTGCCTAGAGTCTAAATCTAAGAGGCATTTTTAATCCTGTGTGCTCAAAAATAAGCCTCCTATCATCTTCCCTCTTGATCCAGGTATGTCTCTGTGCCTTTTCTTCCAGCCTCTCAAATAGCTGATAAAACAGACCCCTCCATCTGTTCAAATTTTATTTCATATCACCAAAACAATCTCATGTGACTTCTTATACTTAGAATGAGATTGCATTTTCTTTCTCAAGAATGAAAGGAAAGTTTTGAAGTAGAGGAATAAAATGAATCTGATGTGGTTCTTGTTATCCATTTATTTTGTTGTTGTTGAAAATCTATTTGGGAGGAGTTGGATATCGCAGAAATACTTGTTGGTGATGTAGTTAAGTCTTCATCCCTTTGCATCAGGGTTTTTTTTTTTTTGCATCAAGGTTTTGACATGTATTAGGTTTTCATTTAGGTTTTACTTATAAGTAAGTAATAACATGAAATACTTGTAAGTAATAATTATCAGTAACATCACGCACAGTTTTAATCACTTATAGCGACTCATTTAATTTGCACTACAACTTTTCAAGGAAGGTCTCTGATATCCTCGTTTTATAGACAACGAAACTTACTGAGGCATAGAGAGCTCAGATAATTCACCCTGAGTTGCTCTCAATGACTGTCCTTACATAATCTCATTGCTAGAATGGTAAGTGGTCATGTACATAGTTCAGAAATTCAAACAGTTCATAAAAGAAAAATGTAAAAGGCAAACTTTTACCCTTGCCACCACATCACTCTACTTCCCGTAGGTAATCCCTCCTACTGCTTTCTTATGATTTCTTTTGGATAACATGTTTATGAATAAACGAGCATCAGATATCTTTATTTAAGTAATCTCTCTACCCAGCGTGGTTCTTAAACTCATGGACCCAAGACCAAGAGTTGTTTGCTCTTCAGATTGAGCCAGCCAGGTGCCCCATACTTATTTATTTTTTAATTTATCAAAGATGCCACATTGTAGACACTTTTCTTCCCCATGTAATATTTTAGTATATGTGCTGCTGAAGCGAGCACTTCCCCATGTAATAGTAAAGTTTTAAAAATTTTGTTTATATCCACACATCTAGCCCTGCCTGTGTTTTTAAAATAGCCATTACATAGTATTTTAGTGTATACCTGGGCCATAATTTATGTAACCAGTCCTTTGCTAATGGACAATTCTTGTTTTCATTTGTTTCCTGTTATGAACAGGACTCAATACATTTGTACATTTGTCTTAGTAAACTTTTACAAATCGTTAGCATTTACCTCAACTTTTTAAGCTTAAACTATAAACTTACATTTTGTTTTCTGTCTTAAATGTTTACCTATAAAGTGACAAATGGCCTGCTGCTGTGAGAGCAAATGGACATCTCCTCCTCAACTCTGAGAAGGTAAGAAAGTTTAAAATTCTGCAGAAAACTTTTCAAATGTAGGAAGTTGTATTTTTTAAATAGAGTATAAAAGTCAGTGTTAATCTTCCATCAGAAATGGTTAAGACTACCAGCATAAATTAGGGAGTGAATAAAGTACATAGTATTAACTGGGGGGAGGGACTGAGAAAATCTACTTATTTTTTAACATTTGTATTTAAAATGACAGAAGGTGACACTAATTGACTGGGGGAGAGAGAGGCAGACATGATAAAAAACATGAGAATCATAGCATCGTGATCCTAGAATATCTTTCTCATTAAGTTGAGAAAATAATTTGGTGGGATTTGTTCCAAACTGTGATCAGCCACTGAATTAAAGTGATAGAATTTTGGAATGTGTAGGATTCATAACTGTTATTTAATGCTTCTTCCCTGGCAGTATAATATATTTCTCTATATTACCCCTGCTTCCAGTATTGTTAAAATTACTAATATATATACATATACTTATATATAGTAGTATATTATATATATGATTTTTATAGCTATATAAGACTTTATCTCATTAATCACTATCTTCAATAGGAAGATAGGTTAACTGAGGGGAGGTGATATTACACAAACCTCATGACAAAGCCCTTGCTTTGCCCCTGTGATGCTTTTGTGCACATTTGAAAAGGGTACCCCTCCTCACTTAAATGGAAAATTAAGTTGCCATGTTATTTATTTCTTAGTAATAATATTTGTAGCAAGTTGATTTTGTTACAATCAGTGAATTTTGCCACAAATGATAGAATATTAATTGGAAAAGAGTATTCTTTGCTATAAATATCTGTCATAATGAAAATAGGTGTATATTTAAACAAATAGCAGCTGGTATGAATTGCAAAATGAAACATCACTTTTAACTGGTGCCCTAATATTGAAAGGAAATAAAAAAAAGTTCAGTGAAAATAATCTCTATATTATTATTATTATTTTTTAAAGATTTTATTTATTTATTCATTCATGAGAGACACAGAGAAAGAGAGGCAGAGACATAGGCAGAGGGAGAAGCAGGCCCCATGCAGCGAGTCCGATGTGGGACTTGATCCTGGGTCTCCAGGATCACGCCCTGGGCCAAAGGCAGGCGCTAAACCGCTGAGCCACCCAGGGATCCCCGTAATCTCTATATTAGACTGAAAAACAGCTCTTTGATTAGAAGCATAGGCTATATATAGATTCTGTTAGATCAGCAAGGACTTTTGATTATTGAACTCATTTTTTACTTTGTAAGGCAAAGTGGCACTATATATATATATATATATATATATATATATATGTAAAAAAATATATATTTATATACTACTGTATACTGCTATATATATAGTGTATATATGTGTATACATGTATATAAATTGTGTTATGACATTTTCTTTGGTTTCAGTGTTGTACTATACACTGTACTGATTTTATTAGAACTAGGTATTTTATTGCCATGTGGTAGAAAACTGGATTATCACCTCTCTTTGGTATCAGCAAAGTTATGATCAAGATGACAAATTCTTAAGTTGGAAAAATTGGTAGGCTGTGCACAGTGCCTCCTTAGATGTGGTGCCCCCAGGTAGAGCACAACTTGAACAACCAATTATTATGATGCCAGTGAAGTTCCCTAAAACCCTAACTCTGAGAACATATGGTCGTCCATTTGTTTTTGAATGATTCTAATTACTATAAAGCTCTTCTTTTTTTTTTTTTTTAGATTTCATTTATTTGACAGAGAGAGCACACACGTGCAAAATAGGCAGAGTGGCAGGCAGACAGAAAGAGGGAGAAGCAGGCTTCTCTGTTGAGCAGAGAGCCCAATGTGGGGCTCGATCCCAGGACCCTGGGATCATGACCTGAGCCAGAGTCGGATGCTTAAGCAACTGAGCGATGCAGGTGCTCCTATAAAGCTCTTCTTCATGACCAACTGAAATGTTCCAGTTATAATGGAATCATTATATATGTCTACAGATTCCTAGGGGGCAGTATAGCCTACTGGAAAGAATAGTGCCTGAGTATCAGACTAGAGACCCTGTCCTAGCTCTGTCATTGCCTAGAAGAGTGACCCAGACAAGTCACTATATTAACTGGATTTCAGTTTCTACCTCTGTCAAATTAGTGCAAGATATCTTTTCCTTTCCCTCTTTAATTTTTTTAAGGATATTTATTTATTTGAGAGAGCAAGCGAGAGAGAGTGTGTGTGAGCACACAAGCAGGGGAAGGGTAAAAGGAGAGGGAGAAGCAGACTCCCTGCTATAGGGAGCCTGACTTGAGACTTGATCCCAGGACCCTAGGATCATGTTTTTTTTTTTTGTTTGTTTGTTTGTTTTTTAAGATTTTTATTTACTTATTCATGAGAGAGAGAGAGAGAAAGGCAGAGGCACAGAGCACAGAGAGAAGCAGGCTCCTTGCAGGGAGCCCTATGTGGGACTCGATCCCAGGGCTCTAGGATCACACCCTGGGCTGAAGACAGGCGCTAAACCGCTGAGCCACCCAGGGATCCCCAGGATCATGTTCTTTTTTTTTGGCGGGGGAGGGGGGGGGATCATGTTTTGAGCCAAAGGCAAACACTTAACTGACTGAGCCACCCAGGTACCCCTTTCCCTCTTTAATTTTTTTTGTCTTTATCTGATTATGGCTAACCTACTTTGATTTGGTTTATTTTTTATATATGTTCATAATAATGCCTGATCATTGACTTTCCATTTCAGATGTCAAAGTCCACAGGCAACTTCCTCACTTTGACCCAAGCTATCGACAAATTTTCAGCTGATGGTGAGTATACTTTTTTCTTATTGCTGTTGTATAGGGTTTGATTCTCTTCAGATTATGGAAGGCAAGTTAAACTGATTGTTTTACTGATTTTTTCTTTCACTTTTACCAGTACTTTAAAATATTCACATTTTCTTTTGTGTAATACTTAAAACATAAGAATTGGGGATGTGATCTGCTTAGGAACAAATTGAAGCTAATATTAGAGTCTTTAAAAAGAAACTCACTGTAATTTCTACCTGGCTTATTTTTAATTTCTTACTACTTAAAGAGTTGGTTTGTAGAGATATGACTTTGAAGTTTTTCCAAAATATTTCCTTCATATTTGATATAAACATAAGTGACTTGAACCTGGGAGCATTCATTTTTTAGAGAACTGTTTTCTCCTTGGCCTCAGTACTGTTCCATTTCATCATTCTTTTGTCAAGGGAAGAAATGCGCTGTCTAACCCGCAGGAACCATTCATTTCTTTGGCCATCATGGCATGTCTTTCTACTGATCATGGCTAGTACAGTTTGAGGCGATGCTGAAGGGATTGGGAAAGAGCTAACCTAATTGGGATGCCTGGGTGGCACAGTGGTTGAACGTCTGCCTTTGGTTCAGGTCATGATCCTGGGGTCCTGGGATTGAGTCCTTCATCAGGCTCCCTGTAGGGAGCCTGCTTCTCCCTCTGCCTGTGTCTCTGCCTCTCTCTCCTCTCCATGTGTCTCTTGTGAGTAAATAAATAAAATCTTTAAAAAACAAAAACAAAAACAACTAACCTAACTGGTTTTGAGAAACAATGTTTTGACCAGATGCTATAAGCCAAAAGGACTGCACACAAATGCTGTAATTAGTAAGACTATTTCTTACATGAGGTCTAGGTTAGCAGTTCTAAAACTAATTTTATGTGTGTACTGGGATTGAACAAATAAATTTATTATAGACGAGAACTCACTGTTAAAAAAAAAAGATACAGATAAAGGGGGAATGCTAAAATGTACCCTGTGGTATTGGATTGCAATTGGCAATTTCCAGTGTTTAATTTTATGTACAGACAAATTGATATAAAAGTAAATGTCAGTGTATGTGGTAGGTTAGTATATGTGCATATATTTCCCTAGCTGTGTCTGCTGAGAGGGCATATGAGCAGTGACACACTGGTAGCAGGGACACAGCTGGCATTTAGATCTTGGTTTCTAAATACCATTCTCCAATACATGGAACTAGAGTTCTTGAGAGAAGTGATTGATTTGCAGTCTGGAGTAGAGAAAATACAAGATGAGCATGGAACATCTTATGGTGCCAGTAAAGAAGGCAATGTTTTAGTAAGGATGGGGATATTTGAAAGGGCACAGATTCAAGACAGAAGATCGCAGCAGAGTGGGAGGACCCTAGGCTTGCCTCGTCTCATCCATATAAGTAGGTAACTATCAAATCATCCTAAATACCCTAGAAATCTGTCTGACCATTGGCAGAACAAACTCTGCAACTAGAGATAGAGTAGAGGCTATAATGAAGAAGGTAGCAGATGCAGAGATGTATTTTGGGAAACAGGTCATGGCCGCTGATGGCCAGTAGCCACCATTGTGGAGAAGGGCAAGAGATAAACTAATACACAGGGGAGTACACGAGGAAAACCAATCCCCTTAGCAATTGGCTTGGAAAGTGAGAAAGCCTGAATTTCATGAGTTCTTGAGACCAGTGGAGCTTAAAGCCTGGAATTTTAAAGATCACTGTGCTTGGCTCTGGAAGAGCTCAGAGGACATTGGTGCTGCTCTTGGAGAGAAGACTGGCTGGCAAACATGGTGTTGACGTACAGGATGGAAACAGTGATCTGAAGAGTCCCTGGGGCACACAGTGGGCAGGTTAGTTGCTCATCTCATAGTATGTCATAGAGAGGCAGCATTCAGAGAGACCCCTCCTGGAACAAAGGAATTGGCAGGCGCCATTTCCCTCCCCACCCCTTAGCATATACATAATGCCACCTGTGGGAAGTAGCACAGTGCTGACACTTGCCACCTAACTTGCTTTTACCAAGCTCCACCCCTCCATGCTCTGGCAAAACCATCCCTTCCAGTCATGCTTGTCTCAGTTTCAGTGTGGGAGAGTCACCTTCCCCAGAAGACCAGCTCAAACCCCTGCCCACAGTGTGTCTCTCAACCTAAGAGTTTTACGTGCCTTGTTTCTTTCAGTGACAGATCTCATTTCACAAACAGACCAGAGCACACCTAATTAAAAGTATCACATTTAGGCCAGGGTCCAGACACTGCCCACAAGTAAAGAGAGTTTCTGCAGACGACTGGGCTGAAGGGTAAAGTGACCAGGACACAACAGCACATGCAGCACTCATTGGAGACACTCCTGGCTGGGAGCACCGGGCCCTGAGGAACAGGGGATACTACACTTCTGGGCGCTACAGTACTTCTTCAGAAGGCCATCACCCTTAAGAATAGGAGATATAGCTGACTTTTCATACACACAGAAATAGGCAGAGAGACTTAGACAAAATGAGAAGGCAGAAATTTGTCCCAAATAAAAGAACAGGACAAAGCCATAGCTGGAGATACAAGTGAAATAGATGTAAGTAACATGCCTAATAGAGAATTTAAAGCCGAGATCATAAGGATACTCACTGAACTTGAGAAAAGAGTGGAGGACATCTGAGACCTTTAACACAGAGATACGGAATAAAACATAAGAGAGAAAAAGGGCTCAATAAACAAAATGAGAAACATGCTTGATGGAATGAACAGCAGGAATAAAGAAGAAGCAGAGGAATAAATTAATGACCTAAAAGAGTAATGGAAAGTAATCAAACTGAACAAAAGAGAGAAAAAAGAATAATGCACAATGAGAATAGACTTAGGGAAACTCAGGGACTCCATCAAACATAATAACATTCGTATTTTTTTTTTTAACATTCGTATTTTTAAATAATCTCAACGCCCCACATGGGACTTGAACTCACAACCCCGAGATCAAAAGTTGTATGCTCCACCAATAGAGCCAGCCACACATTCCTACAAAGACTCATTTTATTTATTTATTTATTCATTTATATTTATTTATTTATTTATTTTTTTTCAAAAGACTCATTTTATTTTAAGATTTTTATTTATTTATTCATGAAAGACACAGGCAAAGGGAGAAGCAGGATCCCCGCAGGGAGCCCAGTGCAGCCCAAGGTCAGGCCCTGAGCTGAAGGCAGATGCTCAACCACTGAGCCACCCACACATCCCAAGAGACTCATTTTAGACCTAAAGACACCTGCAGATTGAAAGTGAGAGGATGGAGGAACATGTATCATGCAAATGGATGTCAAAAGAAAGCCAAAGGGGATCCCTGGGTGGCACAGCGGTTTAGTGCCTGCCTTTGGCCCAGGGCGCGATCCTGGAGACTCGGGATCGAGTCCCGCGTTGGGCTCCCGGTGCATGGAGCCTGCTTCTCCCTCTGCCTGTGTCTCTGCCTCTCTCTCTCTCTGTGTGACTATCATAAATAAATAAAAATTAAAAAAAAAAGCCAAAGTAGCAATTCTTATATCGGACAAAATAGATTTTAAAAATAAAGACTGCAACAAGATTTAAAGAAAGATAGTATATAATAGTAAAGGAGACAGTTCAACAAGAAAATATAAGAATTTTAAATATTTATGCACCCAAATATATAAAACAGCTAATAACAAACATAAAGGAACTAATTGATAATGCTGTAATAGTAAAAGACTTTCAAATCCTCTGACATCAATGGACAGACCATCTAAACAGCAGATTATCAAGGCAACAATGGCTCTGAATGACACACTGGAATGGATGGATTTAACGGATACATACACAACATTCCATCCTAAAGCAGCATGATACACATTCTTTTCAAGTGCACATGGATCACACATTAGGCCACAAAACAAGCCTCAACGAATTTAAAAAGATCAAAATCATACCATGTATCTTTTCTGACAACAATGCTATCTATGAAACTAGAAGTCAACTACAAGAAAAAATCTGGAAAGACCACAGATATATGGAGGTTAAATAACATGCTACTAAACAACAAATGTGTCAACTAGGAAATAAAAGAAGAAATAAAAAAATACATGGAAAACAGAATGGTTTAAAAATCTTTGGGACATAGCCAAAGCAGTTCTAAGAGGGAAGATTATAGCAATATAGGCCTACTTCAAGAAGAAATAAAAGTCTCACATAAACAACCTTATACCTATAGGAGCTAGAAAAAGAATAACAAACAAAACCTAAAACCAGCAGAAGAAAGGAAATAATAAAGATTAGAGCAGAAAAAAGTGATATAGAACCTAAATAACCGGGATCCCTGGGTGGCGCAGCGGTTTGGCGCCTGCCTTTGGCCCAGGGCGCGATCCTGGAGACCCAGGATCGAATCCCACGTCGGGCTCCCGGTGCATGGAGCCTGCTTCTCCCTCTGCCTGTGTCTCTGCCTCTCTCTCTCTCTGTGTGACTATCATAAATAAATAAATAAAAATTAAAAAAAAAAAAAGAACCTAAATAACCAGTAGAACAGATCAGTGAAACCCAGGAGCTAGTTCTTTGAAAAAAATTAATAAAATTGATAAACCTCTAGTCAGATTCATCAAGAAAATCCCAAGGTCCTGAGATTGAGCTCTGTGTTGGGCTCCCTACTCAGCGGGGAGCCTTCTTCTCCCTCTCAGTCCTTTTCCCCTGCTGTCCTGGCTCTGTCTCACTCTCTCTTTCTCAAATAAATAAATAAAATCTTAAAAAAAAAAGTGAGAAAGGACCTAAATTAATAAAATTATAAATGAGGAGAAATAACAACAAACACCACAAACAATTAGATTTTGAAAAACTATATGCCAACAAATTGGACAGCTTAAAAGACATGGATCAATTCCTAAAAATATTTAACTTCCCAAAGGTAAAACAGGAAGAAATAGAAAATTTGAATAGACTGATTACCAGCAAAGAAATTGAATCAGTAATCAAAAAATTCCCAAGAAGCATAAGTCTGGGACTGGATATCTTCATGTGAATTCTACCAAATATGGATTGACTTTTATTTTATTCTACACACACACACACATACACACACACCCATTGTGGGGCTTGAACTCAGAACCCTGAGCCAGCCAGGTGCCCCTCCATGAAACATTTAAAGAAGAGTTAATACCAATTCTTCTTATACTATTCTGAAAAATAGAAAGGCAGGAAAACTTCCAAATTTATTCTATGAGGCCAAAATTAGCCTGATAGCAAAACCAGGTAAAGACACTACAAAAAAAGAGAACGACAGGCCAGTATCTCTGATGAATGTAGATGCAAAAATCCTCACCAAAATACTAGCAAACCAACCCCAACAATACATTAAAATAAATCATTCACCACGATCAAGTGGGATTTATTCCTGATGGGTCAGTATTCTCAAGTCAATCAACATGATACATCATATCAATAAGAGGTAAGAGCCATATGATCATCTCAATAGATGGAGAACAAGCATTTGACAAAGTACAACATCCACTCATGATAAAAACCCTCAACAAAGTAGGGTTAGAGGGAACATACCTCAACATAATAAAGACCTTAAATGAAAACCCCAAGGTAACATTCTTAATGGTGAAAAGCTGAGAGCCTTTCCCCTAACATCAGAAACAAGGCAAGGATGTTCACTCTCACCATTTTTATTCAGCTTAATACTGGAAGTCCTAGCCACAGCAATAAGACACCAAAAAGAAAAACTTGCAGATGACATGATATTGTATATAGACAACCTGAGAGACTCCTCCAAAAAACTGCTAGAATTGATACACGAATTTGGTGAAGTCTCAGGATACAAAGTGAATCTACAGAAATGTGTTATGTTTATATATACTAACGATGGACCAGCAGAAAGAAATTAAGAAAGCAATCCCATTTACAATTGCACTGAAAATAATAAGATACCTAGTAATAAACCTAACCAAAGAGGTAGAAGACCTGTACTCTGAATGCTTTAAAATGCTGATGAAGGAAATTGAAGCTCTCACAAAGAAATGGAAAGATATTCCATGCTCATGGATTAGAGGAACAAATGTTAAAATACCTCTGCTACCCAAAGAAATCTACACATTTAATGCAATCCCTAGCAAAAATACCAACAGCAGTTTTCACAGAGCTAGAACAAACAATCCCAAAATTTGTATGGAACCACAAAAGAACCTTAAGAGCCAAAGTGACCTTGAAAAAAGCAAAGCTGGAGACATCACAGTTCTGGACTTCAAGTTATATTACAAAGCTCTAGTAATTAAAAGAGTATGGCACTGGCACAAAAATAGGTATATAGATCAATGAAAAAGAACAGAAAATCCAGAAATGAACTCAACATTATATGGTCATTTAATCTTTGACAAGGCAGGAAAGAATGTCTAATGGGAAAAAGATAGTCTCTTCAACAAACAATGTTGGAAAAACTGGCCAGCAACATGCAAAAGAATGAAACTGGACCACTTTGTTAAAACATACACAATAAGTTCAAAATACATTAAAGACCTAAGTGTGAGATCTTGAACCATAAAAATCTTATGAAAGAGTATAGGCAGTAATTATTCTGACATTGGCCATAGCAAGTATTTTTCTAGATAGATCCCCTAATGCAAGGGAAATGAGCAAAAATAAAATATTGGAACTACATCAAAATAAAAATTGTCTGCACAGAGAAGGATCAGTTGGCAAAACTAAAAGGCAACCTACAGAATGGGAGAGCATATTTGCAAATGACATACCTAATAAAGGGTTAGTATTCAAAATATACAAAGAACTTATACAACACCAAGAAACAAATAATCTAATTAGAAAATGGGCAGAAGACACAGACATTTTTCCAAAGAAGACATCCAGATGGCCAACAGACACTTGAAAAGATACCATCACTCATCACCAGGGAAATGCAACTCAGAATCACAATGAGATATCACTGCACATGCATCAGAATGGCTAAAATCAACAATACAACAACACGTGTTGGTGAGGATGTGAAAAAAAGGAACCCTTGTGCATTGTTGGTGGGAATGCAAACTGGCATAGCAGCCACTGTAAAAAACAGTATGGAGGTTCCTCAAAAAGTTAAAAATCAAACTACCATATGATCACATTACTGGGTATCTACCCCACAAAATATAAAAACACTAAACTTGAAGGGGTATGCGCACCTCTCTATTTATAGCAGCATTACTTAAAATAGCTAAGATATGGAAGCAGTCCCAAGTGTCCATAAATTGATGAATGGATAAAGAACGTGCACACACACACACACACACACACACACATTACACACACACAGGGATATTATTCAGCCATGAAAAGAATGAAATCTTGCCATTTGGAACCACATGGATGGAGCTAGAGAGTATAATACTAATAGAAATAAGTCAGAGAAAGACAAATACCATAGGATTTCACTCATGTGTAATTTAAGAAACAAAACAGATGAATCAGGAAAAAGACAGGGAAACAAGCCATAAGAGACTCTTACGATAGAGAACAAACTGATGATTACCAGAGGGAGGAGGTGGGGGATGGCCAAAATAGATGATGCAGATTAAGGAGTCTGCTTGTTGTGATGAGTTCAAGTGATTAAATTAAAATTCATGTGTGTATATATATATATATATATATAAAAAAAAGGGTACAGGAACCAAGTGGAAGGAGCGCCCAATTATGCAAGCTAGGACAATTTAAGAAATAAATGATAGTGTTGGATTATAACCCAGTGAATAAGTTGAATATTTGTGAGTCCATACTGATAAAGTAATAGTCAAATAAAAGAATAAGTGGGTGAGTAGGGACAGCTTTTTCCTTTCAGAAGAATTCATATTAATAAATGTATGAAGGTTGAATGAAATATATAATCACCATTAGGCAAAAATCACAGTAATAATTGTTACAGACAAGATCTACCAATGATTGCCAAAATCAGTGAGTGTACATTTCAGAAGAAACAAGATGTTTGTATATTCTCAGAGTATCTCTACCAAGATACTTTGTTAATCACAAATGGAAAAACAGTTTACAGTCGAGAAAACTTGACACACTACCTAAGTGATAAAAGCTTGCAACACCAGTAATAAGTCATCAAAATCCTGTGCCTCCCTGATAGTGATGCACTGAGAAGACCCAAAGCATCACCTTTGTGATTTTCTTGCCAGAGGTTCATAAACTCAGTCTAATCATGAGAAAACATCAGACAAACCAAGTTTGGGGAAATTCTATTAAATAACTGTCTCTAGTACTCATCAAAAATGTCAAGGTCATGAAAGACAAAGACTGAGGAGCTGTCACAGATATGAGAGGAGACCAGCGAGATAAAATGATTGAATGCAATGTAGTTTTTTGGATTGGATCCTGCAACAGAAATAGGATTTGGAAGAAAAACTGGTGAAATTTGAATAAGGTCTACAGTTTAATTAATAGTATTATACCTAATGTTAACTTCCTGGTTTTGAAACTATGGTTATGAAGGTTAACATTAGAGAAGCCTGTTAAATGGTTTATGTCTATTCTCTTGCTGTCTTTGCACCTTTTCTTTAAGTGTAAAATTATTTCAGATAAAAAGTGTTTCGAGCTTCTTATGTATTATAAAGTATGTTTAATGATCCATAACAATGTTACATGTTCTCATCTCACCCATTTTAGGCACAGATGGTAGAAAAATAATACACACTCTTCTGAACTTTTCCTTTTTCACTTAACACTTCATATTTGACATTGCTCAATATTGATAAATAAAAGAGTTTTCCTTACTGTTGTAGAAATATAGTGTTCCATTGCAAGGATGTCCTATAATTTAATTAGGCTCTTAATAATCTTTTTTTAAGATTTTATTTATTTGAGAGGGAGAGAGAGATAGAATACAAGCAGGGGGAAAGGCAGGGGGAGAAGCAGATTCCCCACTGAGCATGGAGCCCAACATGGGGCTCAATCCCAGGACACCAGGATCATGACCAGAGCTGAAGGCAGATCTAACTGACTGAGCCACCCAGGTGCCCTAGAATGGAAGATTTTGGTTGAAAAGTAAAATTTTGTTAGAAAATATAGAAGCATCTGCTTTTAGAAAGAAGAAATTAAATACATTTTTGTACATGTAAGGCACTGATGTGTGCTCTCATGCATTAAAATACAATTATGCTGCCACTAAGTGAGGCCGAAATGTTGATAGGATCTGTATTTCTAAATTATCATTTTCTTCCTGTCTTTCATTCAAGACCAATGTGCCTGGAAAGAAACACACTGATGCTAAGCATATGCAAAGCGATATAGGTGATTCAAATATTTGAACACTTTTGGTGGTAGTTTGATGGTCCATGGCAATCCTTTAAAGCCTCCGCTATTTCTTAATTTCTGTGTAGCTTTTGCAGTAATACCCAACTGGACACATCATTGATAGTTACTAACTACATTTTAAAATCATCACTCGATCTTCTTCTTCATCCCCCTCCTCTTCATCCAGGAATGCGTTTGGCTCTGGCTGATGCTGGCGACACTGTTGAAGATGCAAACTTTGTGGAAGCCATGGCAGATGCAGGTATTCTCCGTCTGTACACCTGGGTGGAGTGGGTGAAAGAAATGGTTGCCAACTGGGACAGCCTAAGAAGTGGGCCTGCCAGCACCTTCAATGATAGAGTTTTTGCCAGGTAATCTGTGGACTCCAGCCCTCACTACTTTACAGTTGCTCAGTCCTTGTGCATTTTTAAGTTTTTTTCTTTTCTTCCTAAAATAAATTAGATGTCAATAATAGCTACTGTCCGTTGCAGGCTTACTTGTTCTGGGTACTCTGCTAAGCACTTTGCACCCATTATTTGATTTTAGCTTCACAGCTTATATGATAAAGATATTAATGCTCCATTTTATAGTTAAAGAAAGTGAAGCTTAGAAAAATTAAATATTAAATGCCCCAAAGCTAGTAATTTGTTTTGGGGTTCATGAATTTGCTTCTTTCTCCAAAGCCGTTCTCATGACTATTTTACCATGCTGGCTTGTGTTAGAATAGGACAGAATGGCTAAATGAAAAGTAGATTAGAAGAAAAAGAGAAATATCAATTTTTTCCTTTTAAAAAACATTTATCATCATCTTTGTATCAGGAGCCATCTTAAGAACTGGTGTTACAAAGATGGATAGGACTTGATCCTTCACTATAGTTTAGCAGGAGAAGAAAACACTCATTATTGAACTCATTACAAGTATAGTTATAGGGATAGAGGGAGATGGCATGTGTGTTCTGGGTTTCTTGAAAAATAAACGATTCTTACAGGGAGATAAGGAAGCCATGGAAAGAGTGATATTTATTTGAGGTATAGTATTTGGAGGGCAGAGTAGCACATCAAACACGCTGGGGCCAAATTATGAAGGGCCTTTGGTGGCATGAACAAATTTTTTTAATATCCAACATCATTTGTTTAAAATGCAGCAAGTAAATCTGACCACCTTTGTCAAGCTGTTTCCATGTCTTAGACTTCCTAATAAAGTTTCATCTAGAAATTTTTAGACAAGGACATCATCAACTGTGTTGTGGTTAACTGGTTTTGTGGTTGAGTGGTCTTCAGTGTTTCAGGCATTGTCTGATTTTACTGTTTACTAGTATATACGGCAGTTTTATATATCTTTTATATATCTTCATGTACTTGCATGTGAACTCAGTAATCTTTTTTTCCTCCTATTCTATAGTGAGATGAATGCAGGAATTATAAAAACAGATCAAAATTATGAAAAGATGATGTTTAAAGAAGCCCTGAAAACAGGGTTTTTTGAGTTTCAGGTAGGCTATTCTTTTAGTAGCTATAAAATTTGTTAGTGTGAATATGATGTATTTTGCTCTTTTTCCCCTTCCTGCTATGACAAAATAACTCCTCTAAGATGGGGACTCCTCTAAAATGTTGCCAAGCAATTTTTAAATTCTTTAGTAAATTGTAGTTTTAAATAACTTTCTTTGATACTCTTTCTTTTGTGTTTGATATAAGTATTTCTGTTTCTAGTTGAGCTATGAGTTAGTAAAGGTTAAATCTAAAAATCAGCCACATTTTCTAGGAGAACATTTTTAAATTGATAAAATGTAAATATAAAATAATTTGCTTAGTTTGAAAATAAGCATTTTCTGATGTTGCCCACAAGGTGTCAGTGTTTCCTCAAGTTTGGCAGTTCAAGGGCTTAAAGTGAAAATGTAGGTTTCCTCAATCAGTTTTGTAAAATATCACATTGGGATTTATGTAACTTGGTTTTCATAGATGTGGTTAAATAAGGATAAGTGCTGAACATAGCAATGTGTCCTATTTATAGCCTTTTTTGATACTTAATATCTTATAGGCTGTTCAGAGTATCATCAGCCCTTAACACAGAGTTTAAATTGTGCAACTTTTATATGCTACAAAATGTCTTTCTGAAAAATTTTTCTTGAGAATCAGTACTATAAAACCATGATATTTTTTGACAAGGATTGGTATACATTTAATTGCAAGTTGTTAAAAATGTAGTAAAACTGGGGGGTGCCTGGTCGGCTCAGTTGGTAGAGCTTTAGATTCTTGATCTGCAGATTGTGGGTTGGAGCTCCACATCTAGTATAGAGATTACTTAAAATAAAATGATGTAAAACCTTTATGAAAATTCCTTATGGAATTTTGAAAGACTAAAAGCTTAAAAATGCATTAACATTAAGGTACTGAATTTTTTTCTTTTCATTTTATTTTTAAAAAGTATGGGGAGAAAAATGGTAAATAATTTCAAATCTTACAGGCTGCGAAAGATAAATACCGTGAATTGGCCATAGAAGGTATGCACAGAGACCTTGTGTTCCGCTTTATTGAAGTTCAAACACTTCTCTTGGCTCCGTTCTGTCCACACCTATGTGAACACATCTGGACACTCCTGGGAAAGGTACCTGTCTGTGGTTCAGATGTTGTGGGCAGTTTTGATTTGGCCTTATTAAATAAATACAGTAATAATGCTACTTAAGAGGAAAAGACTGAAAAAAATATTTCAAGAATAATGTTGGATTCATCATTTCATGAAGCTACCTTCTGTTTAGACAAATACATCGTGTGTGTGCCTTTATTTATGTATACACAGTGAATGTATTTTAAAAACATGTGACTGTGCATTTTCTTTATCACCTAATTCTTTTTTTTATCACCTAATTCTTGTTAGGAAATGTTAAAATACATTTAAGTATATTTTAAAAATACATTTAATTAGAATTCATGTGTAACTAATACTGTTTTTCCAACTGTTAAAAAGGTGAAAATATTGAGAAAGATATAAACGACTGTTAGAGCAGCTCATAAACAAAGATAGAAGTGTATATTTGCATAAATATTTTTGTTTTATATAAAATTTCTGGCATATGTAGGCTGAATATTCAGGGTTATTATATTAGCATCCTTACTGTGAGGATAGATTCAATTATTTCTCCTAGGCTTGCAGATAAACAGATTGGCTGGTTTAATAATTTCTTTTCATCTTTATTAGCCAGGTTCTTTTGTATTTTTTAAAACATGAACAATGCAAAAAATGTACTCATGATACATATACTGAATGGCTATAATTTCAAGACTAAATGTATTAATAGGAGAAAAACCAAGAGTGTGTATAATTTATGTAATAATGATTAAATTTAGGCAAATTAGCATTACATAATTTTCTTTGAAAGTGAGCATATGTGTGTGGGTATTAATATGCTTGTACAAATGGATGCTAATTAAGAATGTAGAGTCAGACTTCACAGTTTGAATTCTAGGGAACATTAGATCAGGGACTGTGCAAGTGTGTTATGGGTAGTCAGGTTTGAACTCTGAGCATGCAATTACAGATGGTAGCCTTTGGGTTTTGTTTTTTTTTTTAGATGGTAGCCTTTGTATGGAACTGTAATCAAGAACCATAAAATAGTTGTGTGGTTTAATCCCACTGAACTTTTTTTTTCCTTTCTTTCTTAAAGCCTGACTCCATTATGAATGCTTCATGGCCTCTGGCTGGTCCTGTGGATGAAGCCTTGATACGTTCCTCACAGTATCTCATGGAAGTAGCACATGACCTTAGATTGCGACTCAAGAACTATATGATGCCAGCTAAGGGGAAGGTGAAGGCTTTTTATTTTATTTTATTTTATTTTATTTTTTAAATTTTATTTAAAAAAGGCTGTTCTTGTAAAGTTATTAGTCAAGTAACCTTTACTAGTAATGAAAATTAAGACAACTATTGTTCCAATGTGTCAGACTCTTTTTACTGCTAATTCAATTTTGTAGTATGTGTATGCTTCTTACTGTTAAAGGCAGTAGCAGTGTATACCAGGGGGAATCTTTCATTTTTGGTGTATACAAGAGTGATCAGATGTTTTCTCCCTTTCTTTTGCCCTGTAGAAGACTGACAAGCAACCACCTCAGAAACCTTCACATTGCACCATCTATGTGGCGAAGAACTATCCTTCTTGGCAACATACCACCCTGTCAGTGCTGCGTAATCACTTTGAGGTGATGCTCTCAGCAGACGTTCTCCCAGTGTTGTTGTGTGTGTCTGTGCCTGTTTTTAGGATGTTGGCAATGTCTGGGAGAAGGGAGACAGGCAGCTTTGTGTAATTACCCCTAGGCATAGAGTGTTTTTTGTTAGCTGTGCTGGCTCCTAAATGGATACTGAGGGAAAAGTTGCCATCTTTTTTATCATTTCTGACTTTCATACAAAAATATAGTGGCTCTGGTCATATGTAATTAAAAAGTGTGGGATTTTCTCATGTGGTTAAAATTATGAAGCAAAAGGACTGAGTTTGCCTTTTGGATTTGTTAGGACTTGAACGCTGGAGTTCATGAAGCCTTAACCTCATTATGTTTAAAAAAAATTTGAAGTTTGCCTATTGAGTAATTTAAAACAAAACGTCTATTTGATAGTTATCCATAGAAACGGAGAGCTGGATGTTTTTGGCTACATCAGGTAAAGAGCTGTTAAATATGATTATTGTGTTTGAAGGAAACAATACTTCAACATAGAAAAAGTCCATCTATCTTTTTCTTTCACATTCAAAATATGGAAACAAAGTATATGTTGTGGAATTTTTGCTTAGGTTGTTAAGAAGAGTTACTGGTAGACACAAATTGTTAAGGTGCACTTAAAGAAGAGAGAGACAAAACGGTGATTATGGGCAAAGCATAAAGTGATAACTGAAGGGAAAATCCTTAGCTTTGAGTTTTGAGAACTTAACTGAGATTTTTATTTCAGAAATTTTCGTAGTTACTTAAAAAATACTCAGAAAAACATTTACATTTGGAAATTTGATGGAAAGAGAAGAGCAAGTGATTTTGTATTCTCTGTGAGCCTATCTTTATGGAGAGCTACTTCCTCATTTGATTGTATATAATAGAAATAGAACATATTTTATAGAATTGCTTGCAGATTTTGATGTATGGAAAGTAAAAAAGTAAAAGCCACTTTGGTAGGTAGAAAAATGATATTGTGCCTTAGTGGGTTGCATATTCATAACAGCATTTTCTTTTTTTTTAATTTATTTTATTTTTATTATTATTATTTTAAATAAATTTATTTTTTATTGGTGTTCAATTTACCAACATACAGAATAACACCCAGTGCTCATCCCGTCAAGTACCCCCCCCAGTGCCCATCACCCATTCACCCCCACCCCCCGCCTTCCTCCCCTTCCACCACCCCTAGTTTGTTTCCCAGAGTTAGGAGTTTTTTTTTTTTTTTTTTTAATAAATTAATTTTTATTGGTGTTCAATTTACCAACATACAGAATAACACCCAGTGCTCATCCCGTCAAGTGTCCCCCTCAGTGCCAGTCACCCATTCACCCCCACCCCCCGCCCTCCTCCCCCTCCACCACCCCTAGTTCATTTCCCAGAGTTAGAAGTCTTTATGTTCTGTCTCCCTTTCTGATATTTCCCACACATTTCTTCTCCCTTCCCTTATATTCCCTTTCACTATTACTCATATTCCCCAAATGAATGAGAACATACACTGTTTGTCCTTCTCCGATTGACTTACTTCACTCAGCATAATACCCTCCAGTTCCATCCACGTTGAAGCAAATGGTGGGTATTTGTCATTTCTGATGGCTGAGTAATATTCCAGTGTATACATAAACCACATCTTCTTTATCCATTCATCTTTCGATGGGCACCGAGGCTCCTTCCACAGTTTGGCTATTGTGGACATGGCTGCTAGAAACATCGGGGTGCAGGTGTCCCGGCGTTTCATTGCATCTGAATCTTTGGGGTAAATCCCCAACAGTGCAATTGCTGGGTCATAGGGCAGGCCTATTTTTAATTCTTTGAGGAACCTCCACACAGGTTTCCAGAGAGGCTGCACCAGTTCACATTAGCACCAACAGTGTAAGAGGGTTTCCCTTTCTCCACATCCTCTCCAACATTTGTGGTTTCCTGCCTTGTTAATTTTCCCCATTCTCACTGGTGTGAGGTGGTATCTCATTGTGGTTTTCATTTGTATTTCCCTGATGGCAAGTGATGCAGAGCATTTTCTCATGTGCATGTTGGCCATGTCTATGTCTTCCTCTGTGAGATTTCTCTTCATGTCTTTTGCCCATTTCATGATTGGATTGTTTATTTCTTTGCTGTTGAGTTTAATAAGTTCTTTATAGATTTTGGAAACTAGCCCTTTCTTTTTTTTTTTTTTTAAATTTTTTTTATTATTTATTTATGATAGTCACAGAGAGAGAGAGAGAGGCAGAGACACAGGCAGAGGGAGAAGCAGGCTCCATGCACCGGGAGCCTGATGTGGGATTCGATCCCGGGTCTCCAGGATCGCGCCCTGGGCCAAAGGCAAGCGCCAAACCGCTGCGCCACCCAGGGATCCCAAACTAGCCCTTTCTTTATCTGATATGTTATTTGCAAATATCTTCTCCCATTCTGTAGGTTGTCTTTGAGTTTTGTTGACTGTATCCTTTGCTGTGCAAAAGCTTCTTATCTTGATGAAGTCCCAATAGTTCATTTTTGCTTTTGTTTCTTTTGCTTTCGTGGATGTATCTTGCAAGAAGTTACTGTGGCCAAGTTCAAAAAGGGTGTTGCCTGTGTTCTCCTCTAGGATTTTGATGGAATCTTGTCTCACATTTAGATCTTTCATCCATTTTGAGTTTATCTTTGTGTATGGTGCAAGAGAGTGGTCTAGTTTCATTCTTCTGCATGTGGATGTCCAATTTTCCCAGCACCATTTATTGAAGAGACTGTCTTTCTTCCAGTGGGTAGTCTTTCCTCCTTTATCGAATATTAGTTGACCATAAAGTTCAGGGTCCACTTCTGGGTTCTCTATTCTGTTCCATTGATCTATGTGTCTGTTTTTGTGCCAGTACCACACTGTCTTGATGACCACAGCTTTGTAGTACAGCCTGAAATCTGGCATTGTGATGCCCCCAGATATGGTTTTCTTTTTTAAAATTCCCCTGGCTATTCGGGGTCTTTTCTGATTCCACACAAATCTTAAAATAATTTGTTCTAACTCTCTGAAGAAAGTCCATGGTATTTTTTTTTAATTTTTTTATTTATTTATGATAGTCATACAGAGAGAGAGAGAGAGAGAGAGAGAGAGGGGCAGAGACACAGGCAGAGGGAGAAGCAGGCTCCATGCACCAGGAGCCTGACGTGGGATTCGATCCCGGGTCTCCAGGATCGCGCCCTGGGCCAAAGGCAGGCGCCAAACCGCTGCGCCACCCAGGGATCCCATGTCCATGGTATTTTGATAGGGATTGCATTAAACGTGTAAATTGCCCTGAGTAACATTGACATTTTCACAATATTAATTCTGCCAATCCATGAGCATGGAATATTTTTCCATCTCTTTTTGTCTTCCTCAGTTTCTTTCATAAGTGTTCTATAGTTTTTAGGGTATATATCCTTTACCTCTTTGGTTAGGTTTATTCCTAGGTATCTTATGCTTTTGGGTGCAATTTTAAATGGGATTGACTCCTTAATTTCTCTTTCTTCAGTCTCATTGTTAGTGTATAGAAATGCCACTGACTTCTGGGCATTGATTTTGTATCCTGCCACGCTACCAAATTGCTGTATGAGTTCTAGCAATCTTGGGGTGGAGGCTTTTGGGTTTTCTATGTAGAGTATCATGTCATCGGCAAGAGGGAGAGTTTGGCTTCTTTGCCAATTTGAATGCCTTTAATGTCTTTTTGTTGTCTGATTGCTGAGGCTAGGACTTCCAGTACTATGTTGAATAGCAGTGGTGAGAGTGGACATCCCTGTCTGGTTCCTGATCTTAGGGGAAAGGCTCCCAGTGCTTCCCCATTGAGAATGATATTTGCTGTGGGCTTTTCGTAGATGGCTTTTAAGATGTTGAGGAATGTTCCCTCTATCCCTACACTCTGAAGAGTTTTGATCAGGAATGGATGCTGTATTTTGTCAAATGCTTTCTCTGCATCTAATGAGAGGATCATATGGTTCTTGGTTTTTCTCTTGCTGATATGAATCACATTGATTGTTTTACGAGTGTTGAACAGCCTTGTGTCCCGGGGATAAATCTTACTTGGTCATGGTCAATAATTTTCTTAATGTACTATTGGATCCTAGTGTCTAGTATCTTGTTGAGAATTTTTGCATCCATGTTTATCAGGGATATTGGTCTGTAATTCTCCTTTTTGGTGGGGTCTTTGTCTGGTTTTGGAATTAAGGTGATGCTGGCCTCATAGAACGAATTTGGAAGTACTCCATCTCTTTCTATCTTTCCAAACAGCTTTAGTAGAATAGGTATGGTTTCTTCTTTAAACGTTTGATAGAATTCCCCTGGGAAGCCATCTGGCTCTGGACTTTTGTGTCTTGGGAGGTTTTTGATGGCTGCTTCAATTTCCTCCCTGGTTATTGGCCTGTTCAGGTTTTCTATTTCTTCCTGTTCCAGTTTTGGTAGTTTGTGGCTTTCCAGGAATGCGTCCATTTCTTCTAGATTGCCTAGTTTATTGGCGTATAGATGTTCATAATATGTTTTTAAAATCGTTTGTATTTCCTTGGTGTTGGTAGTGATCTCTCCTTTCTCATTCATGATTTTATTAATTTGAGTCTTCTCTCTCTTCTTTTTAGTAAGGCTGGCTAATGGTTTATCTATCTTATTAATTCTTTCAAAGAACCAGATCCTGGTTCTGTTGATCTGTTCCACAGTTCCTCTGGTTCGATTTCGTTGAGTTCTGCTTGAATTTTAATTAACTCTCTTCTTCTCCTGGGTGTAGGATCTATTTGCTGTTTTTTCTCTAGCTCCTTTATGTGTAAGGTTAGCTTTTGTATTTGAGTTCTTTCCAGTTTTTGAATGGATGCTTGTATTGGTATGTATTTCCCCCTTAGGACTGCTTTTGCTGCATCCCAAAGATTTTGAATGGTTGTATCTTCATTCTCATTAGTTTCCATGAATCTTTTTAATTCTTCCTTAATTTCCTGGTTGACCCTTTCATCTTTTAGCAGGATGGTCCTTAACCTCCACGTGTTTGAGGTCCTTCCAAACTTTTTGTTGTGATTTAGTTCTAATTTCAAGGCATTATGGTGTGAGAAAATGCAGGGGACGATCCCAATCTTTTGGTATCGGTTCAGACCCAATTTGTTACCCAGTATGTGGTCTATTCTGGAGAAAGTTCCATGTGCACTTGAGAAGAATGTGTATTCAGTTGAGTTTGGACGTAAAGTTCTGTAGATATCTGTGAAATCCATCTGGTCCAGTGTATCATTTAAAGCTCTCGTTTCTTTGGAGATGTTGTGCTTAGAAGACCTATCGAGTATAGAAAGAGCTAGATTGAAGTCACCAAGTATAAGTGTATTATTATCTAAGTATTTCTTCACTTTGGTTATTAATTGATTTATATATTTGGCAGCTCCCACATTCGGGGCATATATATTGAGGACTGTTAAGTCCTCTTGTTGGATAGATCCTTTAAGTATGATATAGTGTCCCTCTCATCTCTCACTACAGTCTTCGGGGTAAATTTTCGTTTATCTGATACAAGGACGGCTACCCCTGCTTTCTTTTGAGGACCATTTGAATGGTAAATGGTTCTGCAACCTTTTATTTTCAGGCTGTAGGTGTCCTTCTGTCTAAAATGAGTCTCTTGTAGACAGCAAATAGATGGGTCCTGCTTTTTTATCCAGTCTGACACCCTGCCTCTTTTGATGGGTCATTAAGCCCGTTCATGTTCAGAGTTACTATTGACAGATATGAGTTTAGTGTCACCATGATATCTATTCAGTCCTTGTTTTTGTGGATTGTTCCACTGAACTTCTTCTTAAAGGGGAATTTTAAGAGTCCCCTTTAAAATTTCTTTAGAGCTGGTTTGGAGGTCACATATTCTTTCAGTTCCTGTCTCGGAAGCTCTTTATCTCATTCCATTTTGAATGAGAGCCTTGCTGGATAAAGTATTCTTGGTTGCATGTTCTTCTCATTTAGGACCCTGAATATATCCTGCCAGCCCTTTCTGGCCTGCCAGGTCTCTGTGGAGAGGTCTGCTGTTACCCTAATACTCCTCCCCATAAAAGTCAGGGATTTCTTGTCTCTTGCTGCTTTAAGGATCTTCTCTTTGTCTTTGGAATTTGCAAGGTTAACTATTAAATGTCGAGGTGTTGAACGGTTTTTATTGATTTTAGGCGGGGATCTCTCTATTTCCTGGATCTGAATGCCTGTTTCCCTTCCCAGATTAGGAAAGTTTTCAGCTAGGAGTTGTTCGAATACATATTCTGGCCCTCTGGCCCTTCCGGCGCCCTCAGGAACCCCAATTAAACGTAGGTTTTTCTTCCTCAGGCTGTCGTTTATTTCCCTTAATCTATCCTCATGGTCTTTTAATTGTTTGTCTTTTTCCTCAGTTTCCCTCTTTGCCATCAACTTGCGCAGCCCCCTCCCCGCGGAGCCGCCGCCCGAGCCCCTCCGAGCTGCTCCGGGTCCTGCCGTGCGCGCTGCAGCCCTTAGGGAGCTCGGCGCACTCTCCCGGGGCGCAGGTGTCTGTTAGTGTCCCAGGGAGCCCGAGGGCCTCCCCGCCCTCCTGGGTCCTGCTCTAACTCCCTGCGAGCCCCTTTCCGCCGGGAAGGTTGGTGCAGCTCCTGCTCCTCCGGGACGGGGCTCTCCTGTCCTGGGGACACTCGCCCCGGCCTCAGCCCGGCTCCTCGCGGGCCCCTCCCCCTCGGAGGCCTTTTGTTCCTTTATTTCTTTTTCCCCGTCTTCCTACCTTGAGAGAAGTGCGAACTCTTCTCACTGTAGCATTCCAGCTGTTCTCTCTTTAAATCTCAGGCCGAATTCATAGATTTTCAGGATAATTTGAAGGTTATCTAGGTAATTTGGTGGGGACAGGTGATTTGGGGACCCTACTCTTCCGCCATCTTGCCCCTCCTCCCCATAACAGCATTTTCAAGGAAGCAGTCGAGGAACCAAATATAAAATGTAATGTCCCAGATATTTAAAAATGCATTTTTTATTAACAATTTCTATTCTTTTAGAAGTTATAGTTTATTTAGTAATTACTGACTAGATATATGGTTTCAAAATGATATCATCTTTTGGCACTATTTGGAATGATCAGCTTTCTTTTAAATTTTTGTTTTCATCCAAAAGAACTAAAAGAAAAACAAAAAACAAAAAAAAAAACCAAAAAAAAAAAAAAACAAAAGAACTAAAAGAATGTTAGTTTAAGGAAGATATTCTTACATTGTATGTGGTACCTTTTTGGTGATCTAATGGAAAGGAGTGTTTCCTACTCTTTTTTCTCTTTCATATATATTTCAAAGCAGCACACTGATAAGTGGAGAAAATATTTTTTCCCTGTACTTTAGTAAAGGTTAGAATTGAAAGTAAACACATGATCAGATGTCTTACTATACATTACTTTTCATTTAGATTCATTCCCAACCTTTGGCTTTGATACCATGCTTTTACAATAAGGAGAAAATAAGTCACCCAAAATTCTGAAAAGGCCACTTGTTTCATTTTTCACTCTGTAGAAGGGGACAGTTGTGTTTACAGAAATGAATTTAAAATCCGGCGGCACATTTGGGACTCTGCATATTAATGATACATGGTATAGGTATTTATTTGTGTTTAGATAGAAGTGATACTATTTTTAACAAGTGGATGGCTAGAGATTTTTTTTTTTCACATTTATGGTAACAGTTTATAAGGAACAGTGTTCAAAAGCAGACATTATATAAATCTTGTATAATAGTTTTGCAGTTTTCAAACGACTAGTGAAGTGTTTTTACAAGTTTGGAGACAAACAAGATCTCTATAAGACTCTTTTGTTTTCTCACCTGGTAAGATCTATTGTTACAATCCTGGAGTTCTTAGTGTAAGGCAAAATTAAATATTCGACAGGACGAACCTCTTTTCTCCTTTACCCTAAAACTCAAGTTATCTTTTAACTTTAGAGGGAATAGGAGACTCCCTCTAAGTCACCTTTCACATCCCCAGGACGTGTGGGGCTGCTCACTTTTCTCCTGTTTTCTAGCAGACTGGTACAGGCCACTATTCTGTGTCTGGCCAACTTCCTATGGGCACTCCACTATTTTGCGTTATCTTTAAAATATTTTTCTCCACATTCTTCCTCAATGTTTTTTTAGGCCAACAGTGGAAAATTGCCTGATAACAAAGTCATTGCTAGTGAACTGAGCAATCTGCCAGAATTGAAGAAATATATGAAGAAAGTGATGCCGTTTGTTGCCATGATTAAGGTAAGCTGTGGACCTCGTGCAGCTGTGACTGTGAGTAATGGTTAGATGAGTGGAAGGAAGGGGAAAACTTTGCATATAGTCTCTCCCAGGAAATCTGCTAAAATAGTTCTTCTCAATCAGTGATTGTGAGAAATGAGCGATCATTTTTGGGATTTATCTGTAAAATTGCTGAGTATTTGGAAATATGCATTATGGAAGAAAAATTGGTTTAGAATTGCTCACTAAATGATTCCGTTCATGTTCTACCTTCTTTTCTATTTGGCAGGGAGGCCTATTCTTTTGGCTTACATTATAGTGTTTTTATTAGATCCTGTTACTGGAACCAAGATATTATATTTGTATAGGTTTGCCTTAACAGGATAAACATTGTTTATAGTGGTTAGACTAGAGTTTCTCAACAATGGTTCTATTGATATTGTGGGCTGATAGTTCTCTCTTGTGGGAGGCAATCCTATGCATTATAGGATCTTTAGCAGTATCTTTGTCTTCTACCAGTTAGGTGCCTGTAGAATATCTTCTTCACCCCCTCCAGTTGTGACAACCAGAAATTCTCTGGTCATTGCTAAATGTGTCTTGAGGGCATAATCTGTTGCTACCTCCCACCTCTGTCATTTGAGAAACATTGCAGTAGGCTCAGCTTTCTTCATAGAAATAACAGATTTCTTGTATTTCTTACAGAGAAACAGAAAGAAGGTTGTATGTTGCTTAAGAGCTCAGGCTTTGGGGTCAGACAGATCTTGGTTCAAATCCTTTTTGTCTGCCAGTTCTTAGTTTTGAGACCTTAGACAAGTCCCTTAAATTCTCTGGGTCACATGGTTTTTCATCTATTAAGTGAGGAAGTTAATAGAGCCTATATTTTAGGAGTGTTGTGAGGAGTAAATGAAATAATATACTTAACACACTTTAATGCTTTCTGTCAAAAAGTAGACTCGATAAATGTTTTTTTAAAAATGTAAATTAGTGTCTTTCAGGCTGCTAGGAATGTAGTGGTTATTCTTGGAGTTTAGATTAATTCTTGAATCTTCTAGGCTACAAACGCCTGCCTGAAGGCAACTAAGACTTTTAGTTTGTCCTATATTGGAGTAGATTGTATTCTTAGAAAAGCCTTTTTGTTCTAGACCAGAATCAACTCTCAGAGCCTGGGATCCCTGGGTGGCGCAGCGGTTTGGCGCCTGCCTTTGGCCCAGGGCGCGATCCTGGAGACCCGGGATCGAATCCCACGTCGGGCTCCCGGTACATGGAGCCTGCTTCTCCCTCTGCCTGTGTCTCTGCCTCTCTCTCTCTCCCTCTGTGACTATCATAAATAAATAAAAAATAAAAAAAAATTAAAAAAAAAAAAAACTCTCAGAGCCTTACGGTCTTTCACGTTTCAGAAATAATTTAGAATCTTGGATTGACCTTCAACAATCAAGTTATATCTGCTGATATGCTTGTAATTCATTGATTCCCTACTTTGGCTATTGCCATTGGTCAGAATGCCAGATCCATTGTCAATATCTGGATCCAACCAAATATTTCATCGTTGATTGCAAAGTTTGATGATGTACTTTACAGAATGCAGTGAAACTGATTTGAAAACTTCTGTAGTTAGATGAATCTTACTAGATTCAAGAGTTGGCTTTTTAGAAAACCAGTATTAGGCTTTTTTAGTAGTAATATATTTTCTTCAGTAATATTAGGGATGTGCCACGCATATTAGTGGTTTGAAACTTCGCAAAGTTGTTTTGTAAATCTGAGAATAAGAAAATAGCTTCTAGCGCTTTTTCATAGGAAAAGAAACAACTTGGACAGAAAATAAGAATAGTGTATATGAGGAATCATGTCAGGTCACTTTCATGTAAGGATAGCACGTTCTAGGCAGTTAGCTATACTTGTTTATATGAATTTGGATCTTGATCACATTTTATGTGGCAAATATTTTCTTTCATTTTCAAGAAAATTAAGAAATTGTTTTTATATGCCACAGGATTATCTCAGTACCCATATGACTTAATTTTTTTTAATTTGTAGAAATTGTTTATTATTAATTCACCATTCTCTGAACTAGCTTTAAAGATGTGTTATCTTAGAAAATTAAATTTTTTTTTCTTTTTGGTTACCTGCAGGGATATTTCTGCACATTTGTTTGATTCCTTGTCAAAGTGAATTCTTTGGGTTTGCATATTAGTTCATTCTAAATAAACAATGATAAAATCATATTTCTTTTGTAAATGAAAACCCTGTCCTTCCAGTCTTTTCAGTGTTGCCTTAATCTTATCATACGTCAAGTGATAATTATTCTGAACTAATAATTTCATTAACAAGCAAACATAGATAAGGGAAACCATGAGTCCAAGGCCTTTCCTTTAGCTGTTCAAATTTGAAGATTTTATCAGTTGAGGGAAGAGTGATTGCTTTGGAGGAAATGTATTCTTTTTAACGTATCCTTAATGTGATTTTTGTTTTTCAAAACTTTTTTGGCTTTTAGGAAAATCTGGAGAAGATGGGACCTCGTGTTCTGGATTTGCAGCTAGAATTTGATGAACAGGCGGTGTTGATGGAGAATTTAGTCTACCTGACCAATTCCCTTGAGGTAAGACAGGCCAATGAGTTAACTACAGTAAACATAATCCAGTTGTTTTGTTTTATGATAAACCTTTTTGTAAACATCTCTGTCTTTAGTACCTTTACCAAATATAACTGTCAAAAATATTTTTGGAGAGAAAGAGAATGGTGGGTATAGAAGTTGCAGGAAGAAAAAAATAATGTGATCTTACTCAGTGTATCAGTTATTTTATACATAAAATACTAACTGTATGTGCCTGGATTCCCCCCCCCCCAATTCTCTTTAAAAATAAAATGAGAGGAGATATTATATTCAGATACTTTAGAAATCTCTCATTTATGGAAGAATTGCTTCTTTTTTTTCCTTCTTCCCATTTAAGCCTCAGATGTACAGGATCAACTTAATTGGATTCCTTTGTTCCTGAGGTGTTATCATAGGTCCCTGCCTGACCCTGTTTTGTGTTGTTTCAAAGTTAGTAATGTAATGAACACCCGTGAATGTATTACTAAACTCAAGAACTAAAACGTTACCAATAGCTTTCACTTATCTGGGGAGTTTTTCCCTATTCTATTTTTCTACCTCAATCACTTCATATATAGATCCTAAAAATGCTGTCTCTCAGATAACTTAGGCAGAAGGAAAGATAATTTGCTCTAGGAAATTGTGTTAGATGACTCAGAAAAGTGATTCTTATAATAATGAAGACACTTGACTTAAAAAAATGCAGGTTTAGATTTTGAATAAAATTGTTCCATGAAATACAGGAATGGAAGGAAGTTATTTCTAAATAACCATTTTATGTCCTATAATTATAAATGAGTTAAATAATTCAATTACTAAATATTGGTAGGTATTTATTTTGTGTATAATTTCTAAATGTTCATATATACTCATGGAGGTCAAAAAAAGTTTTTGAATTTTTTCACTGGGACAATGGGGACCCCTTATATTGAGGGTCATCTTATATTGAGGCATAGACAATATGCTACATTTTTGAGTTTTTCTATTTATTTAAGTGAAAGTCTTTATAAAAAAAATCAAAATTGAGTGAAGTCTTATTCTCAAATGCTAAGTTTCTGAACTTTCTTCATTCAAGTGGAGGTCTTTTATTCTGCTTTTCAGTTTCTCTTATACAGCAGATAGATGCCAGATTTCATTACAGAAAGTGGTAAACGTGACTATGTAAATAATACTATGATACATTTAAGATGAGTGTGAAATAATTGACTGTACATTTCATTTAATTTTATGTGGAAAATAATAAAATCATGCAGACCATTTTCTTAAGACTTTTAATTAATGATTTTTTTTAATGGACATTTAAATTATTTAGTCTTTTGCTCTTCAAACAATGTTGTGGTGTGGGAGCATTCGATCCTGAATTTCATAGTGCTCTCTCAGTCCTGTCCTGTGCTTGGCTGGCTTTTTGAGGAACGCACAGAACATTTTGTGTTAAGTGGAGAACCTAGCTTTGCTCTTTGGGGAAATGAGGAAATGAGGTGATGGTTAATTTTAATCATATTAAGTGATACTGATGACTTTCATTTTCCCTCCTTCTCTTTAGCTAGAACACATAGAAGTCAAGTTTGCCTCCGAAGCAGAAGATAAAGTCAGGGAAGACTGCTGTCCTGGGAAACCACTTAATGTTTTCAGGACAGAAGTAAGTTGAAAAGATCGCATGGAATCATTGCATTTTAGAGCTAGAAGAGACCTTAGATATTACATCCACACCCATCATTTAAAGATGGAAGGAAGTGAGGTGCAGAGATGTGAAGTGATTGTTTTGGTGTAGGCTACATAGTTTGTTAGAAATGAAGCTGAGGGATCCCTGGGTGGCGCAGCAGTTTGGCGCCTGCCTTTGGCCCAGGGCGCGATCCTGGAGACCCGGGATCGAATCCCACGTCGGGCTCCCGGTGCATGGAGCCTGCTTCTCCCTCTGCCTGTGTCTCTGCCTCTCTCTCTCTCTCTCTCTCTCTCTGTGTGACTATCATAAATTAAAAAAAAAAAAATGAAGCTGGGTTTGAACTCTTCTAATTCCCTGGTTGGTGCTATGTTCACTTTCCCTTGCTCTTGTGGGTGACATCGGATGTTAAAATAGAATTTTCAAAACCTGAATTTTTTTTAACCTATTTTTTTCTTTTTTAAAAATTTTAATTCCAGTATAGTTAACATACTGGAATTGTGTTGTGTGAGTTTCAGGTATATAATATGGTGATTCAGCAATGCTATACATTAGTCAGGGCTCATCATGATAAATGTACTCTTAGTCACTGTCACCTCTTTCCTCCAGCCCTCAACCACCTCCTCTATGGTAACCATCAGTTTGTTCTCTATAGCTAAGAGTCTGTTTTTTGGTTTGTCTCTTTTCTGCTTTGTTTGTTTTGTTTCTTAAATATTCCACACGAGTGAAATCCTATTGTATTTATCTTTCTCTGACTGATTTATTTCACTTAGCATTGTACTCTAGATCCATCCATGTTGCAAATTGCAAGATTTTATTCTTTTTTATGGCTGCGTAATATTCAAGTGTGTGTGTGTGTGTGTGTGTGTGTGTGTGCGTGAGTGTGTGTGTCCACACCATGTTGTCTTTATTCATTCATCAGTTGATGGACATTTGGGCTATTTCCATAATTTGGCTATTGTAAATAATGCTGAATAAATGTAGGGGTACATATATCTTTTTGAATAACTGTTTTTGTATTCTTTGCATAAATACCCAGTAGAGGAATTACTGGATCATATTGGTAGTTCAACTTTTAACTTTTTGAGGAACCTCCATACTGCTTGCTTGCTTTTTTAAGATTTTATTTATTTATTAATGAGAGACATATTGAGAGAGAGAGAGAGAGAGAGAGAGAGGCAGAGACACAGGCAGAGGGAGAAGCAGGCTCCATGCAGGGAGCCTGATGTGGGACTTGATCCCGGGACTCCAGGATCACAGCCTGGGCCAAAGGCAGGTGCTAAACTGTTGAGCCACCCAGAGATCCCCTCCATACTGTTTTCTAAAGTGGAGGCAACAGTTTGCATTCTCACCAACAGTGCACAATGGTTCCTTTTTCTCCACATTCTCACCAACACCTATTGTTCCTTGTGTTGTTGATTTTAGCCATTCTGACAGGTGTGAGATGGTATCTCATTGTCGTTTTTTGTTTTTTGTTTTTCATTTTTTTTCATTGTCGTTTTGATTTGATGAGTGATTGAGTGATGTTGAGCATCTTTTCATGTGTCTTTTTTTTTTAAGATTTTATTTATTTATTCATGAGAAACACAGAGACAGAGAGGCAGAGAGGCAGAGACACAGGCAGAGGGAAAAGCAGGCCCCATGTGGGGAGCCCGACGTGGGACTTGATCCTGGTTCTCCAGGATCACGCCCTGGGCTGAAGGTGGCGCTAAACTGCTGAGCCACCAAGGCTACCATCTTTTCATGTGTCTATTTGCCATCTGGATGTCTTCTTTGGAAAAATGTTCATGTCTTTTGCCTATTTTCAATTGGATTATTTGTATTTTTAATTGTGGTTATTATTGGTGTTGAGTTGTATCAGTTCTTTATGTATTTTAGGTACTAACCCTTTAGCCGATATGTCATTTGCAAATATCTTCTCCCATTTTGTAGGCTGCCTTTTAGTTTGGCTGATTGTTTCCTTCTCTGTGCAGAAGCTTTTTATTTTGATGTAGTCTCAATAGCTTATTTTTGCTTTTGTTTTCCTTGCCTCAGGAGACATATCTAGAAAAATATTGTTACAGCTGATGTCAGAGAAATTACTGCCTCTGCCCTCTTCAAGGATTTTTATGGTTTCAGGTCTCACATTTAGGTCTTTAATCCATTTTGAGTTTATTTTTGTGTCAAAACCTGACTTTTATTAAAAAATAGAATGGAGGGACACCTGAGTGGCTCAGTCGTTGAGCATCTGCCTTCGGCGTAGGTTGTGATCCCGGGGTCCTGGGATTGAGTTCTGCATCATGCTCCCCGTGAGGAGCTTGCTTCTCCCTCTGCCTATGTCTCTGTCTCTCTCTTTATGTCACTCATGAATAAATAAATAAAATCTTAAAAAAAAATAGAATGGAAATTGAAATGTAATTTTTTTTTTTTAAAGTGAAGAGGAGCTTTCATACTTCAGATGAGTCTTGGTTTGATATTGTTATTCAAGACTTTTTGGCTTTTGGCATAAACCAGATTGATGAATCATCTTACTTTATACTAGAACTGCTTTTTCCCCCTTATTTTTTGGCCAGTATTGGTGAAGATAAGCAGATTTTGGAGTTTTGGGAGATTCTGTTTATTTAATCTCAAAGAATCCATTGCCCAGTGGAGTGCAATTGTGTCTATAAAGTGCCCTGTTTTTCTTGAGAAGTGGAAGACTAATAAGTATCCCGTTACTTTTACCATGTTAAATTGAAAATGTAACAAAGAGGAAAAGCCTATTTTGAAAGAATAAGGTAATCACAATCATGAATACTCCCTGAATTTATCATTGTGTTATGCATACTCTCATTACATTAAAATATGGTAGCTTTTTAAAGTGCGGTCCTTGGGCCCATGGATAGGTACATAAAATAGAGCTCCCTATATAGATATTTGTTTTTGTTTTTTTTAAGATTTATTTATTTTAGAGAGAGAGCAAGTTGGGGTGGGGGGCAAAGGGAGAGAAGCAGACTCCCTACTGAGTGCAGAGCCCAACCTGCAGCTCCATCTCACAACCCTGAGATCAGGACCTGAGCCAAAATCAAGAGTCAGGCACTTAACTGACTGAACCACCTAGGTGCGCCATAAATATGTTTGTTTGTTTGTTTGTTTCTTTTTTTTTTTTTTAAGATTTTATTTATTTATTCATGAGGGACACAAAGATAGAAACATAGACATAGGCAGAGGGAGATGCAGGCTCCTCATGGGGAGCCTGATGTGGGGGACTTGATCCCAGGACCCCAGGATCACAACCAAGCCAAAGGCAGAAGCTCAACCACTGAGCCACCCAGCTGCCCTCTTTTGAATTGAACTACTTTCAGACATTCTATTAACCTATTATGTCTTTAAGTCTTTCATAAGACTTAGTTGACATTTTCCACTTAAAATAATGAGCAACGTCTTTGACTATATATAGCTTTTATAATGTAGGATGTAGTATGGTATATGACTGAGGTTAATCCTGTCCCTGCCTTTTATTGGCTATGTGGCCTTGAGCTACTATTTAAATATTTCTGGTTTTCAGCTTCTCATCTGTGAAAAGGGGTTTTAAAGAGCTACTTTTCAGGAAATAGGAATAATGTCTACAAAATGCTTAGTACAGTGCCTGGTACATAGTAGAAATTCAATAAATGATGAGGGTTGAAGAAGAGAAAATATAATTATTGTTACTATCCATCATCAATATTTTTTATCATTATTAATATATTACTCAGTCATTTTTATGTAGGCATTTGGTTGTAAGCATGAGCTTTTGTACATTTTTTTCTTTCATATTTCAGTATCCCTTGGTCTTGATTTTAGAATACCAGATTTAAATTTTTGGTTGGGCATTAAAATTTAGCAGAGATTTTTCTCTCCCTCAGCAGTATTCAGATTTGATTTCACGTAACAGTCATTTTCTCTTTATTTTCCTAGCCTGGTGTGTCAGTCTCCCTAGTGAATCCCCAGCCATCAAATGGCCACTTCACAACCAAAATTGAAATCAGGCAAGGGGATAACCGCGATTCTATAATCAGGCGTTTAATGAAAATGGACCGAGGCATCAAAGGTAAATGGTTTCCCAGAAATGCACATTTGGCAGTAGTTTGTGGATATATGAGTTCTAAGCAGAGGGCAGAAGGAAGAGTAACTGGCCTGCTTAGGGACAGCAGTGTCATGTTGTCCAAACAGTATTGGACTCAGAATCAGAAGGCCTATGCTCTCTTTGGGACATTGTAGCTATGTAGCTCGGTGACTTGGTGATGTCACTTAGACTCTAAACTGATCTCTCTTTTAGTAAAATGAGGCTACTGGATTAGATATTTTTCTAAGACTGCATCTAGCTTTAAAATTGTAACAAGCAATTTCTATCTCTTGGAGGTTTTGAGATTGAAGGCACATGGTATACTTAGTATGTTAAACTAACCTGCCTGCTAGGTCTGTTCCTGGGGACGGAAGAGAAACAGGGTAAAACTTGTTGAGTGTCTGCCATGTATTTGCCATTTAATCTTTTAATTGCCCGAGAATGGAGAGGGTATTACCATTCCCCTTTTACAGATGATGACATGGTGCGCAGAAAGGCTACATGACTAGCAGATTTCATTCAGGTGGTAAATGCTAGAGCTGGAATTCAAACTCAGGTCTGTTTGACTCCAAGATCATATTCTTTCTTCTAAACAATGTGTTTCCAGCTAAAATATGTAAATAATCTTAATTTCTTATCAAGATTAAGTCTAGATCTTCCACGATTAGACTTAATATAATCTTCCACGATTAGACTTAATATAATTATTTATAGTTTCTTTTTTTTTTTTTAATCACTCAGCCAGGTCTGAGGCTAAGCAGGGTGTGAAGGGAGTTAATGTATCTCTGTATTATTTTTCTTCCAAATTATAAAGACAAATTAATCTTGAGATTCCCTGTTGTGCATTCTCTCTCTTTCTCTTCTTGATGGCAATCAAGAGTTGATTGGGTCACATTCTATCAGTATAGAAATTTTTTGAAAAGGTTTAGAAATCCAAGACCTAATTTATGGAACTGTATTCAGGTCAGCAATATTACATTAACATAGAAGACTTAAAATAGCCTTTTGGAATTCGTTCTACAGGTAGTTTTTGTTCTCTTGAGGCTATTTATGCATCTTGTGTGGGCATTTCTTCAGACACTCTCAGTATAGTGTATGTAGTGTATATGGAGAGACTCTTCTGTATGTACGAGTGGTTTTGGGGGGCCCACAAAGTACTGTTCATTAGGAGATCCTGCATCTCTTGAAGGAACAGGGCACTAAGCTATTCAAATACATGATCATAATCTAAGGAGGAACTGCTGTGTACAGTAAGGGAGATGTAGATAAAGTTTATAGCACAGAAAAAGGTGAGATTATTTACAGCTATGGTGATCAGGGATGTATTTACAGAGAAAATAATTGTTTGGATGGGACCTTGGAAATTATACCCAGGAGGGGATGTCAGCAGGATGGATCTCTCGTGTTTCACTGTCTAGCAGCAGTACATTAGGGTTAGGGATTTTTCATTTGTAAACATTTTTAAAAATTGTGGTAAAATACATATAACATAAAATTAACCATTTTGGCCCTTTTTAAGTGTATAGTTCAGTGGCATCAAGTACATTTGCATTGTTGTGCGACCATCAATATTATTCACCTCCAGAACTGTTTCATCATTCCACACTGAGACCCAGTACCCATTAAACAGTACCTCCCCAGTCTCCGTCCCTGTAGTCCCTGGTAACCACTATTCTCCTTGCTGTCTCTTTATATTTGACTATTCTGGGTACCTTGTGTAAGAGGAATCACAAAATGGTGAATAAGTGTCTTATTTTGCTTAGCAAAATGTCCAGGTTCATCCATGTTGTTAAACATTTATCCGTTCCCTTGGTAAACCATGTAGTGCCATCCTTAGAACTTAGAGGCCACAGAAAGCAGAACTTGAAAACTTTGAAATATGAACATACAGGAAGCCATTCTGTGACCTTCCTTTTGGCTTGTTTTCTATTGCATATATTTGGTCATGAGAAGATTTTGTAATAGGAAGAACACTGATATTTAAAGAACAATATGGTGGCTTTTAAAGAAAATAGATAGTTCTGTGGAACCACTAGATAGGATTATTATGAAGTTGTAGCATGTGAGAGGATGTTTTCCTATATCGAAAACTGTAATTTGTAATGTTACAAGTGCCTCCCTTTTAAATACGCTCAGATACAGGACTGACAAGGTTCTTCAGGATTGTACTGGAATGTATTTTCTGTATCTCGTCTTTTCTCTCTGAGCCTCCGGCATAATTCTTACATCCTTTGTCATACTAGCTGTGAATAATATTATCATAAAGTACTTTAAGTTTGACATTCGTAGCTGCTATGAATTTTTTAGAGTGGATAGAAATGTTAGGGTGGAGTTTGAAATTGATATTCCTTCAAGTATCTTCAGAAGAGCTCTAACCTTGAGACTTCTCCAGAAGCCCTTAGGATGCTTTGATATCTAAGGGGGCTAAGTGTATCGAGTGTATGAGATGGGAAGGGAGTGAAATTCAATAACATATTTCTTAGTCTGTTTGCTGCAAAAGCCAGTTAGTTGTCCAATTAGTGCCAATTGCATGGAGGGTGATTATGATCTAGGTCCAGGAGGAACTGGAGTGAAACCATTTCTCTCCACAAAGGCTATTGAGCAACTATTTGATGATAATGACTTTAAATCACTCCCAGCCCATGCCGCATGTGAACTGATAACATGGAGGTGAAAGGCTGCATTGCACATTATCAATCCTTAGGGACTTTGAGTCACTCTCATCTTTTCTCTAAGTGCCTCAATTCTTGTGTAGTCGCAGACTTAAACTTCTACATTTTCAATGATGAGAGAGGTCTGCGATAAGAAAAGAGAGTAAAACCACTAAGAAAGCTCCAAGAATTATTGGCAGTAATGAGCTACATGGTGCAACATCAAAGCAAATATGTTTTGTCACTTAGATGCCTGATTGAGTATTAAGGCTTCTTTGAAATAGTTTGATTCAGAATTGCTGGGAATGATGAGGGAGGTATGTTTCAGAGAAGAAGGGAGAAAGAGGAGGATAAAGAAGGAGAGGGAGACAGAGGGAGGCGTGGGAAGGGTGCAGATCTGCAGTAAAAGGCCTCATGCATAAAATCCGCTGGCTGAACTTCTCACTGCTTCCATAGCAAAATATTTAGTATCACCAGTGTGCATGTTGAATTGTAATAGCTATTAAAATGAATTGTATTCTTGCTCCCAAAAAAGACTCAGAGTTTGCCTTCATGGTAGTCTCAGGTAATTATTCTGTAAGCTTCAATATCCCTACATTAAACTTGAAGTCTTTCAGTCTTTGTTTCCCAAAGAGAATATAATGCCTGGATAACTTGTACTCCTGGCATAGCCACCAGCTGCATTAATGTCTGCTTTTATGTCTTATCCCTCTCATGCTAAGCTTCATACTCAAGGCAGCATGAGGGAGTGTAGTTCACGGACCACCTAGCAGCCTGCTTTAGGAAGGGGTGGGAGCTAATTCAGAAAATACCTCCTATTTCTGTAGATTGGGTTAAATATAACTAGCCATGCTACATTTAGAATGAGATATACGCCCAGAATCAGCATTTGTAGTCATTTATGATGTTTTTTCTACTGTATAAAATAAAAGCACTTGATGTCGGGATATCTCAAAATTGCTGAAATAAATAATTTTTTTTCAGGCTCAGTTGTTGGCAGGATTGTTGATCATAAATTTGTTCAAGGGGCAAATGCTTTCTTTGCCAGGAGCCATCTTATCAGCTTGCACAAGAGCAGATCAGGAAAATCTCAAGCAGGGCAGAGTTGGAGCTCATCCAGAAGCTCAAAAGTCTGAAAGCTGTGCCCTTTCCCCCTGTCCTTCTTCATCTCTCCTTGTATCTCATCAGCTTGGTAATACAAATAACTTTTCATCCTTTGAGCAAAACAAGAAACTGGCAATGCTATTTCTTAGAGTAGTAATTGTTTCTCTAGAAGTATCTTTCAAAAAAAAGCTACAACTCTCACAGTTTTAATGTATCCCAGGAACCAAGACAAGAAAGAGGAAAGAGTTTTAGACTTACTGATGGTTAATTGAAGCATATAGAAAGTGATTTGAGAAGCCATTTAGGGGATCCCTGGGTGGCGCAGCGGTTTGGGGCCTGCCTTTGGCCCAGGGCGATCCTGGAGACCCGGGATCGAGTCCCACGTCGGGCTCCCGGTGCATGGAGCCTGCTTCTCCCTCTGCCTGTGTCTCTGCCTCTCTCTCTCTCTCTCTCTGTGACTATCATAAATAAATAAATAAATAAATTTTTTTTAAGAAAAAAAGAGAAACCATTTAGGGCAGCCCGGGTGGCTCAGCGGTTTAGCGCCGCCTTCAGTGCAGGGCCTGATCCTGGAGACCTGGGATCGAGTCCCACGTCGGGCTCCCTGCATGGAGCCTGCTTCTCCCTCTGCCTGGGTCTCTGTCTCTCTCTTTCTCTCTCTCTCTCTCTCTCTCTCTCTCTCTCTCTCTCTGTGTGTGTGTGTGTCTCTCATGAATAAATAAATAAAATCTTTAAAAAAAAGAGAAACCATTTAGGATAATGCTCAAAAATATACTCAATCCTTCCTCTTGGTTTATAATTCCAGGTGTTACATAGAATCTCTATCTCTGAATCTTTGGTCTGGGTAGAAGCTGACAGCAGGAAGATTTGTCAGATTTAGCTTTGCTTTCTGAGATTGTTATTTAATAATCTCGTGAAAATATCTTTTAGATAAACAACCAGTGTTTTTTAAACTTGAATTGTCAGGCTTAGGCATGGGTTTGAGTCAGTGGCTATAGGTAAATGCTCATATTGGTCATCTTTTTTTCTGTAGACCTTTCTAAAGTGAAGCTGATGAGATTTGATGATCCACTGTTGGGACCTCGGCGAGTTCCTGTCCTGGGAAAAGAGCACACTGGGAAGACTCCCATTTCTGAACATGCTGTTTTCCACGTGGACCTCATGAGCAAGAAAATTCATCTCACTGAAAATGGGCTAGGGGCAGATATTGGTGATACAATTATCTATCTGGTTCATTAAACTCATGCAAATTGGAGATACATCTTGGTTTCTAGGGACATAACTATTCTGTGTCTTCAGATTAGGTGTGAGAACCTTAGACTGGACCTTAATAGACTTCATTTCTAACCATCAAATTCTGCCTGTAATCATATTTACACCAAGTCATCTTGGATTCCTGAACCTAATAAATTTTTTTTTTTTTCCTTCTTGGGTCCTCTAAGAGAAGTAGTTTGTACCATACTTTTTTTTTTTTTTTTTTGGTCTTTTTACAAATTATTGCTATTTCCCAGAAGCTTCTGGTCTTTCAGATTAACACAAAAATGACAGTATATTTCTTTTTGAGGTGTACTTTATACTACTTATGAAGGCTAAGGATTATCTAATTTTTTATATTATATCATTATGGAGTTAGCTGTATTTCTTTTTTTAAAATAAAAACTAAATTAGACAGCTAGTTTTAATTTTTAAAGAACATAACTCATGATTTAAAAAAACACATGAGAATATTTTAACTTAAGTATTTTGTATAAAGAACAAATAGGTCTTATATTTAAAGAATTCTTTTAGCTTTAATGTATTCGATTAGCTACCAGTAATATTTTTTCAGGGCTAACATCAATAGTTTATAAGCAGTTTATAATGATTTACACTAAATTTGGTCATTTTAAAAAAGTGTTTTTCTCCCCAGGAACCTGCATTTGTCAGATTTAGATCATGTCCACTATATTGCAAATTTGTTTCATTCGAGCCAAAACATCTTTTGATATTATCTGTGCCGTTCTGCTTCATATGAGGGAAAAATATTAGGTATTGATTGCCACTGGAGAAAAAACATTTCTGTTTCTTTAAGGATTCAACATGGGCAAAGATTGGGGTGTCTGGGTGGCTCGATCAGTTCAGCATTTTCTCTTGATTTGGGCTCAGGTCATGATTTGAGAGTCGTGATACTGAGACTGTTGGCTCTCGTAATCACCTGGGAATCTGCTTGAGATTCTCTCCCTCTGCTCCTCCCCCCACTCACGTGCACATGCGCTGTCTCTCAAACAATAAATCTTAAAAAAAAAATGACTGTATGGGCAAAGGCCAATTCCGATAACCCTAAGGAACCTGAGTTCTAATTTTCATGTTAAATCAAGAGATTTTACTGAGCTATCTTCTTCAACAGTTTGACAGGTACTGGACCACACTGAATGCTTTATCATAGATCCATTGAAGTAAGTCATTGAATGTTAGAACTCAAAGATCCCTTAGAGGACAAGTGCAAGTTATCATTTATCAGGTAAGGGCCAGCAGCATAGCATAGCAGGTAAGGTTACATGCTCTGAAGTCAGACTAGCCAGGTTAGATTTCCACTCTTTCCATTTGCTACTTGGGTGATCTTGGCCAATTACTCAGGCTCAGTTTCTTCATCTGTAAAATGGAAGTAATAATGTGCCTATCTACTTTCTAGGCTTATCAGAGATGTTTAGGTGAAACATTCTAGGAAAACCATATATATAGCATAGTACCTAGCAAGCGGTAAAACCTCAGTAGGTGTTACTGATTAATGATAATAATGATGATGATAATTAATAAAAAGCCCCAGGATGTATTGGTTTAAGATTATTTAGGCTGTAATCATGTCCTTTCTGTTGGTTTCTATGGGGCCACCATTTTGTTGTTTGCCCTCTGGATTCTTTTGCTGCTCCCTCACTGTGTATAGCCTTAATTATTCCCTAAATCAATTAATCTTTCCTCGTGCCTAATTACAAACTCACTTAAGTTTAACTTCGGTAAATTAAACTATATGTGTTTGGGGGAAAAAAACAAAAAGCAAACCAGAAGGATGGAAAATAATTGCAATATTATGGATGATTATGCCTATTTCATTAGATGAGCCTATGAACCTCTGCTCCTTGGATTAAGTGTGAGTTGGAATTCATAGATCCTCTGTTCTTGCCGGCTTGAATCCTTGGTGCCTCTCTTAGAATGAGCATCTTGCTGGGCTGAATATGCTTCTTGTGTTTAAAGATACATAAGTTTTGTACATGGAAGCCTGCAAGTATGGGCCCATTGCTTCATCTGGTGCTCAACTGAAGAAGCAACAATTAGTTGAAATGCTGAAGAAAAGGCAGCCCCGGTGGCGCAGCGGTTTAGCGCCACCTGCAGCCCAGGGCGTGATCCTGGAGCCCCGGGATTGAGTCCCACGTCAGGCTCCCTGCTTGGAGCCTGCTTCTCCCTCTGCCTGTGTCTGCCTCTCTCTCTCTCTCTCTCTCTCTCTCTCTCTCTCTCTCTCTCTCTCTCTTTGCATCTCTATGAATAAATAAATAAAATCTTAAAAAAAAATGCTGAAGTAAAACAGGCTGCATTCGGCTTACTGTAATCATAGGAGTTTGGTACCTTCCTAAAGGATTTGAATTCTTTTAAGTTGTGAAATATGCACACACAAAAGTGAATAACAAGAAATACATAACACATACTCAAAATATAAAAAATTAAATTAACAAAAATATTAGCAACAGCAAAACAATTATCAACAGGGCAAAATCCTATATAATCACCATTCAGTCAAAGAACAGCACAACGCCAGCACCTCAGAAGCCTAACTTGTGCCTCCTCCTATAAAGACAAGACTGTGTCCCAGTCAGTGTACAATTTTTATACCTGCTTTTTTAAACTGACATCTTTAAAAAAGATTTTCATATAAATTCAATTTAATTAACATATACTATCAGATTTTTTTTTTTCTTCACTAACTGTTTTTATACATGTTCTGTGTGAATCTGAAAAGAATGTTTAGGGCAGCCCCAGTGGCCCAGCGGTTTAGCACCGCCTTCAGCCCAGGGTGTGATCCTGGAAGCCTGGGATCGAGTCCCATGTCAGGCTCCCTGCGTGGAGCCTGCTTCTCCCTCTGCCTGTGTCTCTGCCTTTCTCTCTCTGTGTGTCTGTTGTGAATAAATAAATAAAATCTTAAAAAAAATGAAAAGAATGTTTATTCTGCAATCATAATGTTCTGTATATGTCCGTTAGGTTATAGTTGGCAGATTGAACTGTTCAAATCTGTATCCTACTGTTTTGTTCTTTTGTTTTTGAGAGGTGTACTAAAATCTCCCAAGGTCATGGATTTACATATTTTTCCTTATAGTTCATATTTTTTTTTGATGCTATTATTTGATGTACATAGATTTAAATTCTGTTATATTCCTGGTAAACTGAACTTTTTCTAATTGGGTAGTGTTCCTCATTTTTAGAAATGTTTTTTGACTAAAGGCTATGACATTAATATAATGACATCAGTTTTCTTTTGGTTAGTGTTGATGTGGAATATCTTTCTCCATCCTTTTACTTTTAACCTTCTGTGGTTTTATTTTAATATTTTATTTTGACAAATTTTAAACCTACAGAAAAGTTAAAAGAATTGGCCAATAAACATCCATATATCTATCACCTAGATTTACCGATTGCTGCATTTTGCCCTTTGCTTTCTCTCTGTCGAAATATACATTTTTTTAAATAAACTTTTTATTTTGGGATACTTCTAGGTTTATGGAAAAGTTGCATCTATTGTACAGAGAGTTCCTATACACTCTTCATAGTTTCATCGTTTCCCCTCGTGTTAACAGACATCTTATATAGCCTTGGTTCAGTTGTCGGAACTAAATAATTAACATTGGTATTTTACTATTAACTAAATTAGAGCTAAATTATAGGCTTTATTTGGATTTCACCAGTTTTTGCACTGATGTCATTTTACTGTTTTACTATTGTAGGATCTAATCCAGGATACTATTTTGCATTTTGAATATACTTATAAAAAATTCTGAACCATTTCACATTAAATTACACACACCATGACACCTTACCTTTTAATACTGTAGCATGTAACTCCTAAGAACTAGGACATTCTCCTGTATAATCACTATGTGTGTGTGTGTGTGTGTGTGTGTGTATATATATACATATTTTGCTCAAGAAATTTAACATGATGCAGTAATATTAGGTAATAAGCTTTCCTAATAAAAATGAAGTAATAAAATTTCCCCAGTAACCATTAATAATTTTTTTTTTAAACTCTTAGGATCTAATCAAAGATCAAGCATTAGATTTTGTGGTCATGTCTCTTCATCTTCAAGCTAAGACAGTTTCTCTACTTTCTTTTCTTTTTTGGTATTTCATGACTGTAACATTTTTGAAGACTCCATGGCAGTTGGTAGTAGTTTGTCTCACAATCTGAATTTGTCTATTTTCTCATTATTAGATTCTGATTTAAAATTCTTGGCAAGGCTAATGACATGGGTGATGTTTTCCCTTGTATCACATTAGGATTGGTATGTTGATATATTGTTGGTGGATTTCTCCATTGAAAAGGTTGTTTCCGTTTTATAATTAATAAGGTGATTATTTGGAGACGTGAATATTCTGTTAGCTACAAACTGTGATAAAATGGCAATATTCACTGGTCATGTTTCTGCCATTTATTATTACATGGATAGTTGTAATAGGTAAGTTCTTAATTTTGTCATTTCTTTTGTATTTATTAGATATAGTTCTGTAAAGAAGAGGTTTCCCTTTTGCTCTCAATTGTTTTCTTTCATCGTTGTTTTGAAATCACTGGACTGATGGATCCTTTTTTTTTAGACATGCTGTAATCTCAATAAATTTACTCATTTGGTCTCTTAGTGATTTCAGAATTGGAAGTTCAGTACTATTATTAACAACAAATCTAAGTAGAGTTCAGGTTTTTTGAATAAGTAAAATACACAGTTCAAAAATAAAAGGTTGATCCATTTAGAGAATTTTTTCTCTCTTGCACCATATTCCCTTCTATACTCTGTAGCTAACCACTCTCATTAGTTTCTGCATCGTCTCCTCTGTGTTTCTTTTTCCAAAAATAAGTAAATATTTATATGTACTTTCTAAAAGCTGAAGTATAATTGACATACAATGCTACACTGGTTTAGGTGTATAGTACAGCGATTCAGCAAGTCTGTACTTGCTTACAGGTGTAGCTCCCATCTGTCACCATAATGTGCTATTATCATCCCACTGACTATATTACCTGTGCTGCACCTTTCATCTCAGTGACTTATTTGTTCCATAACTGGAAGCCTGTGTCTCCCACTCCTCTTCACCCATTTGTCCATCCCTCCACTCTCTACCCTCTGGCGACCATCATTTTGTCCTCTCTATAATTTAATTTCTCTTTTCTCGTACAAAAAGCATCATGTTATATATAATTATTTTACACATTGCTTTTTAAAGTTAACATAGCTTGGATATTTTTTCACTTTAGTTCATAGAGATCTTTCCTTCTCCTTTTCCTCCCTTCTCCCTTGTGCCTCTTCTTTTCTCTCTGCCTTGTGTCCTACTGCTGTAAAAGTGTACCAGTTTATTCATCTCGTCTCCTATGGATGGCACTTAGATTGTTTCTGAGCTTTTGATATTTTACAGACTTTGTATAGAATTATATAGTGAGTAACTTTGTGAATATGTGGTTTTATATTTGTAGAGGCATATCTTTTTTTTTTTAGGATTTTATTTTTAAGTAATCTCCACCCAACATGGGGCTTGAACTCACAACCTCAGATCAAAGAGTTACATGCTTCACCAGCTGATCCAGACAGATGCCCCTGTGGAGGTGAACCTTGGGAGTAAATTTCTAGAAGTGGGCTTGTAGGTGCAACAGTAAATGAATACGTAGTTTTGTTAGTCTGTAATCTGGGGAAAAGCCTATAATCTGGGCAAAAAAGGCATTTATTAGCTTGTAATTTGGACAAAAAGAAGATATAGCAGGTCTAAAGGCTCTGAGGCAGGGACATGGTAGCTGAGGGGATTGCATGGAGGCTCCATGAAGAAACAGAAATGAGAGGTGGCCTGAAGATCATATGCACTAGTGGCAGAGCTAAGCTAGAGCCTTGGCCTCCCTACTTGCAGTTCATTGCAATACACACCCAACACAGGGCTTGAACCCACAACCTGAGATCAAGACCCGAGCTGAGATCAAGAATCTGACACCGAACCATCTGAATCACCCCGGCGCCCCCTGCAACACACTTGTTAAACAAAGAATGCATACATGCAAAACAGGAATCTATTTGACTGAGGGCAGTCATGTTAGGGCTGTAAGAGGAGGGAGACGTTTATATGGACCGAAGTCCGATGAGACTTCAAAGATGAGGCAGCGCCATAAAGGAGGGCTGGGCCTGGAGTAGAGGTTGAAGCAGAGCAGATCCAACTCCCCGACTTTAGAACTAGGTGTGGATAAGGGCCTGGAGCTGAGAATAAGTATGTGGTTGGTGGGGAGTTAATGCCAGGAATAGAATGTTTATCTGGGAGAAATGAGAGGAAAATTGAAAACCAGTAAGTAAATTGGGCCTTGTAAAGATTCTCAGATTCCAGGATGAAATTTGAAGTTGATTTGTCTGCACAGTCACTGCAAATTTTTGGCACGGGGATGAGGTAGTATGTTCTTGTGTTTTCTCTAGTTTGTGGTCATTGTGTCCGTCTCTTTTTATCTTTTTTTTAAATTTTTTTTAAGATTTATTTATTATGATAGAGAAAGGCAGAGACACAGGCAGAGGGAGAAGCAGGCTCCATGCTGGGAGCCCGACGTGGGTTTCGATCCCGGGACTCCAGGATCGTGCCCTGGGCCAAAGGCAGGCACGAAACCGCTGAGCCACGGATTAACCCCCCCCCCTTTTTTTTAAGATTTTATTTTCTCCTGAGAAACAGAGGCAGAGACATAGGCAGAGGGAGAAGCAGGCTTTCCATGGGGAGGCTGATATGGGACTCAATCCCAGGACCCAGGATCATGACCCGAGCCAAAGGCAGATGCTCAACCACTGAGCCACCCAGGCGTCCCCATCTCTTTTTATCTTGAAAAATTCATTCATTCAGTTGTTCTAGTGACTAGTAGAGATCAATGTGCCTGGCTCTGGTAGGCCCTCCTTGTTATCTGGTACTTTGGTTACACTGTTTCCTCTCCTTGCTGTCTTTGCACACAACTTCATCTCTGTATTGGAAAATACTCAGATGCCACCCAAGACTTGCAGAATCAATTAAGTGTTCTAATTGCCCACTGTTAGGCTTACAGCTTGATTGATAATAAGGTGGGCACCCCTCCTCTCACTTCCAGAAAGCAAAACAACAGAATAAGATGTGATCCTTACTCCTAAGGGCTTAGGAATGTGACAGAGGAGTACTCACTTCACTCTGGAGGAGTAAATGGTATTTTATTCTTCTATCCCTCATTTTCCTTACCCTGGGATTCAGTCTAGAGCTGTGCTGTGCAGTAGTTTAGCCACTAATCCCCTGTCTAGAGCACATGAGAGGTGGAGAGTCTGAATTGAGGTGTGCTGTAAAAATGTGGGACATGCTTTCAGTTCAAAGACTTGGTATGACAAAGAATAGAAGATACCTTGGTAATAATTTTCTATTGTTTACATGCTAAAATAATGTTTTGAATAAATTGTGTTAAAATACTTTAAAATTAGTTTCATCCTTCTTTTACTTTTTAAAAATATGGCTACTAGAAAATTTAAAATTGCATATGTGGCCTTGCATTGTATTTCTTTTGGACAGTGGCCTAGAGACTTGATGAAATTTAGGTCAAACATTATTTTGTACTGCATCATACCAAGAGGTCCATAATACGAGTTTTGTCCTACTCTTAGTGACATTAAATTTGGTATTTTCCAAAACTCTATAAAACTCTTTTAAAGTTCCATTTTGGGGATCCCTGGGTGGCTCAGCGGTTTGGTGCCTGCCTTCGGCACGAGGTGTGATCCTGGAGTCCCGGGATCGAGTCCCACATCGGGCTCCCTGCATGGAGCCTGCTTCTCCCTCTGCCTGTGTCTCTGCCTGTCTCTCTCATGAATAAATAAATAAAGTATTAAATAAAAAAATAAGGTTCCATTTTGATCACTGTAAGAATTTTCCATTATAAAGGTGTAGGTGTATGTATATATGTGTGTCTATATATATATATATATATATATATATATATATATATATATATATGGTATATATTTTTGAAATCAATTCCAGGGTTTTTATTGTAACAATACTAAAAAACCAAAACCAAAACCAAAAACCTCAGAACTTGCCATTTTAAAGATAGATTTTGGGCAGCCCAGTGGCTCAGTGGTTTAGTGCCGCCTTCAGCCAAGGGCGTGATCCTGGAGACCTGGGATTGAGTCCCACATCGGGCTCCCGGCATGGAGCCTGCTTCTCCCTCTGCCTGTGTCTCTGTCTCTCTCTCGCTCTCTCTCTGTATCTCTCATGAATAAATAAATAAAATCTTTAAAAAAATTAAAGATAGATTTTGAGTATTTCTGGAATTCTCCAGAGATCCAGAGTCCGTATGGACTCAGCTTACATGGACAATGGTTATTCACTCCTTTTTTTTTTTAATTTTTTTAAAAAATTTATTTGATAGTCACAGAGAGAGAGAGAGAGGCAGAGACACAGGCAGAGGGAGAAGCAGGCTCCAAGCAATGGGAGCCCGACGTGGGATTCGATCCCGGGTCTCCAGGATTGCGCCCTGGGCCAAAGGCAGGCGCCAAGCCGCTGCACCACCCAGGGATCCCCGGTTATTCACTCCTTAAAGGAATCTTATTGTCAATCTTTTTTTTTTTCTTTGCAAAGCTAGTAATCACTTGCTAATTTCTGTTATCCTTACAAAGTTGACTTTTCATGGGTAGCACATCTATTGAACAAATTACTGAATGCTGATTATGTTGCAGACTCTGCGTTAAGCACTTTGAGTTGGAGTGGTAAGCAGGAGAAACACGGCCATGCTTCACGTAGGATGGTCCTTAGAGGTGAGGAGACACAGTTGCCCAGAACCCAGTGAATGAAGGCAATTAGGAAGCTTAGCTGAAGAATCTTGATTTGGGAGGTATTATATAGGCTTTTCTTCACAAACCTGCTCAAATAAATGCTTTGAAGTTTAGAACCCTCCACAGTCATTCTCCGTGGGTCTGATGAGAATATATAGTATAGTCGGCAGCTCCCTCCTGTTGTCTTTCTCATGTAATGCTGATTTATGATTGTAGAACTCTTCCCTCAATTGCAATTTTTTTCTAATCTTTTTCCCCTTTCTGGACATTTTGCCAGCATTCCTGGGGTCCGCACCTCCATCAGGCAGGTCCTAGAGGCGTCCCTCGGAGACTCCTAATACCCGGGACATGGACCTAACCAGTTAGATGTGTACGTGCCTTTAAAGAAGTAACATGTCTGTTAGGTCCATGCTATGACCTCAGGTTCCAGAATCAATGCAACATTCTTTAGAAGAGATGCTTCACTTTGGATTGAAACTAAGTTTAGAATCAGCCAGCCTTTTGTCCAAGGGAGGAGGAGAGTCCCAGTGAGGGAACACCTCACTATGAGTTGGTTTGGAAATTACTTCTCTCAATTTCCTGAGGATGTTTCCTTGCTCAACATACACTCGCCTCTGTTGCTTTCACTCATCTCTGAAGATGAACAGCATCTTATTTCCAGTTTGAGGTAGAGAGTTGGGTGATTTTTTTTTTCCTTTTAACTTTTTTCTTTGGGTAGCATATCAAATCTCTCTCTCTCTCTCTCTCTCTCTCTCTCTCTCTCTCTCTCTCTCTCCCCTCTCTCTCAAAATCAATCTCTTATGAGGAGCCAGAGAGAAGAAAACCAGGCAAGGGAAGAAAGTAGTTGCTATCATTTTTCAAGGATACTTGAAAAGGGGCAACTCATTATTGGCTCCTTAGGGCCCTGCTTGGCTGGTGAAAGAAGGGCTGGCTTGGGTGAAAGGGTGTCTCTTTATTCTTAACTTTCAATGTTGAATCCTTGACCAGGTGAAACTTGATTTCTGTTTGGCTGCCAGTAATTTCTAGTCCTTTGAAATTAGAACTCAAGGGCTTTGGCTTCAGGTAAGTTTGAAGTAATCAAGGAGGCCTGAGTGGAAGGCAGAATGAACCCTTTTTAGGATTGCAAGTTTAATCAAGGAAGAGGTTTCAGAAACCCACCCTCAGGCGGAAGCACCCCACCGGGTGGGGAATGTGCTTAGGTGGGGGGAGATCTGAGCAGAGTGAGGTGAGAAAGGGGGGTGGGCGTGCCTCTCCTCCATCTCCTAGCAGTCTCCTACCTCTATCTCTCTGGGTGACTAACCTTGGGTCACCTGGGACTGTCCTGAGTTTAGCCCTGAAAGTTCTCTCTCCTGGGAAAACTATTAGTTGTGGGAAAACCGGAGGCTGATGGGTCCCTGGGATTGAAGTTTGGGGTATTTGGGCTGCACAGGTGACACCTGAGAGAGTGCCCCAGGCCTCCTCCCTTGTTTCTCAGAGTAAGGAGTGCCCTAGGGGTAGGGGCAAGCTTAGGAGGTCAGAATGACAATAGCCACCTCCACCGGCCCCCTGGAATCCTCAGCAACTGCGGAGGGTGGGTGTTTTCAACCCAGTTTCAAGGGAGAGAGACCAGAGCTGAGGGCGATGATGTCTCCAGTTTCCCAAGGCCAGACAACTAGAAGGCCACAAGTGAATTTTAGTGTGCCTGAGTCTGAAATCTGTCCTCTTTCCTCTAAATGAAGAACTCGCTGAATTTGATGACAAATGGACAGCTGCTCTGATTTAGCAAAGCTCCGTGACCATGCGCCTCGTCCACTGTTCCCGAACTCCGGGTTTTAGTCGTAGAATCAGATTCCCCGGGAGGCCCCGGAGCTAAGAGCTGTACAGGCAGCTGTAGCGGGTGCTTTAGTCCGAGGCCTGTGGCAGGCCCCCGGTTAATGATCCGGTTGGTAAAGGAACTGCGAGGGGCCTGGTGGCGCAGGTGCTCCGTGGAGGGTAGCTGTGCTTGTTACTTTCATTAGGACACCCAAGCTGTAAATGTTGAGCTGAATTTTGTTAGCCAGTGCATGTCAATTCAAACATTTTAATATCAAAATCACCAAAGATTTAGGGTATTAGGATAGTAAGATACTTGCTGAATTCAAAGTTAGGCAAGCAAACCCATTTCCCCCCCACCAGGAGAAGCTGATCTCTTTGCTACTTGATTAGAACAGAGGACAGGCTTCCTCACCATCCTAAAAGGCTGAGCCAGGAGCAGAAAGTTCTGTTCTAGAACTGCAAGCTGTAAATGGTCCAATACAGGGGGAGGTCCAATCCAGGGGCTCAGGCCTCAGAAATTCTACTAAATTCAGAGCTGATTGGAAGCTCTTCCTATAAGGATGGAAACCCCAAGGTGTGAGCAGCACGTTGGGAGGTCCAGGCCCTACACTGGGTATGGGGGGGAGCTTTGAGGCCACTCTCTGCTTTGGTTTCCTCTCACCACCTGAGACCTGTGCCCTGGCTGGAGGAGGAAACACAGCGAAGATCAGACCATTTGTAGCTGGGTCCGAGGAGGACTCAAAGATAAGAGGAGACCCATGCATTCAACGAATGGTCCAGCTCAGTGGGCAGCCACCGGCCCGCTCGGTGTCGGTGCTGTGCGGGATTCTGGGGTTAGTGGAGGGGCAGCGTGTGCCCGCTGACCCCAGGAGCTCACAGGGGAGCAGAGGAAGTAAGCGGGCACACAAGGGGGCTTCTTGAGCAGCCATTTGACATCTTCACGTTGACTCAGTCCGCGTGGGCCCCTGGAAACGAAATATCATAGACAGGGTGGCCTGACGAGCAGAAAGCTGTGTTCTCACCTTTCTGGAGGCTGGAAGTCCAAGATCAGGTGCCCGCGTGGCCGGGTTCCCGTGAGGTCAGTCCACGTGGCCTGCAGCCTTCTCGCTGGGTGCTTCTGTGGCCTTTCTGCATGGCAGTTTTAGCAGACCGGGCTCCCACCCCTAGTCCTCACTTAGCCTTCATCATCCCCTAAAAGCCCTGTCTCCAGATTTAGTCACACCAGGGGCTGGGCTTCAACATACGACTTTGGGGGATACACACGATTCAGTCTATACCGTGGGTCCTAACCTACACTGTAACAAATGTATTAAAACCAACCCGTACCACACATTATATCCACATTTTTTTTCCTGCTGTACAATAAGTGAAAGGATTTTTATAATTTTGTTTTGGAAATTATTTGGCTATCTGGGATTAATTCATTTTATGATTGGTTCTTATTTCTCAGCAGTCATTCATACTTGGAATTTTTTGCAAAATGAGAATCCTAAATTGTTATTTTTATTTTATTTTATTTTATTTATTATTTTATTATTATTATTTTTTCCTAAATTGTTTTTAAATGTAATAAAATATTTGTGAATCTGACGGTTCATGAGATGGACATAATGCTAGATTTTTATGTTTAATTGAGTATTAACTAACTTTGCAGTCTGCTTTGCAGTTTTTATAGTTTGGAGCCAGTACTTTTTTCCAGACCTCAGATACTGTTGCAGGCTCTTGAACAGCTCGTTAGCCTCTAAGCGTTGTCTATAAATGCCTAAGGGCTAAAGGGGCTGGGGTGCGCAGCTCCACTTGACACTTGTAGATAGGTAGCTCCTGACCCTAACCTCTTCCAGGCTCTCCTACCTTCCAGCTCCTGTCTCGTTGGCACTTAAGACTGGCCATGTTCCACCCACCCTCTTCCCCGCCGGCCTCCCTCCCATTCTGTGTTCTTTGCCATTTTCTTTCTTCTTCTTTCTTTCTTTCTTTTCTTTCTTTTTCTTCTTTCTTTCTTTCTTTCTTTCTTTCTTTCTTTCTTTCTTTCTTTCTTTCTTTCTTTTCTTTTTTTCTTTCTTTCTCTTTCTTTTTTTTTTAAGATTTTATTTATTTATTCATGGGAGACACACGGAGAGAGAAGCAGAGACACAGGCAGAGGGAGAAGCAGGCTCCCTGCAGGGGGCCCAATCCCAGGACCCCAGGATTAAGCTTTGAGCGGAAGGCAGACGCTCAACCTCTGAGCCACGCAGGCGTCCCTCTTTGCCATCTCTCTCTTACGCTGACATCACCACTCACCCCATGGGAGACTCAGAGGCCATTGTGGCCATCAGAGGCTTCCATATCCACCTGTGTCAGGTTTCAGGCTGGTGTCAGGACGACTGCCTAGGTATTGTTGGCAACCTTGTTATGAATCCTGATTTCTGTCCCTCTTGTCTGGAGACCTGAGCTGGGGTGAGGCCTGGGGTGAGGTGTGGGCATTTTTTTTTTTTTTTTAACAGGCTAATGTGTTTATTGAAAGCACATCAGGTTTGGGAAGGCGTGGACATGGGCAGTATTGGTGGAATGAAAAAGAGATGTGCGTCTGAGGAATGAGAACGCAGCCCCCCTTGGGTTTATTGCCCTGATTTAGAGGTTCTCAAAGGGGCCTTCTGCTGTTTCCATGATGCCCGCAGGGTGTTGCCTTAAGGTGCTCAGGAATGTTCCACTCTGGCCTCCAGACCGTGTGTCACAGGTGCTGAGCCCTGGTGACTAGTCCTGTAACAGCAGCTGTTAGAGGAAGACATTCTGCTGTCTCTCATTTGTCTCACGTCAGAAGCAGGCTTTCTTCACAACAGCAGAGGCAGGGACAAACTGCTAATGAGCCTTGCTCAAAGGGGATAATCATACCACATACAGGCTCTCGGTGGTCCCTCCACCATCCTTCCATCTGGCCCTTCCACAGGCCAGTGCAGCTCCCCCTTCACCGTGGGACTCACTGCAGGTATCCCCACGGTAGGAGCCTGGGCAAAACCCACTTTCGGCCCCAGAAAGAGAAGGAAGTTTTTCCACCTCACTTTTGAAGCCCATCCCCCGGGCCTGTATTTCCTACTTCAGAATGAGGGCATAGGATATCTGTTCCCTTCAGGGAGAACGATCTGAAGGTGTATTCTGTGGTCCCCCGAGGACAGCCATGCAGTACTTTGACATTAAGACATCTTCTGGGGTCTGGGTGGCTCCGTGGGGTAAGCATCTGACTCTCGGTTTCCGCTCAGGACCTCAGGGTGGTGAGACCCCGCCCTGCGATGGGCTCCGTGCTCAGTGGGGAGTCTGCTTGAAAGTGTCTTTCTCACTCCCTTGCCTTCTGCCCCTCCCCCACCAAAATAAAAAGATAAATCCTTAAACAAACAAACAAAAAGACATCTTCTGAAGTCTTGGTTCAATTAAATGATACTGTGTGTTGCCCTTCCATAGCCTAGCCCCAATTTCCATGTCTGGTCCTTATTGGTCTCTTCAACGAAGGCTCAAAACCTTTGGGGCATAGCCTCACTCGCGGCAGCTGGTTACATACTCCCTAGGCACAGCAAACTAAGTATATGTCCTTCATTCAACACAATAACCTGATAAAATTACTTATTTTTAATTGTACATTTGAACAAATGGAAATAGGTGTTAAGCAACAGCCAAGGTTAAGCTGCCAGGAATTGCCATGTTGGCATTTGAATTGAGGCCTCTTGGTTCCAAATTTGTGAATCTAGCTATTAATGAAACTCCAAGGAACACTAAGGAAGTAGGCTGGATTTTATGGTGAATGACAGGATCAGGAATAATCATGCCACTAAGAGAGCTAGGATAAGGTCAGAGGAACAGTAGGACTGGGGCAGATGGCGAGGAGCTTGGGCTATGGGTTAAGAGCCACTAGGCATCATCACTGGGTCCCTCTCTCCTCCGCATCACTCTGTCTTGGCTTAACGGTTATCCTTGTGAACCATCACCTTTGTTTTCAAGTTAGTCACTGTTTTTGACTCTCCAGGAGCCATGGGCCAGCCCAGGCTGTGGTGAAGCAGCCCGTCCGGGGAGCCGCTGGCAGGACCACAGTCACAGCGATTGTCCAGACTGGTGGAGACTGGAGCACCGGCCTCTTCAGTGTCTGCAGAGACAAGAGAATCTGTAGGTTTCCCCTCTTCATTTAAGTCCTCCTTGACTCTTTCTTTCCCAAGGCATCCCTGCATGCAGAAGCTATGTTAGGCATACGGACAGAGATCTAATGGCTTTAGAATAACTGGACTGATCTTCTAGTGACTTACATGCACTCCTTGGCGGGAGACATCTTGCATTTCAGGGGTAGGGATGCTTTTCTAGAATAAGCAGTGACCTCAAAGATGTTTTAAATGACCAGATCCACCTTTGGCAAAGGTATGTGAGATGGGCTCCCCCATCTGCTGCTGGTGGGAGTACAGAGTGGTATAGCCTTCCTGCTGGATGGCTTAGCAGTACATATAAAAAGAACCTCAAGTGCTACATAGCTTTTGGCCACGTAATTACATTTGTTTAGGCACTTTGGCTTGGGAAATAAATTATGCACTAAGACTTAGCAACATTAAATTCTGCAGCATTGGTTATTACAGCAACAATCTGGAATAACCCAAAATGTTTGATGGGGGCTCGCCTACAATGAGTTATTATACAGCCATGAAAAGTCATGTTGTCGAACAGCATTTAATGGGATGAAGGATGTTTTGGTACATTTTTAAGTTAAAGAAGCAGACTGTAAAACTAAGCATGTTAGGCACCATTTTGGGGGAAAGGGAAGTATTTTTAAAATATCTGGAAGGATAAAAATACAAATGTTTATGGCATGCCTCCAGATGGTAGGCTAATGAGTAATTTTTATTTTCTTTTTTGCACATCTCTTTCTAGTGTTTCTATGAGGAATATGTAGGACTCTTATAAAAACAAGGATATCACAAAAAGACGCCCCTTATGTTGACTGAAATATTGTCAGATGTTGTTTCAGCTCTAAAGAGGTATCAATAACACTGTCCTCTAGCTAAATGATTTTCCTCTGGGAATGAAGTTCAAAGCACATGGAGTCCATTTTTATCGTAGGATATTCTAACGCATCTCTGGTACCACATCAGCGTCCCCTTCCAGGTCCTGCCTTTGCCCGAGGGAGCAGCTCGGCTACAGAGTCTTTCTTGTGTATGCTGGGTGGGTGGGGGAAGGTCTCCTTGTTGGACAAGCATTAATCACTAACATTCAAAATCCAGCAGATCCTGGATCTCAATATTTTTGAGCAATATGGCTTTCCCTGCCCTTTGCTGGCTTTTGGGAAGATCTCGATTTGTTCTTGAAGTCTCACAGGACTGATCAGAGATCCCTCTGAGCCGTTACCTGGTCCACGTCCCTATTCACCGAGGACTCTTGCTGAGGCTAAAGCTCTCCCGCCATGCTTTGGTGCTCTGGCCATCTACACTTGAGCTCTTCACTATTGGCCTAGGCCTCACTGCCTAGTACAGAACCCTACCCTCCATCCCTGTCCCTTTGCCCATCTGATGCAGAGCTCAGCAGGTTTCTTCCTGCCTCTGCTATGCGTGTAGACTTCTGATCAGGTAATGATGGCAACCATTCTTTGATTCTCTCAGCTTTCTTCCTTGTTCTCTTCCAATTACTCTGACTTTGGTTGTCTCCCAGTGCTGATGTACAAAGAAGACAGACTGGCTGTGTGGAGATGTGGAGACCTAGCATCAAATTGGGAAGAGGGCCATTTTCCTTTCCTAGCTTGTAGGTGGGGGTTGGGATGCCACCAGTGCATTTTCAAGTAGGGCAAAGCCTAGAATATAATGTAGTGAGGAGAACATGTTCGTATCAGAGAAGAGCTTGACTTGAATCTTAGCTCTGCCTCTTATTGGCTATTTGACCTCGAACAAATTCTCTGGGTCTTCATGTTGCCCCCTCTAACATGAGGATAATAAAAGTGCTCACTTTCCTCAGGGATGGTTGTTAAGATTAAAACGTAATGCTTATAACCCATTCTTAATACTGGCTTGGAACTTAAACTGGATCAGAGTTTTCTGGGTTGCATGCTCTACCCAGTTGAATAGCCCTCTCAAAATTCATGTCCACCTGTAACTTCTGAATGTGATCTTATTTGGAAATAGGGTGTCTGCCATGTAGTCAGGTTCTACTAGATTAGGGTGGATCCTAATCCAATGGCTGATGTTCTTGTAAGAGTGGGAAATTTGAACACAAACACTCAGAAGAGAAAGCTATGGGAAGACAGAGGCAGAGATTGGAATAATGCATCCACAAGCCAAAGAATGCCAAGGATTGCCAACATCCACCAAAAGCTTGGAGAGTGGCATGGAATAGACATTCCCTCAAAACTTCTGGAAGGAACTAAGCCTGTCAACATCTTAGTTTCATACTTCTAGCCTCCAGAATTCTCCAGTGAGAGAATATTTTTTTTAGTTTTTATTTAAATTTCAGTTAGCTAACATCCAGTGTCATATTAGTTTCAGATGCACAATATAGTGATTCAATACATCCACACAACAGCTGGTGCTCATCATCACAAGTGCACCCTTTAATCCTCATCACCTGTGTCACCCATTCCTCTCCCCTCCCTCCTGTTATTGTCAGATTGTGAAGAGAATAATTTCTACTGCTTAAAGATGCTCAGTTTGTGGTATTTTGTTATGGTGGCTCTAGGAAACTAATACAGAAACAACACTGGATTTCATCAGAAGGCTTTGGGGTAGCTCACAGAATCAGAAAATCACCTTAAAACTAAGCTTAGAAGGGACAAGCTGCATTATCAGGAGCTAGCTGATGCTCTGATCAACTCCAAACATTTTTATCCTTTTGTTTTTCCCTCTAAGAATTGATGGAGCAGATGGCATCCACTTTGCCTGGCTTCAGTCATTCCAAAGGATGGTCCTATCAGTACTGCCCTCAGTAGTGAAGGGATAGTCTCTCACAATTATTATTGGGGTGCTGTTATCAGGAAATGCCCAACAAGTATACAACGATGCACTTAGTGAATCTTAGATATTAATATTATTGTTACTACAAGTTGTTACTATCCTCCAGCATGTTGAGAGCAGAGTCAGGAGGCGTAGACTGGCTGCTGTACCGTGATTTCTACTCAATCCCAAGAGTACCTCATTGGGTAAAGAAACAACCGTCCTCACCGCTCCCAGCCTTAAATGCGGCTTCACTCCTTAGCTCTGTCCCCACCCCCTTGGTGTTCAGACCAACCACACTTGGTCTTCTGAAAATTCCCTGCTTGTCCACTTGAGAGCTCATTCTGGGGACAAGGTGAGAAGGGAGGACATGTGGAGAAATCAATGTTCTTTACATTTTGGCACAACCTGTGGAGAAGGGGCCACGGCCATTCAATCCAAAGTGACTGGAATGCTCTGTGTCTCAGTTATTCCCCGGGTGGACCTCCATTGCTCATAGTGTGTCTAAGCTGACTAGCTCAGAGAAGAACTTAGAGGTGACATCGCTTTAAACATTCGTTCCTGCATGCTCATTCCCAGGACATAGGTGGACTCAGAGTGCTACAGACCCTGGGCTTTTTTTCTCTCGTTTAGAAGGGCTACTTTATTCACAAAATATCTTTTTTTTTTTTTTTTAAGATTTTGTTCAGTTGAGCAAGAGAGAGAGAGCATGAGCAGAGGCAGAGGGAGAAGGAGGCTCCCCGCTGAGCAGGGACCCCGATGCAGGGCTCAATCCCAGGACCCTGGGACCATGACTTGAGCCAAAGGCAGATGCTTAACCAACTCGGCCACCCAGGGGCCCCTAGCCACAGAATTTGAATTAAAGCAGACCAGTGTGTAAACAGTTGTGACAAACTTGGAAACAAAAAGGAAAGCTGCTTTCCATGACAGATTCCCATCCTGGGACAGTTTCCTGTTACATGTTGAAAATTATTGCCACGATTTGACACCCATTAAACAAAGGGTAAGTGATGAACAGCAGCGATTTCCATTTCTCTTTGACATTTGGCTTCTTCATTTTATTGCAATTCCATTTTTTACACTGCCTCCCTCTTCCCACCTGGGCGCTTTCCCCTGAATTCAGAGGGCGCTGGGATGGGCCAGTGGGTGCTTCTGAGTCCTTTGGAGATGGGGTTGCTGGAAGCTCAGTTGGGAGGATGAAGCTGAGGGGGAATGAGTGGCTGCTAAGTGTTGTCATGGGTCGAAGGTGAAGTATCCCAGCTTTGAGGACATTTGTGACGGTGCCCCAGGGAAGGTTTATGTGTGAGGCATAATCCACTGGGTGTGTAATTTCATATTTACTGAGTTCCTACCTGTGTGGAGACCGTGATGGGTATTACAGATGTTAACAGAGAATGAGGCAGAGAAGTTTTCATAGAGGAGAGAGACAATGAGCAAACAAATCAGTTACCAAGATAATGACAGTTGTGATAAGTTCCATGAAGGAAATAAATAGGGCGTTATGGAAGGCAGCTGTGGGGGAGTGGGATCAGGGATGGCCTCCTCGGGGAACCAACTTAAGCCGATAGCTGGAAGGTGGGAGGAAACCTGCCCCTCAGACAGCCTCCCTGTGGAGGGAACCATAAGCATCGGGGGTAAAGAGCTTGGTGGGACTGGGAATCATCACATACCCAAGATGCATAGGATGAAGTGGGCCGGGATTGTCTTTGGTTTTCTGGAAGAGGAAGAAGGCATTGAAAAGGCTTCCGATTTGTGTCCCTGAACTATAACCTGGTAAAGCTACACTCTCTCAAATCAGGGATCACTGCTGTGCCCAGCAGAGCGCCTGGTCCATAGGAGGCACTTATAAATAGTTCCTGAACAACCCATCCATGAATGCATTTTAACCTGGATTCTCACTGGATTCTTTCTGTCTTACCCTTCATTGGAAGAGTCATAAATCCTCTGAGTTGGAAGGGGTATTGTGGTCCGCTGGTCTGGCCCCTCCCCTGCTTGTCTAAATCTCCTCTGCACCATGCCTGGCAGGAACCTGGCAGCCTTGGCTTTTGAGCATTTCTAGAAAGGGGGTTTCTCTCCTTTGGAGCCATCTCAGTGCTTTAAAGAGAGAGAGACAGAGAGAGAGAGAGAGAGGAGAGAGAGAGAGAGAGAGAGATTTTGAATAGCTTAGCATGCACGGGATGCAAAATTCAAAAGCACCTACGCCTT